CGTCTGCCATGCCAGGCTTCCCTGGCTCTGGTCCATCCACCCCAAGCGCACCCCGTCCTGATACACGAGATGGCGGCCAAGGGAGGGGAATGGGCGCACCCGAGCCCTCACCAGGCGACCAATTCGGTGGCCCCTTCAGCCAAAGTATGGGTGACGGTCCAGATGCCCGCAGTGGCTCCATGCGCGACTCAGGCCGACACGAGCGCTCCAGGCGCAGCAGCCACCGCACCTCGCGGTCGCACAGTCGGGACCGCAACCATAAGGAGAATATTCCTGGACCAGATCCGCGTGCTGAGATGATGGGCGACCGACCTGACTTCCGTGGGAGTGGGCGCAGAGACGGCGAGAGGGAGTCGAATCGACGCGCTTCCGGACGGAGCGGACCCTCGATGCCTGGAGAGGGGAGAGAGCGCGAGAGCAGGCGCGACGGAAGGGATGGCGACAAGAGAGGCGATGGGGGTGCTGCGATGAGGGGAGAGCAGGGTTTTAGCCGTGGTCAGGGATATCAGTCCCAGCCGCAGGGTGGAAATATGCCACCGTCTAGCCGCGGCGAGGGCGGGCGATCGCGCGGGTCGAGGAGTAGTAGGGGGGGGGCGGAGAGACGCGAGTCGAGGAGTAGCCGCGATGATGGGACGGGGAGTATTGGGAAGAGAAGAGGTGAGGATCGGGGTGGACAGGATCGCGGACGGGATAAGAGGGTTAGGCAGGCGTAAGGGCCTACGGACAGAGATTGCATGCTTGCATTAGGGGAGTTTCTTTTGTGTATTCATTCGGGTTTGGTGTGGTGATGATGTGGTAGGAGGGTATTAGGGTGAAGGGGCTTTAGATATACTGCACAGATGGAGTGATGGGGATGTGTGTATTGGTTCTGAGGGAGAATGGTTGTATGGCATCGCGCCGGCGTTTTATTTTGGGGCTGAATTTAGAGCGCGGAAAGGGGCATTAAACCCAATTTGTATTATAGGACCTCTATTTTGAATGGTATCTCGCATGAGATGGACTTGTTTTATCATTTTTGATCTGTGACTTTAGTGAATAGAGTATTAATTGCCATTAATAAGGCTGGGAGTGTAGGCTGGGTGATGTCGTGGTGAGGGTGACCCCACTAAGGGGGATTTCACCTCTTGAGGTTTCTTTACAGGCGAACCCCCCATATTCCACAACCCAACTTCCATATCACAAATTCACCCACAACATCCAACAACTTCTTTCAACTATTTTACTTTAAACCCAAAGATTGATACTTCTTCTAGCTACTTTACTTCAACTTTTCTTCAAGTACAAAGATTGATCACAGCAATTTGCTCTCAATTCCAATCACATCAGTGTCTCTCATCTGAGAAATTCACTTCTTCGAGCGACCTTTCTTCAAATCCAAGGATTGCTACCAGCAGTTACTCTTTGCTCCAAAAGATACTTGAAAGATTCAAGTCTTATTTAAAAGCTTGTTCTAGGGGTTTTCCAAAGGTTGATTTTCACAGTGCGCTCTCAACAACACACGAACGAAGTCTTACCTGAGAACCACTTCCAAGAACTTTACTTCAACTCCAAATATTGAGACCAGTTGTTCTCTTCGCTATATAAGTTTTCTTCAAGATCAGAAGTGTGGTGAAGAAACTCTTTCAGCAACTTCGATAATAATCTAAAGTGTGATTTCGACATTCCGCTCTCAATCCACTCACAACAACGGAGTCTCATCTTGGGACATTCTTCCAGCAACCTTCTCAATTCAAGTCCAAAGATTCATATCGACAATTCTTCTTCACTCACAGACTATCAACAAGATCAGAGTTGTGTTCAACAAATTCTTCCAGCTACCTTGCTCCAAACCAAAAGTTTGGCTCTTTCCAACAACCTTGCCACAAATTCAAAGATTGATATCAACAATTCTTCTTTGCTCCAAAAGCTTATAAGTTATATAAGATTAGAACCGTGTTCAAGAAACTCCTCAAGAGGGTTTTCTATAAGTCCAAAGATTGTATCAGCAATTTCTCTATTCTCCACAGCTACTCGCCAGATCGGATTCGTTTCGACTCCTCAGTACTTCAAAAGCAATTTACAAAATCAGAGTTGTGTCTGATAAGTTCAACCAGCAACATTGTTGATTTCCCAAAGACCGATCTCGGAAATTCGCTCACAATGCCAGTCACCAGATCGGAAAAGCGTCAGAGGATGTCTTCTGAGCAGTCTGGACCACCTTCAAACGACCTTGCTCAAACCTCAGAGCTCGAACTGAACAATTCTACTACACGCCCCAAGAAGCGTTCAAAGAAGCTTCCTTCCGGTTCAGATGTATCTCCAACCAACGACAACACCGCCGCCCCAGGTCCAAAGCCGGACGCAAGCCTCACTGCACCACAAGAAGAACCAAGGAGAAGTCTCCGTTTATGCGTGACCTCAAGCAACAAAACTGAGGTTGCTCACACCCCAGAGCTTGAATCTGAAAAGTCTATGTCACGTTCAGAGAAGCGTTCAGAGCAGCGTCGCCTGAGGAGAAAACTTCAATCGCAATCGGAGATCCCTTCAAGCAGCAGCAGCTCTGTTGAATCTGCTCTAAAGTCAGACTTCAGTTCATATACACCACAAGAAGAGCCAAGAAGGAAAAATCTCCGTCCACGCGTGATCTCAAGCAATAACAACACTGGGGCGCCTGCTCCAAAGTTGGACATGAGATCCTATAATCCACAAGAGACGGGCTCCAAGAAGACCCGCTGGAGTTCATACGAAAGTTCGGCCAGTAAAATCGCTATTCCTGACAAGCCGGAGGATATGACATTGGTCCCACAAGGTGAGGTAGGAGTGAAAAAGCACCTTTCAGAGTCAAGCAAGTCTTCGAGCAAAAACAGCAAACGTGCTCTAAGCCCAGCACCGGACATGCGCACTACCTCACCCCAAAAGGAGTCATCACGTCCGAAGAAGCCTCGTCTTCTTAAGACAGCCACTGGCAATGATGCTCAAACCCGCGAGTCCTCAGCAGGTAATGCCCCCCCACGCTTCAAGTTGCGCCTGAAGAAGCCTGGTACTGGCCCTACCCTGTCCGAGGGCAACTCTGCTCCATCGTCCGATGGCATCTCAACCCCATTTTCAGAGAGCCTTTCTGCCTCTACCGCATTATCACAGGGCACATCCGCTCCGGTTTCAAAGGAGCTATCCTCTTCTCCACTTTCAGAGAGCAAGTCCGCTCCATCTCCAGGGGAAAACACCACTTCAAGTTCCGAGGACAAAGATTCTCCATTATCCAAAATTAACTCTGCTTCATATTCTAAGGACAATGCTGTTCCATTGCCCAAGAGCAACTCTGCATCTTCGTTCGGAAGCAACTCTGCTCCATCCTCAGGATCACGCTCAAGGAAAAGGGCGGCACCCCATCCAGAAACAACAGATGGCATATCTCCCATCAAAAACCTTACCCCAAAGAAGAGAGGCTTTGGGGACATCAACACCACCGATGGTTTATCCCCAGAAAAGCAGGGCCAGTACCGCGCCGAGCGAGAGAAAGAGCCTCAGCGTGTCGCCGAGCAGCAGAAGATTCTCGCAACTATGGAGGACTTCAAGAAGGGTTTTCAAGATCTGCTGGACCACATCCGTCTCCCAAGGAAGAACAGTCATATGAAGAAGAACCCCAATGAGCACATGTTTGCGCTGAAGCTGAGTCCACAGCTGTGTCTTATGGCACCATCTCCGAGGCACGTGGGGATTTATGTGAAGGATGCGTGCTTTGAGTCAACCAGTGAGGCGATGACAACCTGGGTGATAAGGTTGCTTATGGATGTGGTGAAGCGCGATGGCTTGGCATGGGGTGAGATTACGGTGGAGTTGACGGAGGGGGGGTCGCTGGGCAAGGTGTCCAACTGGGGGTTTAACCAGGCGTGCTCGCACAAGCTGGACACCTGCTTTATCAACACGAACGTCGAGATACTCTTCTGCAGGAAGACGTATTCGGCGATCATCACCTACCACCACCAGTGGAAGTGTGTAAGTTTTCCCCTTTCTTTCCAATGCCCTATCCCCTATCCCCATCCCGCGACCTTCTTCCCGGCCTTCCATGCTCCTCGGCTCCCACTGTATAAACCCCAACATCCATTCTTCAGCTGTCAGCTTTACTAACTCCCACAGGCTGGCCAGTACGAGGTCCCCTCGGGGGACATGACCGACGTGTATCAGGCGCCACGTCCGGTCCGTACTGACCACACCACCACTGGTGGTGGTAGGTCAATCCTATCGGGCACCGGCGAGTCGGCGTATGGCCCGGGCTGCCATACCTCCCTCGCCGGGCCCCAGTTCCCACAAACTGCCGCTCTGGAGTTCACCCTCGGCGCCGACATGCACACCGTCTCCGGCCGCCACCTCGCGCTGTCCCTCGCCGACTACCTCCCCGCCAACCCGTACCTCCCGATCACGCGCGCACCGGCTCCTCCCTCCCCTCAAGCCGTCTACGGAGACTATGGCAACCCCGGCGGCTACCCCATCCCCATCGACCCAGCCCTCCTAACACCACCCCTCCACCGCCACACCTTCGATGTCTTCCCGGCCATCGACACCCCCCCCAACCAGCCCTCCTCCGACCCCCTCTACCCGCCCTACCACTGGACCCCGGCCCCAGCATCCGCCCCCGCCTACCTGAGCCCCTGGATCTCGCCCGTCCCCTCCCCGGTTCAGGAGCAGTTCACGTACCCGGACCCAGACATCGCGACGGAGGACTACGTCGCGAACTGGATTGCGGCATCGTTGAGCTTGCCGCTTGAGCCGGGGAGGGGAGCTGTATACGCTGCGGCCCCTCTGCCGGTGCCTGTTGCGGCACCAACCCCCGCGCCAGCAACCGCGCCGAAGAAACGCGGGAGGAAGAGCCGTGCGAAGGTTCGTGGTGCTGCGGTTCCTGCGGCTGCGGCTCCTGCCCCTGCGGCTCCTGCGACGGCAGAAGAGATGATGGAGATGATGACCCAGGCGCCCCTCCCCACACTCACCCCCCTCGGCCCCTCCCCCTCCGAAACCCTCGCTGCCCTCCAGAGCGCCACGGCTGCGACGCCTGGTGTCCCGGTCCCAGCCGCGTATCGGCACGTGTGGTTCCTGAACGGGCGGGGGAGGGTGTCGAAGACCCGGGATAACAATCCGAGGTGTCAGAGGTGTAGGAGGAGACATTGGGCTGTGAGTTTCCCTCTTTTCTTTTCCCTTTTTTCGTTTGCCCGGAGTTTGGGGTTTGAGATCGGTTTCCAGGTTTCTGATGCCGATTTTGGACGCCGAGATGGGGGTGGGGTTTCTTGAGTTACTGTTCCCCTGAGATGGATGGAGAGATGCTAACGGTGAATAGTCGTGCAGCAGGGGCCAGCCCTGCGACGAGTGCGCCAAGGACAACGTGCCGTGCGTGTACGGGCCTGGGGTGGGGGTGGAGGAGGATGAGGAGAAGGGGCGCTGAGTGTGGGTGTTTTGTGTTTTTTTGTATATAGTAGCGTGTTCTTCTCGCGTTGTTGTCTGTATTCGTAGTTTGCTTTTGTTAGTTTTCGTTCTTTGTTGATTTGGTTTTTGTCTTTAGCGTTTCGGTTCTTGATTTCGGTTTTTGTTTTCGGCTCTGATTTCGGCTTGTGGAGGGAGGGCAGGGGAAGGGCGCGTGAAGAGTGATTTGGATCGGATGATTCGCGGAATGTCAGAGAGTTTCTGTAATTGCTTGTGCCCCCTTCGGACTTCAGTGAAATAAAATATTTCATGGGTAATATATACTGTATTCTATTCAATCTCCCCCTCCCCCTCCAAAACACCTCAAAAACCAAACCCAGACCCCACCCCCTCCCAATCCATACAATCTACAACATAATCAAGCTCACCTCCTCAAAATCCGGCGGATTCCTCCCATACATCACCCTCCCCTTCCCATCCAACGCCGTCCCCCGATTCGTAATCCACACATTCCCCATCCCCACCCTCTCCGTCCTCCTCACTTCCTCATCGCTCACCCCCAGCCCGTCGCGAGGCACCCACACATTCGGCCTCTTCGCCCTGAGCGCCTCGTGCTGGAATGCTACGCGCACGAGCGCGTCGCGCTCGTCGGGGGTGAGGTCTTCGATTTCGTCGTTGTAGCCGCCGAAGAGGGCTTCTCCCATTAGCTGCTGGGCTTCGACGTCTTTCTTGCGGCGGCGGCGGGCGTGCGCCGTGTCGAGGTCCCCGAATGTTGCGGCGCCGAGAGTGCGTGCTCCGCGCGTGGCCCATGTGGCGCCCGTGCGGAGGGGGTTAAGGGGGTTGAATGTCCCTCCGTTTCCGCCAGACTTGGTAGATTGCGAAGTGCGAAGTTTGCGGAGCTCGAGCTCGATGTCGTCGTCGTGGGAGACGGAGGTGTCAGGGACGCGAGGGTTGCGCGCGGCGCCGTCGTCGCGGTCCGAGTCAGAGTCATCGTGGTCTGATTCCATAAGACGAGCAGCTTGAGCGCGTTCGAAAGCCTCGTCGCGGAGGACAGCTTCGTCTTCGAGTGTTATGGCGAGATGTTCGTAGAGGGGGCTAAAAGATTGGTTGAGGAGGAATTGGAAGAGTGCTGTTAGTGCCATGACGACGATCATGATGATTGCCTGCGGGAAGCAGGCGGCGTTATTCTTGTCGTCGCGAACGAGGAAGAAGAGGCCTATGAGGCAGAGTTCCATGACGTAGAGGCCGATGAAGTTTTGGTTGATGGCGCGCGGGTAGAGGAGGCCGCCGGTGTCTTCGGTGTGCCGGAAGACGTAGAGCATGCAGTAGCGGTTGGCGAGCCAGAGGACGGTGAAGGTGATGATGGCGAATACCATGATGAGGGGCGCGACGGTGGAGTAGATGATGGCGATGCAGGCGAAGTTGGTGTAGGTGGGGAAGTAGGTGCCCCAGTGCACTGTGGAGAGCGTGGTGTTGCGCTTCCACTTCTGGCGTGCCGTGTTGTCGAAGAGCTTGGGCATCAGTATCCACATTATGAGCGTGCCGACCTGCAGCAAACTGCCGGCGCTGGTTGATAGCGCCTGGATGATCATGTACGAGAAGAAGTAGTTGGAGGCCTTGGGTAGGTTCTGCGCCAGTAGACCAGGGATGGATGTGACATCCGCGATACCAGCGAGCGTGGCGAACGTTCCGCTTGCAATAGAGACAACGAGGAAGACCTGCACAAACAGGAAGAAGAAGTAGTAGTTCTGCACCGACAGCTCACGCATCTTGCCCGTTTGGTTGCCCTGCAGCGTCGCGAGGTTGTAGAAGACGAGCGGCGGCAGAATCATCAGCAGCGATAGGACAACGGCGGGCAGAATACCCGCGACACTTTTGAGCGCGGTCTCGGCCCCGCGAAGGAACGAGAGCCAGTGGTATTGCCTGATCAGTTCAGGAATATTGCCAAGTAGCGCGGTGGCGGAGACAGGAATAGCCCAGAGAATACACATCCCCGCGACAGCCGCGAGGATGAAGAAAGTCCGCAGCCATGCTTCCCACCATTTAATCGACATGTTCCCCCAGATGACATCCGTGGGCGAGACCTCGACCATGCGCGGAGCCATGTGCTTCGGGATGTGGTGGCTGACGGCCTGCACCGCCATGTGCGCGGCAATCTGGTGGTTGAATTGAATGAAGGCGGAGTTCATCTTGGGGTAGTCATCGGAGTGGTCTTGGTCGTACTCGATCTCGACATTGAGGCGCGCGAGTTCCTCGCGGCACCAGTAGATAGAGTCAACCTTTGTATTGACCCAGGGGAAGATGTATGGCAGGATACCGATGCCAAAGCGAGGAAGGCGATGCGTGCTGCGGTCCTTTTTCTTAATATACTTCGCCCACAGCGCGCTCTCCTCGTCCTCGACGTAGTCCGGGTCAATGTGCGGTGGGTACTCGTGCTGCGGCCCCTCGTTATTCGTAAAAAGAGTCTTCACGGGCGCGATAATCTGCTGCCCACCACTCGTAACCATCTGCCCAAAGTTCCTCTTCTGGGTGTATTCATCCCTCTCAAACCCATGGGGCATAGGCGACGCGAATCCTCCACTCGGCCCCTTCCAGAACTTCCACCAGCTATTCTTCATCTCATCCGAGTCGTTACTCCCATCACCGCCGCCGAATCTATAAGGGATATTATCGAGCTCCGGCCCCTTAACGCCGCGGTGCTCGCCAAAGCCCCTCGGCGTATCCGGCGTCTGCCCAAAACTGACATCGCGCGACGGGATACTGATCTGCGTCTCCACCGGCTCCGCGTCCGCAAAATGCGTTTGGCTACTATTGCTATTATTCCTCGATCTCGAGCGCTCCTGCCTCATGTCCGGGCAGAGCGGATCGCGATCAATCCACACGAACCCATTCGTCGACTCGATTTGGCCTTCAAGCCCCTTCCCGGTCTTCGCACCCCCCACGATTGTCCCTCCGACATTCTTCGTGCCCTCCACGAGCGTCTCACCCGCCTTCCCTACCAGCCCGAGCCCACGCCCAAACTGCTTCCCCATCGCCGCTAACCCGCCCATGGCAGTCTGCTTGTCCACCACGCGATTCTTGCGGCGATTACCTTCCTCAATCGCATCCTCAACTGAATGCACAACCTGATTGATATCACCCGACGTGACACCTTCTCCCCTCGCAATCTGCGCCGCCGTCTCTTCGGCGTTCTTCGCACGCCTCGCGCGCTCCTCCTTTGTATCATGATGTCCCGTCTTGTGCTGCATGGCCTTCTCCTCCTTCTCGGCCTGCTTCAGCTGCGCCTTATTACACTTGCGGATCAGGGACGTCTCGGCAGCCTCTAGCATTGCCACGATGCCCTCGCGACGCCGCACCTTCTCCAGCAGCGCGTCGTAGTTGCGGTTGATCCAGATATTGCGGATCCCCCCAGGGAAGACATCGTAGAGACCACTAAGTGCCTCGATGGTGAGCCATTTATCCGGGATGGCAGTGACGAGGACGGTAGTTGCCGATGCGCGCAGGCGGTGCTCGGCGGAGGTGAGGTAGTCCTGGCGCACGCGGATATAGACGCGCAGCTCCGCGAAGAATACGTAGCAGACCCAGGTGACGACGACGATGGCGAGGACGAGATGCGCCCAGTAGCGGTGTGTCTGTTTCGGGGAGATGTTACCCCAGGCAAGCCTGTCGAGGCCGCCGGGGGCTTCGGGGTCGGCGTTGTTACCGTCGACGGGGTCTGTTTTGGCGGTGCCGCGGCCGCCGATGTAGTTGAGTGGGAGGAGGATGGGGAGGAGGAGGCAGGCGAGCGGGACGAAGATGATGAGTTGGGTTTGGAGGTAGCGTAGGAAAAAGTAGGCGTCCAGGCCGCACTTATTGATGATCTCCTTGTCTTTGTATGTGAAAATCGAGACTAACCACCCGAACGGACTTCGTGGCGGCGGTGTGGTTCGTTGTCGTTCGGGGACGAGATATGTCTTTGGCTGGCTTCACAACATGTCAACTCTGTTTTTTCTGGACTGAAACTGCAAAAGTAAAAGAGAACTCACTATATCCTAACCAGCCTATTCTTTATCAACGTAAAAATCAAGATCTGCACTGCCGACGCCGCGATACCAGTACCGATAGCCGTCAACAGTGCAATAATGCTGATATTGCGGTTGGCCTGCGCCGCGCCCTGCGTCGAGTCCGACATGGCGATCTATTCCCTGATAGCCAGGCAGTAGAGTGATTCTGAAGAGAGAGTAGAGATCGAGGAGCGTAGTGGTGAGGGCGAGAGGAGGTCTCCAAAAGAGATTTCGGGGCGCTTTGTTGGCGCGTCAAGGATGGGGAGAGCGGCGCATTACTTCGTTTCAGCGAACAATGAGTGTGAAATATGTACTGCGTATGCGTGTATGTGAGTATAAAAGGAGACAAAGAATGAATGAATCAACGCAACAACTAATAAAGGAGAAGAAGTAGGCCCAGCTGCTCTCTACTCTGCAGATGTGCACGTCAAGGTTTGGCAGCACCCGTCGATCTACAGCGTGTGGGGTTAGATAACCGCGTTTTCCCCAAACAAGAATCTCTTAACTTAACGCATACCCTGCCGCCCTCCCCCTCGGCTCTCCCCCTCGGCCCTCCCACCAATCCCTGGCTGCCACTGATTGTAACCATCTGCCCGCCGAGACGCGGCATGACATCACAACGCCGCGGTCGTACCTGCCCTGCTAGAAACGGGTTGGGGGTACTTCGACACACCGCGTACTGAAAGGGGGGCGGCGCTTAGGGGGGATATGGGAGCCATAGAGCCAGGATAGAGTATATATGGTTCTGAAGACGCGGAATTGTCCATGTTGTCTATATATGGGTTTGTTTGCCGCGCGCGAGGGGGGAGTGGGAGCCTTCCGGGCCAGGTGGACGAGGGGTCTTGTTCACTGCTGGGTAGAGGGCGGTTATGGTGAGACAGTACTACAGCACTCACGGTGTGTTGTCGATGAACACGCCGTGGCTTGTGGCTGTGCCTCCAGACCACGAACCAACGAGAGACGAGAGACGCGGTATCTGCGTCAGTGGCTGACGCAGATGCGTTGGTCGATGTGTTGTCGCCACCACCAGTCACTGTAGATCAATCAGCCACTGCAGATGTCATGGGATATGTGCAGGGATGGATAGACAGCTGGACAATCAGCAACTCCACGATCTGCGGAGGGACGAACAGTCAGTCAAAAACTCCACGGCCACTCACTATGGATGAGGGGCGCGGAGGAAGTAAACGACTCCCCGATGGCTCACTGTGGACAAGAGGTGCGAGACATAGACAGTCAAAACTCATTATCGCTCACTTGTTCATCCGCATAGCAAACACATCAGCCACCAGACCCCCAAGATCCTCAGCATATACCCAACAAAAGCGTCGGGTATATACACTTTTGCAAGCAACCATACCCCTTCCACCATTAACTCCATACCCCCAAACCCCCTAACCCATAACCCCTTCCCCACCCCTCACTTGCTCTCAAAAGCCTCCTCCACCCTCTCCACCAACTCCCCCTTCTTCCCCCCAACATTCAACCCCCTCGCCGCTAACCAATCCTTCAACATCACCACCGTCGCGCTCCCCACCCTCCCCTCCTTCGCCAACCTCTCCACCTCATCCAACCCACTCTCCTTAACCCTCTTCACCTTCCCCTCCTTCGCCTCCCCCGCCCTCTTCATCCCAACCTCCAGCTTCTCCCCCTTCCCCTCCGCAACCTCGAGCCACTCCTCCTCCAGCGCCCGTCCCCAGTCAACCACATACGGCCCGGCGCGCTTGTCAATCTGCCTCCCTTTAGGTAACGTCTTATCATCCCCCGCTGCCAGCTCCGGCACCTCCTCCTCCAGCGCAATAGCCTGTAATATGCGATAATGCCACTGCAAAGCCGGATTCGGATAGCGGCTCGGCTCAAACACCGCCCCGGGAAGCTGTAGTTGCTGGATAACAACATGCATTTTATCCGTTAGGGCATTCGGGCTTACTATCGGCGCCGGTCCAGGGGCGGGGACGCGCAGGTCGTCTGCGCAGGGGAGGGGGTAGGCCCATAGTCCTGCGGGGACGATTTGTTGGGATGTTGCTGGGTCGAGGCGTTCGCGGGAAGGGAGGAGGGCGATGTACTGCGGATTTGCGTTGGCACGGGGGATATACCAAGCTACGCCCATGGTAGATGAATCGAGGAGTTTCTGCCACAGCGTGGCGAAGACGCGGGTGGATCCTACGTAGTCCTCCTCGGAGGGGTAGAGGAAAGTCGATTTATTGACCGAGGCGTAATATGGGAGTAAAGTTTGGGGTTTGAACCCCACGATGCGGAGGCCGGGGGGGCCGAAGTTCTTGAGTTCCTTCTGCTCGTCCTTGGTGAAAAGGACCTGCTCGCCGCCGAACTTGTAGGCTTTCTTGACGTCGACTTTCTGCACCGTGCGCGTGGTGTCGGCGGCGAGGTGGGTGGTTTCGCCCGTGGCGATCTGGGCCGTCTCGCCGGAGAGCCAGACGTAGCAGCTGCGGGCGGGCTTTTGGCGTTGCAGGATGTTGTAGCCTTTTACGGAAATGGTGAGGCCGGGGCCGATTTCGAAGGGGAGGTTGGAGAAGAGGGCGCGCTTGGGGATTTGTTTGGAGTTGATGTTGGAGATGAGGGAGTTGAGGAGGGAGATGCCGTCGGCGCCTGCTGCGGCGTTGGTGGTGGATGGTGTGTCTGTGTCTGTTGAGTCGCGGTATATCACATCCTGTTCGGGTCAGCGTCATCCATGACTTAACGATGTAAACTACTCACATCGTAAAACTTGCTCCTATCAAACACCGCCCCTCCTCTCTCAATAGGAAACAACTCAATCACCACCCCCAAATCATACAAATCCTTAGCCCTCACCGCCGCCGCAGCCCTCATCCCCTTATCGCTCTCATGCGGATCATCGCGATCCGTAATCATAAATAACCTCCTCGACCCAAAACTGGGCGCCCTCGTCGTAAAGATCTGGTTCGCACAAAACAGCACATTCGACATCGTGACCTCCGCCCCCTCCGGCGCCGGAACCAACACCTCCTTCGCAGCCTCCTCATCCTCCACCAGCTCCTTCAGCGCCTTGACGTCACTCGCGGCGGGAACATCGAGGTCAGTCAGTAGGTAGATATGCGGGTACGCGATGCCGGAGGCTGCGTTGTCTTCGGGCCCCTTTGATTCCGCGGTGCCAAAGAGGAGGATGCCGATCATGTCCTTTGGGTTGGAGATGATGCGCTGCTGCATGATTTGGTAGGCGCATTTGAGGGCTGCGGCGGCAGGGCTGTCGGTGTCGGCTTTTTTGGAGTCGGAGGCGGGGGGATGGGTGAGCATGGAGGGGCTGACTTCGATGGCGAAGAGGATGGCGTCTTTTTGGGATTTGTAGTCCTGGGAGTTGGTTAGATAGGTGAGGGGAGCGTTGGGATGGGGGGGTATACCGATTCATCGACCTCCTCGTCTTCCTCTTCATCGCCCTCATCTTTCCGTTTCCAGTCCTCTTTGGAGTCGGCCATCCTGTCAGACTGAAGTAAATGCCTCAATTGTAGTCTACAATGGCCTATTATAAAAATTATCAACAATTGAGAAAATCACAAAGGGTAGAAGTTAGATTGTTGACACCTCCCGAACATTCCAATCGCGACTGATGCCTTGTCGCGCATAACGACAGGCAGAATACGCGACTTCGGCATCGGGGTACACGTCCGCACGTGACCCAACTTTATGTCCCATTGGCACCTGCGAGGAAGACCAGCACAACCAGCCATTGCCAGCACCTGCGACTTCCAAAAGCTTCAACGCCATACCCTCTATTCAACTGCATGATACCCTCCCTATAGAACCCCACCACGCCGCCATGGCGCTCAGAACCGCCACCCGCCAGCTCTCGAAGCACGCCTCCCGCCAGCAAACCCGCGGCCTCGCCACGCCGGCAGCTACGCCGCCGACGACGCCCTCAAAGGGTCCCACAGCCATGGTCTTCATGAACATGGGCGGCCCGTCCACGGTCCCGGAGGTTGGGGACTTCCTCTCCCGCCTCTTCGCAGATGCGGACCTGATCCCTCTAGGACGATTCCAGAAGTACCTTGGCCCTCTGATCGCGCAACGGCGCACACCGAAGATCGAGAAGCAGTACGCGACGATTGGGGGCGGGAGTCCGATCCGCAAGTGGTCACAGCTTCAGGCGGCGGAGATGTGCAAGATACTCGACCAGACGAGTCCCGAAACGGCGCCGCATAAGCCGTACGTGGCGTTCCGGTACGCGGATCCGTTGACGGAGAAGATGTACGCAAGGCTGCTGGCGGATGGGTTTGGAGGGGGGAAGGGGGGGAGGGCGGTGGCGTTTACGCAGTACCCGCAGTATTCGTGCTCGACGACGGGGAGTAGTTTGAATGATTTGTGGAAGTGGAGGGAGAAGCTGGAGGGGGCGGGGAGGGGGGGGGGGTCAAGGCGAATGGCGAGGATGGGTCTATTCAGTGGAGTGTTATTGATCGCTGGCCGGCGCATAAGGGGTTGGTGGAGGCGTTTGCGCAGAACATCGAGGCGACGCTGGCGACGTACTCGGAGGCCGATAGGAAGGATGTCACGATTTTGTTCTCGGCGCACAGTCTACCGATGAGCGTGGTAAACAGGGGTAAGTCTGCTCTAGCTCTATCTCTATGATTCCGTTCTGACAGTTACATGACAGGTGACCCCTACCCCGCCGAAGTCGCCGCGACGGTCTACGCTGTGATGGAGCGCCTGAAGTTCTCACACCCATACCGGTTGGTCTGGCAGTCGCAGGTCGGACCGCAGCCGTGGCTCGGTGCGCAGACATCGGACACGGTGACGAACTACGTGGCGAACGGGAAGAAGAACCTCGTGCTCGTGCCGATCGCCTTCACCTCCGACCATATCGAGACACTGTTCGAGTTGGACGAGGAGGTGATCGGCGAGAGCGGATGCAAGGATTCGATCCGCCGCGTGGAGTCTCTGAACGGGAACCCTGTGTTCATACAGGCGCTGGCGGATATCGCAAAGGCGCATCTGGAGAGCGGGGTACAGTGCTCGAAGCAGATGGCGTTGAGATGTCCAGGGTGCACAAACGCGAAGTGCGAGGCGAGTAAGGACTTTTTCGCTGGCAGCCCACGAGGGCCAGTGGAGGCATAAGGGGGTGAGGGGTGAGGGGTGAGAGAGTGAGGGAGAGGGTTGGGGGTGGAACTCTGTTCCCTCCCCTGTGACGTGGATGTATATTATAAAAAATATGGCGACAAACGCCAGCTGTAGATAATAGGGTATGACCGGGAAAAGGAAAAGTCGTGTCATTGCTGTTCTCGTTGCCACACAAGTACAGTCACGGCTGCCAACCATACGGTGCCACCACGCGCATTCTCACAAGAACCCAGCCAGATCATGCTGCTCATCACGGCGAATAATGCATCTACATACATATATACAGTAACCAAGCCTACGCAGGGGCTTCTGGGTCGCTACAAAAAGCTGCAAATATCAATGAAATGCCCTATTCACTGCCCTGATGCTCTCGGAGAGCACAAGAAAGGCCCAACATGGCCCATCCACGCGGCGGGGTAACACAAATCGCTGCGGGCCGCCAGGAACAATGGCTGGATCGACGAGGAGTTTCAAGAGTCTAAGCTGAGTCCAAGACATACAGTACGGTGTGTACTGCACATGGCCGAATGCAGCCCAAGAGTTGTGAGAAGAGTAGTGGACGGTGAAGAGCGTCGCGGTGGAATATCACAGTTCAATACGCATTTATACCATAACTTATAAGTTATAAGTTATAAGTTACAAGATATATTATTGCCTATTAACCTCATTATCCACAAACATCGGAATTCAAGCATCCCCCCGTTCCCAAATGCCAAACGTCAAATGCCATCGGAACCTCGGAGCCGGAGTTGGTAAACAACGAAAAAAACGTGGTTGGTGAGTTGCTTACGTGGTTCCTTACCCAAGCTTATCGATGGTCAGCTCACTAAAGTCCACATGCGCATGCATAGATGTCGTGTTCCTGGTCGACTGGATGGGTTATCTCAAGAGCAAGCCTGCCTCCTTCCTATTATATATGCCATAGTACCCCGAGATAGCGTCAGCTTGCTTCGAATGCCAGCGCCGAGTTGCGACGACGACCACTTTGACTCCATGAATCTAGAGAAGCTGAAGGGATATACGAAAGAAGGACGACGACGCCGAGGACAGGAAAGATACAGACGGGATTGATAAGCTGCAATCGGCGTGGGAATCACTGACATAGCCGGTTTATGCGATTGATTGGCCAGGAGGGGAAACACCGAGACAGGAGCCATAAACGGGGATAAGAGTGAAGAGAGGTACAAACAAAAAGACGAAAGGCAGAAAGCCCAATGTCCTGCCGTGACGCTGGATACTCACCTACAACACCATGCGGCGTCAGGGGAACGGCGACGCTACGGCGCCTAACGGCCGTGACCGCCTCGGTATAGATGCATCTCCCCGGGTTGGAGAAGATACGCCTCTGCTGGCCAAGGCGGATGATGGGGATAGCACCACCGCAGCCAGCTCAGTCCCATGGGATTGGGAGTCCGATTTCGAGGGAGTTCCGTGGTATCGCAAGCCATCTGTCAGTACCCCCCCTCACGCACTCATCCACGCACGCCCATTAACGCGCCATAGATCTGGTGGCTCCTCCCCGCCTATGCCATCTACGCCCTCGCCTTCGGCGGCATCATCGTCCCGAAGCTGAACCTCGTCCTCACGCTGGTGTGCCGGCGCTACATCGCCGCGCAATCCACTCTACATCCCGATGCGCAATACACGCCCGTCATCATGTTCGCCAACAACCCGCAGTGTCGGATCCCCGAAGTGCAAGCCCTAGCGACAGAGTTCACGCTCTACATGTCCCTCCTCACCGGCATCCTGAGCGCGGCCATCTGTCCCAAGATCGGCGCGCTCTCGGACCGTTACGGGCGCAAGTACTTCCTCGCCTTCGCTGTCCTGGGCGGCCTCTGCGCGGAGATCGTTACGATCCTCGCTGCCACCTACCCGGACACGGTGCACTACCAATGGATCCTCTTCGGCTCCGTCCTCGACGGCCTCTTCGGCTCCTTCACCTCCGCAATGGCCATGACGCACTCTTACGGCGCGGACGTGACCTCGCCCGCCACGCGCGGCGTCGCATTCGGGTACTTCAGCGGCGCGCTCTTCGGGGGCATCGCGCTCGGCCCCCTCCTTGCGGCCTTCATCTCCCGGGTCACCGGTAACATCCTCAGCGTCTTCTGGATCGCCTTCTTCTGCCACCTAACAGTCCTCATCTACCACCTCTTCATCCTCCCCGAATCTCTCTCCCCCAAACGCCAGATCGCCGCCCACGCACGCCATAAGCTGGAAATATCCGCCACGGCCGCATCGCCAACTTCCCGCGCCGCGCGCGCCGCTAACTTCCTCGCCCCCCTCAAGATCCTGTATCCCACCGGCGCAGGCACCTCGCCGCACCTGCGCATGAACCTCATCCTGCTAGCGGCGATCAACACCCTCCTCTTCGGCGCCTCCATCGGCACAGGGTCGCTATTAATATATTACACGAATTTCATCTTCAACTGGGGCGACTTCGAGACCCAGATGTACGTCGGTCTCACCTCCGCCTTCCGCGTCCTCGTCCTCGTCGCCATCCTCCCGCTGATAACCTACCTCTTCCGCACGCGCTACCAGAACCACGCCCGTCGCCGCGCCGCTGAAGCCGACCCCGACGCCTCCACCAACGCCGCGGATGATACCCGCACCCCCGGCGCCGACACCCTCGACCTCGTACTCATCCGCGGCGCACTCGTCCTGGAAACAGCATGCCACGCTGGCTTCGCCTCCGCGCGACATGGGGGTGTATTCTTCGCCTTCGGGGTTCTAGGTGCGGGGGGTTCGATCGCGCTTCCGCTGCTGCAGAGTGCGTTGAGTAAGCATGTTGGTGCGGATCGGGTGGGCCAGCTGCTGGGGGCGATGGCGCTGCTGAATGGGCTCGCGCGGGTGGTGTTTCCGGCGGTGTTTGGGGGGCTGTATAGTCTGACTGTGGGGGGGGTTCCGCAGGCGGCTTTTGTGGTGTTGAGTGTGACGTTTGGGGGGATGGGGGTGTTGAGTTGGTTTGTTAGGCCGCATGGTGAGTTGTTTCCGTTCTGGGGGTGGTGGAGAGTGTTGTGGGGAGGGAAGATGCTAACCTTGGATAGTTTATATTGAGGATGAAGAGCCGAATCGGACGACGGTGAGTGACGGGTATACGTATGCACTGGCTGAAGAGCTGGTGGATGAAGAGGCTGTTGGACGATAGAGTCGGGTATGGAATACATTGGATACACATTGGATACAACAGAGTAAGCCACACCGCACATTGGTTTTCCCTTTCATTGGCATAACCTATTTGTACGACATCGATAAACTCGGTGCACACTTCTGCATCTTGGTAGAACTGGGGCAGGGCCTTAATATCATTATAACGAAAAAGACAAAAGACAAAAGACAAGAGATAATAAATAGTATAATAAACATCTATCATACTACATATCTGTGACAACTACAGTTATATACATCTCGGCCCTTCCACCGAAGAAATCCTATTAATTAAGCCGCGATACTGATCCTACTACCATGAAATGTATTTTTAGCCGAAAGTTCTCACTTCCCTGCTTTCCTGTTCGAGTATGGAGGAAACGACCGTCCGATCCGATCGTCCACGATGCTGCCTTGGCCATAGGTTTCGTGTTGGGCTGACAAGTATATAGATCCGTGGTTCTTGTCGTTTGATCTGGGCGAGAAGAGGCGCAGCGCAGCATACGACGAATCTGACCTACAAGGCTGATTAAAAAACGGTAAAGATTAGATTTCTCATCAGTTTCCTTTCCGTGTCTCTTGATGCCTTCGCTTGGAGTCCCGCCATTCTACATACCGTGCTGCATACCAAATGCTAATCCCCCCACAGTCTGCCCAACTCCTGATCTCCCAATATCAAACCCTCCACCACCCCAATGGGCGCCAAACCACCACCCACCCTCCTCACCCTCCTCACCCTCCCCGCCGAAATCCGCGAGCAGATATGGGACTACTTCCTCGTCTCCCCCACCCACCGCGTCCTCCCCGTCCTTCCCGTCCTCCCCCTCCTCCCCGTCCTCCCCGTCCTCCCCCGCCCCTCAAACTCCACCCCTTCCTTCCCCGCCATCTGGACAGCCACCCGCCCGCTCCGTCGAACCCGTCAGCAATACCACGGCCACCAATCCTATGCCACCGCCTCGCAGCGCCTTCTTCAAGACAGTGCATCTCGTGCCCTGTGCTCCCACCACCGCCGCCCTACTCTGGCCATCTCTCCTCCCGCTCGCGCATCCGCTGACTCTCGTCAATAGACATGTCTAAGCTGAGACCTGTGCCGGAGAGGGAGCTTGTATGGGAGGACAAGAAAAAGCGGACTGATCGGTTGAGAGAGTTGTTGGTGAGGCAATGGGGTTTAGAGGGGGGGGTACGGGGATGGGATGACACTGTTTACCTGGGAGGGCTGGTCGCGTGTCGAGAAGTGAGAGGAGGGCGGGGAGTAGCACATTGGATGGCTATAGGACGGGCAGTGGCTTAAGAAACAATTCGGGGTGATAGCCAGCATATGAGTAGTTGACTTTCTAATAATCTACTTGAACATTGAAACCCACAAGCCAGCCACCAGCCACAACCAGTAGCCCTTCGTCCACCAACCCCTCTCAAGATCTCCGCTGGTGCACCAGTCTCCCCCGAACCCAAACAGCCAAAGTATTCCTATCATCCCCATTAAACACCCACTTCGCCAGCTTATTCTCCCAGCTCTCCCACCCAAAGATATCCACCGGCCCCCCATCACCCCCCTCAAACCCCCCCTCCACCCCAACACCCTCCATCCCCACCAGCTGCGCATCCCACTCCATCCCCACCTCAAACGCCCCCACCTTCCCCTCCATCCCCACAACCTTCCCCCCCCAAGAGTCCCCAAATACAGCGCTTCCTCCACGCTCAACTTCCTCCTCTCCGCCTCCTCCCCCGCCTCCCCCATCGCCAGGTTGCGACTACACAACACCGCCTGCCGCACCGCCTCCAGCACCGACGGCGAGTACCCACCACCCACATCCGTGCCCAAGCCGACATTAATCCCATCATCCAACCACGTCCTCACTGCCGCCATCCCACTCGACAGCGCCGCGTTACTAACCGGGCAATGGCTAATCCCCGCCCCACGCTCTCTAATCAGCGCCCTCTCCTCATCCGTGATATGAACCGCATGCGCCAGCACCGTCTTCGGCCCCAGCAAGTCATGGGAATCGTAGACCTCGGCGTAACTCTTCGATTCCGGGAATAGCTGCGCGACGAGGTCGATCTCGCGCTTATTCTCCGAGATGTGCGTCTGCACTGGCAATCCCGTCTCCTTCTGCAGCTTCCCCAGCCCCATCAGCAGCTGACTCGAGCACGAGGGTGCAAAGCGTGGGGTGATGATCGGCTTGACAATCGCGTGCGTAGGGTCGATGGAGGCGATATGCGCAATTGTCGCCCGCGTGTCCGCGATGCTCTCCTCAGGCCCAGCATCGCGGTAGTAGTCCGGCGCGAGCGAATCCATGCAACAGCGCCCAATGAGAGCGCGCTGGCCGGCGGCGAGGCAGAGGTCCGCGAGGAGATTGGTGGCGGGGACGGAGATGGTGGCGTAGTAGGCGGCGGTTGTGGTGCCGTGGGAGAGGGTGCGGGCGATGACGCGGGCGTAGACGCGGTGGGCGGTGGGGAGGGCGGAGAGGGAGGATTCCAGGGGGAAGGTGTAGGTGTTTAGCCAGTCGAGGAGGGTGGACTTGCCGAAGATGCCCGCGTTGGGGTATTGCGAGGCGTGGATGTGGGTGTCTGGGGGTTGGTTAGCTGGGGAGCTTCGAGGGCGGCCGGGGGGGTAGAGGGAGGGTGATATGTTACCTATGAAGCCTGGGAAAAAGAATTGCTCTTCTTTGGACTTGATGATTTGGATCGGCTTCTCCTGGCTATCACTCCAGTTCAGCTTGGGGAAGAAGCTCTTCGCCGCCGCTTCGTCGGCGACGCCCCTCTCGACGGCCACGATCTTGCCGGTCTCGTCCACAAAAATGGCAGCATCGTGTGCTATCTCCAGCTCCTTCAAACTCTTGCTATGGGCAAATGTGCCCAAGTAGACCTTCTTCTCTACCACCTTTCCACTCATGATGGCGTGTTATACAAAGTATGGAGAACCCTTGTTAGATAGCGCCAATGCCCGCAAATCCAGCTCAATACCGTACGATGGCAATATCAACGGTTACAGATACCGATCGTAACCATATACACTCTAACGGGTAACTATATATTGTGGGTAAACTCCTTTGGTTTGTTTAGAGGCCTCCTTATGTTACATGGTTGTCCGTTTATCACTGTTGAGGTGAGGGACCGAGACCCGCATAGTTAACGGCTACCGGCGTGCTCCGCCGCTCCCAGTCGATTGCAACATATTATCAGTTACCAAGGACCACACCCACTCTTTCAAACAGGTCTAGGTGTTGGAAGCTTGGAAGGAGACGCGCGATAAAAAAAGATAGCAAGTGACACACAGGATCGATTCAAGGAGATTTAGATACAGTAGAGTCCCGCTAAGCCGATGGAATCTAGCCACCAATTTGATATCGCCTTAATGAATATATCGCGCAACTGAATGCTAATATAATCCAACTATCTAGATAGAGAGAAGGACAGTTCAAGATGTTCCAATATGTTGATAGAAGGCTTGTAACCACTCCTTATCAAAGTTGTGTTCATCTAGGCTTTCTTGTCCCACTGCCACTCTCTACACATCGTTAAGACATTGATATTCTGAAGCGCACGAGGTTGCTTTGCTTTATCAATTATACAAACAGGAAAGCGCTTAGTACCAGTTGCATTAACACAGAAAACAAGAGTTATTCGATCTTTATTCTTCTTGATTCCTAGCTGTGATTAGGTTGCAAGACCTCTAGATGGAACCATTTGCCAAAACAATGCTGTTTAATCCATATTGTATATATCCTCCTCTTGATATTCTCTAGCTAGAGTTTATAAAGCCTTCATATCCTCTTCTGTAGGCTTGCTAACAGATCCTGCCTCGCCATGATTTGTATACTGTCGGATGTTGTGTCACTTCTTGAATAGAGAGAGCCAACCAACTAAGAAATCAGGTATAGGCTGTGTTAAATACTATGGAAGTTGCTGCCAAATCTGCCTTGCCCTTTCCTTCAAAGCCTCTCTACTTGTGTTTTTACCTTTGGCTTCAATCTGCTTTTGCTAAGCAAAAAGGATCTCCTTAAGGTCAGGCCATGTTCTAGTGCGGAGTCGAGCAGCTGTTAAGATAGCTGAGGAGTTGTCAACACTGTCAAAATGCTTGCTAAGTAAGTCTGAAACTAATTGGCTAAGAGAATGGTTGTATTTGTCCTTAAATCACCGTTAACAGGCCTTTTGTGATGGTTGAGGGTATTGTTAAGAATGCCACTCTCTAAGTGCACAACGCTGCTTAAATAGTAATGGGCTTATTTCGAGGCATTTCAGCCAAATTGTCTAATAGACCATTAGATAAGGTGATATTAGGTGGTAATGGAGCAATATTGATGAAACCAGTCGTTGTATGTGTTTTGAATCAGGACGAGAAAAACAATCGCATTATCGCGAACATCGCCTTACTAAGCATCAGCTTAGGACTCTACTGTAATAACATTATACTTCATGGGTATCATTAGGCCACTTTAGCATCGTAATTTGAGTGTAGCAGCGTAGCAGCTTTAGCCTAGATAGGAAATGTAACTATAATGGGCAAAAGATCTATATACCCTGCAAGTAAGCGAAAAAGATTAATATACCCTGTACTAACTATTAATAGGATTCCACTTTACCTGTCGCACGTCCACCTCCTTCCCCCACAGCGACCTTCGGAAGCACTTGACGAGACGTCTCTCCCTCCCTCCCTCTCCCTTTGGCCGATATGGCCTCGCTCGCAGGGCTCTTGGTCCCATCGGATAAGGCTGAGTTTCTTGACCTTGATGCCCTTATTTGGGCCCTTGACGACTGGGCTGTCAAGGGCAAATTCTCCTTTCAGACGCAGAAGAGGGAGGCTACAAAGGCCTCCTTCATCTGTGCAGAGAAGGAGGATGGGTGTAGCTGGCGATGCCGAGCTATACCCACCTTTTACGATGATGATGAGGAGCCCTCGTTATGGGCCCTTACTATTATCGAGCCAGAGCACTCCTGCGTCGGCCAAGGAGTGCGGAAGTTTGCCTCCTTGTCGAAGAAGGCTTGGCTAGATCCGGTGGTCTCTCGTCACCCGAATGTGACGACGAAGACCACCCCAAAGGAGATTAGAGATCTCCTCCGCATTCGATTTGCGGAGGAGATTGACTACAAGAGGGTGCAGGAATGCCGCCTATGCCTTCTTGATGGTGATATTGGCGCCCAACAGCAGAGCTTCCAGCTGTTGCCAGCTACAAGGAGCTCCTTGAGAGGGAGTCTCCTGGGGCACATGTAGATCTCCTTCGGGATACCCACATGTTAAGCGCATCTTTGTTTGCCCCTCGGTTTCGAGGGGCATGTTTACTCTTTGCCGCTGGCTAGTGGCAGTAGACGGGACCTTTTTAAAGGCCTGTTTTATCCTTACGTTACTGCTTGCCATTGGTATTGATGCTAATGGCGAGCTTGTCCCTCTTGCATGGGCGGTGGTGGAGTCGGAGAATGGGGAATCTTGGGGGTGGTTCTTAAACCACCTCTGTTTAGCTCTCCCTGAGCTCGTGATAGAGGAGAGCACCCTTGTCTCTGATAGAGACAAGGGGCTTCGAGAGGCAGAGAGGGGTTTGGGAGGGAGGGTGGTAGTAGCACATGTCTGGTGCTCTAGTATAGAGGAGCATATACAAGAGGTAAGAGTATTCTATTATCATATTACAATACTAATAACCATCTAGGTTATACAAGACCATGATCTATTATATATCTATGGCGATCCTATAGGGTAGACACTTTCTTTCAGATGAAAGGGAGGCTTGGAATAGAGCCCTCTCTTTAGTCCGGATTGCTATAGAACAGGCGTTTAGAGGAGTGTAGATTCTATAGACATATACAGCATTTAGAAAGGCGCTCCATTTAGGATATTAGCTAGTTAGGGTTTACTATCCTGTTGCAGTTCTATTATCAAATTGCTTTATATGGTTCAGTCATACATTAGCATCTAGATCACAGTTTGTAGTGCCTACCATTAATAGAAGAGTATTTACCATTATAAACTATATACACATATATCTATTATATCCCTTTCTATCCATCTGTACTCTAACGTGTCTGTTGTAATAGATGTAGTATTTGACTCACATCTACACATAGTTCTTAGAGTTTTGATTTAACTTTCTTGATAGCTTTTACGTTCGACTGCTTAGTAGCGCTTGTTAAATGCTTAGCAGTCCTTGCGATACTCTAAGCTATTTTGAGGATCGCATCTTTATAAGAGGGTAGAGGGGGGTCTTTAATGCGCAGTTTCTGCTTTCATCTTAGTTGAGAAGCTGAAGTTGACAGTGTAGGGGACTTGGAAATATAAGAATCAGAGAGGGTAGACTTAGAGAGGATTGACTTAGAAGGCAGAATAGAAGACTCTATTAAGTTTGATAGATTTTGATGTGAAATAGATGCTTTGGTTTCTACTTCCTTCATCCCTTTTGCTACGCTCAAATCGATTTGTCACGATGGTCATGGAGGTCATGATGCCAGTCTAGGTAAAGTAAGCTAGATTGAATCTAAAGAGAGAAGAAGAAGAAAGGAGGGAAGAAGGTGAGGCTATTCCTCATTATATACAGCTATGCACTTAGTGATCCCTTGTAACCTTAGTGGCTACTATTGTTATGATTATAGCTCACAGCTTGTTACGGTTATTACGGGTGCAGCCTTAGCCACCAAGGCTACAACCGCTAAGCGGACAACTGTATATTACGAGGAATAGCCTCACCTTCCTTTTACACGTCATTGCTCCTTAGTTACTGGGCCAATATTACCACATAGCATATCTCTACAACCCTCTATGATTCATTACAATGACATCACTCCTTAGTTACTGGGCTAATACTACACATAACATATCTCTATCAACTAGAGGCTTAGGAACATGAACGATAGCTCCAAAAGCTTCTACAACCCTCTATGATTCATTACACGTCATCGCTCCTTAGTTACCCACAAGATTGGTTAAGTTATGACATAATTTGTCTATAGGGGTACTCTGATTACTCTGACCTTGGACCCCTTTCACTTCCTATAGGCTAGGAACCTAGGAGATGGTTCTATGGGATTCTCTTACGTCGACTACAGTTACCAAGCCTGGTTAGTCATGGAAAGTCTTGGAAAATGAGAGAACTACACTCCTTTAGCATAAATAGGATTGCCCTTTCCTTAAGAAAGGGCAAGCAGACAATACAGTTAGTAGTTGATTCCATAAGCCCGTATATGGCCTGAGAATATAAGCCACTAAGCACCTTGTGTTACAGCTATAGTAACGTGACATCATGTTTATAGGGCTAGTAGGGCTAGGCTCTAGTAATGTGACTTATAAGTCATAAGGCTAGTGGGGCTAGGCTGTAGTGTGACCTAGCTAGTAGGTAGTTGGGAAACTAGTGGATAGTTAGATAGTTGGGAAAAAACACAACTATCCCAACTATCCAACTATCCCTAACTATCTAAACTATCCATAAGGCACAACACTACTATATAAGTAGATAGTATTCCCTTAGATAGGAGCTTCGTGCTCAACTCAATATAGTATTCTTTACAATACTATAACATGTTACTTAGAAAGCCTTTGTGTTTAATCCCCTGCCTCCTCTGTTAAGTCAACCCTCTATGCATCCTATTAGATAGGAAGTAGCATTACATCTTGCTCTTGCAGACGCTAGTGAGACCGTAAAGTACCATTGACAAAGCCCCAAACCCCATCTGTGCCCCCTACTCTCTTAATAGCCACTGCAAACTCTTCTATCTTCTCATATGTAAGTTGAGGGTGTCATTAAAGCATCCTCGAGTAAGACTGATATAGGAAGAGTACTATATCTGTAAATACAGTACTTAACTAGGCTATAGAGCGGCCGAATATATCAGCAAGTAATACCTACCGCCCTAGAAATGCAAGCCGGGCACGCAAAGCGCCATCTATAGCCTAGCTGTACTCTACTGCTCCATGGCACGTTATGGAGCTGAAAGAGTATAGTAAGTTGCTGGATCTCACCTACGAGCGAAGCGAGTAGGTGGACACTTATTAAGAACCTATTTACATAGTTAATTAGTTATTATAAATGAAAAGTGGTAAAGAAGAGTGCTTACCGTAGTAGTTACCGTGCTTAGACACCGTCCACTCTCAAATGAGATGCGCTAGCGTTGCTGAATATGACGGCGATGATGATACTAATGGCGGCGAGCCCATATTCGTGCTCTTCTTCTTCGTCCTCTACTATACTTGCGAGGATGACGAGAAGACCTGACAACGATATCATCCTCGTTCTCTGTCTCTAGCTTCGGCCTCGGGCTTGGCTCTGGCTTCCTGGCATTATAATTATCACTTTTATAGGCGGAATCACAGGGATCACCATATCTACCTATATACGACGACATCTCCAGCTTCAAATTATCGTATATTACGCTATATACGGCAGCTAACTACTCTAGGCTAAAGCTACACCACATCGCAGCTGCTACACTCGCGAGTGTAGCAGCTGCTGAAGTGGCCTATTGATTGCTTGATAGTCTATTCTAGTGGCCGGCTCCGAAAGCATACACATAAAACAAAACTATACTATATACTCGCTCTCCGTGGAGCCATTGTCCTCCGTAGAGCCTTCTTCTCCTCCGTCTCATCCATTAACGGCAGAATTCCCTTCTCCCGCATATCTGCCAGATATTCCTGGCCAAACTTGTATCCCACCTCGTAAATCTCATCGAACTTTTGAAACTCCAGAGTTCCATATGCATCGATAGGCGGACGCATGTAAAGGCAGCCAGGCGTCGTTTTGGCTCGTTCTAGCGCGTCAACACTTGACACGTACGCTAGACGGGCCTGGATCTCCGAGAGCGTGGGTGGGTTGGAATATGCTGAGAATGGGTTCCAGCGGTTCGCGATTGCCCAGAATCCCGAAAGCGAATCCCCAAAATTCTGAGGGGTATCGTCGTCGAGCGCTCCCACGTCTACGGCAAAGATAACGTCGGCTCCCAAGGATTTCATGTGAGAAACTGTAAGATTGTCCACATAGCCACCGTCGAGAAGCAGGCTACCCTCGTCGCAAAGTGGAGGTAGTAGACCTGCCAGCGACATCGACGCTCGAACATATCGCCATGCATAGCCACTGGTGTGGATTTCAGATCGACTCTTGCTTATGTTTGTGGTATTACAGTAAAACTCAAGCCAAAAGTCTTCGATTTGTGAGTTCCCAAATGTCTTGAAAATACCGCGATTGAATTCGTGTCCAGTCGTGTATGATGCCGAAGGATATGTCAAGTCCAAAGCGAACCGCCACATGCTTGCCATACGGCCAGCAAACTTCTTAGCACGGCCATACATTGGTACCACGTCTGCATCTCGGGCGTACAAGGCGCCGATAAAAGAGCCGATTGATGTTCCACCGATAATATCGATAGGTATCCCAGCTTCCTCGAGCGCCCTAATAATACCGACATGCGCAATCCCGCGAGCACCACCTCCTCCAAGTACAAGACCGACAGACTTGCCACACAGTCTTCGTGCAACTCTATGGAAGTCGCCCTTGAAAGGGGTATCGGCAGAGTACAGAGGGGTCTGTCGGACCTTGCGTGACGTGTACTTTTGAATCTCAGCTTGAATAATTTGAACTCTGTGCTTCAGCGCAGAGCCGAAGCGTCGGGTTTGTGGGTGGACTGGTACTGTGTCTGTGCTGAAGGCCATTTGGACATGATGATGCCCACCATTGATCCAATCACGGTTACGCAGCCAAGATCTTGTAAGACCAGAAGCCAAAAATTTGTCTGCATGCAGGAGAACCAGTTCTTTCCTAGCCGTTGTTTTCATTCCCAGCATGAACCGTTCGTATTCCCCAATTGCGGGAGACCAGTCTGCAATGCCAACCAACAGGATGCAATCTGCTTGGCTAATACACGTTTGGGTCCACGGTGAATTTACATTGGTATCTGTAGCAAACTCAGTTAGCTGCTGTCTTGCGTAATAATTATAAAATTATAGTAAGAATATGGTTGTAGTCAGGAAAAAATTAGAGTTGTTAAGTTTTAGTCTTCATCGAGACCTCTGGGTTAAAAAGTTCCTCATCATTCTACAAAGGGAATACGCGAAGTGGAATATAAAATGTCAAACATACCTGCAATGTAGAGTACCAGCCCATACTTCTCCTCAAGATCCGCCAAATATTGAGAAAGTTTCAGCTTTCCCATACGGCTGAACGCATGTCTGCCAAGATGATTGAGAATCGCAGCTTGGTTGAGTGAAGTAACACCATTCGGAGCCCCAATCTGGGTGAGTGCATTCATCAGTCGACTTCCAAATTCGATAACTGGGACACCTCCTGTGACGGGTACAATGGCCACCGTTCTCAGATTGCCAGTGGACGAGACCTTGACATTTGTAGCTGCCGTAGCCTTCTCGCTCCCCGAGAGGAATACCGGGTCCTCTATCAAAGCTCTCATTCTCGACGCAATGATTTTGGAAATCTTGATGGTGATTCCAGCGTGTTCTTTGGCAAGACTATTGAAAAGCGTCTTTGGGAATTTTGCTAGCTCGGTGTCTCGGATTGCATGCAAGGTCGCAGGTCGACAAGTCTCGGTCATCACCTCCAGCTCGCCAACGCTTTCTCCTTGGCCATACTCTCCAACGACTTTCATTTCAGAATCGTCGTCTTCATTGTTAAGAACAGCTCTAAGGCGGCCATTAAGTACAATATAAATTGCGTCACTTTCGTCGCCTTGGTGATATATGACTTGGCCAGCATTTACTTGTACCCATTCCAGGGCAAAGTCAATGTGGAGGATCACCTTGGGTAACAAGCTCGTGAGACGCTTTGCCATAGTGAGTAGCACCACAGGGTACTTCTCCACTATTCTCTCCAGTGAAGATCTCGGTAGGAAGCCCACATATACGTCGGTCTTGGCTGTTACATCAATGAACGACCGGTATGATGAGATTGTGCCGATGTATCCCGCAATTCCTCCCGGCTTAATGAGTGAGAGTGTTGTGCGTCCCGAACTCTTACGCTTTCGCGAATCTGGGCGCTTTGCCCTGGTATTCGGTTTTGACCCTCTAGAAGAGCCTCTGAACTGGCTAGATCTCTGTGAAGTGAAGCTCGAACTTTTTGTTGTCCGGCCAAGAAATTCTGAATCATCGGCATCGTCATTAGGAATTCCCACATCCAGGAAGCCGTCGATCACATAGTAAAGTCCAGGGTTACGTTCGCCTTGCTCGACAAGGACAGAGCCTTTCGGAAAGTAGACTATTTCCACCTCATCCCTCAATTCGGTGGCGAGTCCTTGGCTGCTAACCGTAACAAAATTGCTGGTGGTACTTGAGGTAACGGATTCCGTATCGCCATCACCTGAACCTTCATATGGGTCAATAAAGCCGAAAGCGTTATTAAAGGCAGGCTTTGGTTTTCTCTGGTCCATGGAGTGCAGGTAGGGAGAAGCTTCGACCGAGTCGGCCATGCGTAATGCACTTTGAGTAGTGGTGAGACCGATGGCTTTGAAGATACACTCGAGGATAGAGCCACGGAAGATTCCATCTTCGTCGATAGACTCTTGTCGGTGGAGTTGAGGCTGCATCACTCGAGACGCAAACGGGTTAAACGTCTTCTCCGTTAAAGGACTCAGGATATCGGAACCTTGTGCATTTGGTGTTGATTGCTCGAATGGGCTACTGACATGGTAATGCCGTCGGCCACTCCTCCTAGAAATGTGGATATTTGTAAGAAGGTCACCCGGGCTAGGGCTTGCTACTTCATCGACATTTGGAGCTTGGGTTGGACGAGTGGCTACTGTCTTAGCGCCAAGGGCATGCATGGTAGCCTCTTTGCGAAGGGTGCTAGACCGGCGTCTCCGACCTGCGCTAGCATTGTGAAGGGCAATGCCTTTGCGTGAATCCTCTGGTCCAATTCGTTCTCTCTCCCTAATGAACTTCTCTTTGAGGCGGTCCAGTGCACTGCCACGGAGAAAGTTTGGCAGCTCATATGTTGTGTACTTGTTCATGTGTCGCTCTGTGCGAAGGACTTCTGCCGTCAATCCAAGATAAGAGTGTCCCGTGGCCAGTGTGACACGCTGGAGCCTCGTCAAAATAACTTGAACAATATGAGAAGTAGCCTTCGGATAAATCCGAGTCAAGCGACGAAAGGCACTAGCAGGAATGATGGCAATTGTAGTGTCGACTCTAGCTCTTGCAATGATGTCTGGGTGCACCGAGTTGGACGTTGCCCTCCTTGGCTTCGGCCGTTCTCGTCGAGGGGTCTCTGACGGGTCCAGAGACATCGGTGGAATGTTTGAAAGGCCTGAGGGGTCGGACTGGACAGAATCTTGGAATTCACGCCTCAGAGTCTCGGCTCGTGATTGTTGAGCTCTATTCCCCGGTGGGCTACCGGCCAGTGAAGGTGGTGACCCACGGTTGTGGTCGATATCAGAGGCAGATCGATGGTGACCACCGCGTCCAGTAGGGGGGTTTGCATCCATTTCATCATCTTCGGTATGACGGAGCTTGATGTCTTCTGTGAATAGTGACAGGATAGAGAACAATGAGGACATTGGTGCTCCATTATTAACTTCAGTCAAGAGTTGATAGCCCTGGTGTCCACCACCCTCGTGGCGTTCTTCATCGCTATCAGAATAGAATATATCTGCCCCATTATGAGAAGCGTCGCTATCAGCGTTGTTGTCTTTGGTGGGAGACTTCACGAAAATCTCCACCAACCCGTCAACTACCAAACAGAAACCCTTTTCTTCTTCCAAGTTAAGCGTCTCTCCGGCAATGAGCTTGCGGGTTTGCATTGAGCGTGTCAACTCGTGAAAGACAGGACGTTCCAAATAGCCGAACACCTTGATAGCGCTCAAGAACTCGTCAAGATAGCTTGATAGACCGGACTTGGTACCATCCTCCTGTGTATCAGGAAATAAATCTACTTTGGGCTCTTTGCGTTGTGGCTCCGGAGGAAGCCGGGCGTACATGTTCAGGTATCTGTAGCGCACAAACCAGCTGAGGGTAGACAAGAGCGCGAGCATTATCAACATTCTATGAAAGAATTAGTTTGCGTTTGGAAATAGTGCAAATGCCGTAACTTACACAGTTGTGGCATTCAGTGTGAATGTGAGGCTCGTGGAGAACAGGGTAAAGAGCCATGATGGAAGCGTCAAAGTCGTGAAGGTGATTACCCAGTACAAGACGATAGGGATCACCTTCACGATGGATATGATGAGGCGTACCAAGAGACCCAGCCACGAGGACGGTGGCGGCGAAGACATATCCGCAGACAGCTTCGAGCCCGCCGTGGCTGCTAGCCTGGGGATACTCGAAGCTATCCCTGAGGACGTGGTCGTGGTCGACGCCGACAGAGCTTCCAAAGTCGACATCGTGACTGGTCGAATTAAAAACTTGTAAAAATGGTGGTATATAGACTGACAGCCTTCTCAGCGTCAGCCTATGAAGCAAAGCTAAGACGGTTCCATTGCCTCAGCTACTGGTTTCATACAGTAACTTGAAGCTTGGTGAAATATTTAAAACAGAAGAATTCCCTTTCAGCCGCCGAACTAAAGCTAACTTACCCAACTGAAAAATAAGCGAGCTGTGGCGGGGCTAACCAAAAGTGGAACACCATGCCACCAAATGCGAAATTGACGATGCGGGACCGATTTGTATCGTCGACGTGAATATTTCTAACTGACTCACTTCTGCTGGTCATTCAACCTCTCAGCAGACAACAACAGCACGATAACCAATATTCACCGGATAATTGAAACGGACAAGCTAAACGAAACAAAACAACCTCTCAGTCGAACCGCGCCGCGCAGCGCAAAACCGCGAAGATGTCGTTAACAAACTGCCGATTCTATGAGGAGAAGTTCCCGGAGATTGACAGCTTCGTCATGGTGAACGTCAAGCAGGTAAGGCCGGGATGGAAACTGGGCTAATTAGTTTGAACTAACTTGTTACCTCCAAAGATCGCCGAGATGGGTGCCTACGTCAAGCTCCTGGAATACGATAACATCGATGGCATGATTCTACTTTCCGAGTTATCCAGAAGACGTATCAGAAGTATTCAAAAACTTATCCGAGTCGGACGCAATGAGGTCGTCGTTGTTCTGAGAGTGGACAAGGAGAAGGGTAAGTGGCGCCATTTTTACCCCTCACTGAAGTGAGCGTGAAGCTGATTGCGGATCTCTGGATAGGCTATATCGATCTGTCGAAGCGCCGAGTTTCTCCCGAGGATATTGTGAAATGCGAGGAGCGATACAACAAGAGCAAAATGGTCCACTCGATTATGCGCCACGTAGCAGAGAAGACCAAGACTCCTATCGAGGACCTGTACGAGCGTATCGGATGGCCGCTGAACAAGAAATACGGCCACGCTGTGGATGCCTTCAAGCTCTCTATCACGTACGCCTTCTAAACCTCAGTTTCAATACGAACAGAAGCTAACAGTACTAGAAACCCCGACGTGTGGGCTGATGTTTCGTTCCCGAACGACGCGGTTGCAGACGAGCTCAAGTCATATATTGGAAAGCGCCTGACTCCCCAGCCAACGAAGGTCAGAGCCGATGTCGAGGTTACATGTTTTGGTTACGAGGGTATCGACGCAGTCAAGAACGCCTTACGGACCGCTGAGGCCCGCAACACCGCCGACACCCAAGTTAAGGTCAAGCTTGTTTCCCCTCCTCTCTACGTCCTTACAAGCACATGTTTGGAGAAGCACCTGGGCATTGCAACGCTGGAGGCCGCCATTATCGACATTAAGAAGAACATCGAGGCAAACGGAGGTAGCTGCACTGTCAAGATGGAGCCAAAGGCCGTCACCGAGAACGACGACGCCGAGCTGCAAGCACTGATGGAGAAGCGCGCCCGGGAGAACGAGGAGGTCAGCGGAGACGAGAGCATGAGCGAGAGCGACGAGAACGCGATCGAGGGCACGGTAAGATGATTTGGGGAATGGGAGTTAAAAGTTTTCTGAAACTCATGCTGGCGAATCTCGGCCGGTCTCATTGCAGGCGCTTAGACATGGCAGCGGTACGCACATGAATCTAAATGAAGTACATTATGACCATTGAATTGAAAATCCTATAAATCGTAAATATGCTCGTTGTACACATGGGATGAGACTCAAAATGTGGCGGCTTATGTCATGCAAGGCTACGATGTAGCTGACCAATATTGAACCGAGCCCTTCGATATTTCAGCCTCATACCCAGAAATTCAAGCTCACCCAGCAAGTCGTCGCAAACATGGCTACGGGGCGGCTGACGCCTCTTTTAAATCGTTTTCGCGCGCGTGGCCCATTCATAAAGCAGACATCATTTATTCTTTTCAATTTTATGACATGGATACCAGCTGTTATATGGTTTAACTCAAACGTGGGCGACATCGTCTGGATCCAGGGCGGTTCAATGTACCCATATCTAAACACCGATATTAATCGAACTACGAAGAAAGATGCTTGCTGGAATAGCAAATGGGAGCCCTTGGAAGGTTTGAGAAGAGGAATGATTGTATCATTCTGGTTCGTTGCGTCCGAATCGATATAGGTCTCTGGGAAACGAGGGCTAATATATGTTACTAGGAGCCCACCCCACCCCGAGGTCGAAGCCGTCAAACGCGTGATTGGCCTTGAAGGCGATATTGTTTTCACTCGAAAGCCGTTTCCAAACCCTCGTGCTACAGTTCCAGCAGGCCATATTTGGGTTGAAGGCGATGGTGGCCATAACGGAAAAGAGACGCTGGATAGCAACACTTATGGGCCAATCCCTATGAATCTAGTTACGGGACGAGTTACATATTCGCTCTGGCCGTGGCGGACCTTTGGCCCTATCAATTGGTGGGAATGGAAGCCAAAGACGAGGGTCATCAAGGCGAAGCGACGAATACGATGAGGCTGGAGGAGATATACGCGGGTCTCTATACTGAAGGGCGACGCCGAGCAAGGCATATACCGCTGCTCTACTATCACCACCTCGGATGGTAAAATACCAGGGACCTCGGAACGGTGCATTCAATACTGTTGGCTATGTCCGAGTTGCCCCGAGCGGACCCGAGCGACCTACAATGGAGAAAGAACAACCATTGCAGATTGAGCTCTGCGTTGCGATCTAGCAAAGGAGGACATGCCAAGCTGTAGCATCCGCCACAGAGATTTTTGAGGGCGCAGAGACAGGTTGAGGTTGATGGAACAGTGCCATTGTAGGATAGCATCTTCTAGAGGGGCCGCATTATACGACTGTACTATAGCGTGTCCTAAAATGTATTTATGTTAACAAGATTAATAATTGCACTGCAATATTCTGTACGGCGCTGTGTTATTTGACCTGATCAATGATAAAATATCCATATCAAAGGCAAAAATAAATTATTAGAATCTCCCTCTCGTTATTGTCATCTCCGAAATATTGCGGCAAAACCGGTCGGTCGCTGTAGTTGGGCCTCGGCCAATCATGCCCGATAAATTTCTGGCCGCCGCCCTACGAACCAGCAACGCACTAGCGTGAAATGACGCTCAACTGAAGGCCAAGAATTATTCGCATCACAAGAGCTACTTGCGCATTATAGAGCCCACCACTTCCCCTCGACCCCTCGACTCCCACTTGCCAATTGTCGCTACTCACGCACTGTTGGACCGATCCCAGACATCTGAAGACGTCACCTCCACGAGCTGAGGAAGGGCCATGTCCCTGGCCTCTCGCGTAGCCAACCTGTTCTCGGGATCACCTGCCGTGGAAAGAGAACGAAGCAAGTTAAACTTTGGAGATGATGGGCTGTCAGATGAAGAGCTCGGCTTCGCACATAGGCAATCACGGTTGCATGCGGCAGAATCGGACGCCATGGCACAGAAAGATGTCAAGGAGGAGGCACGCCCGCCATACCTTCACGTACGTTCGGGATGCGCTCGTTATGGGGGTTATGGAAACGCATGCTGATCTTTTATAGGCTATGATAGCTGGAGGTATTGGAGGGACAACGGGAGATTTGCTCATGCATTCTTTGGATACCGTGAAAACGCGCCAGCAGGGCGATCCGCACATGCCGCCGAAATACACATCTACGGCATCGGCATACTCAACGATCTGGAGGCAGGAGGGCATACGGCGGGGCCTGTACGGTGGTGTTCTCCCGGCACTGTTGGGTTCCTTTCCGGGAACCTTGATATTCTTTGGCACATATGAGTACAGCAAGCGTTATTTGATAGACGCAGGAGTTCGGCCGCAAGTGGCGTACCTGACAGGAGGTGAGCATTCCAGAAACTCATGGATATTGTACGTATGCTGACTCTTTCGCAGGATTTATTGCCGATTTCGCAGCGTCTTTCATTTACGTTCCTTCAGAAGTCCTCAAGACTCGGCTACAGCTCCAGGGCCGCTACAAGAACCCTTATTTCAATTCCGGGTATAATTACCGCGGTACAGCCGATGCTGCCCGGACAATAATTCGACAAGAAGGGTTCTCTGCTCTGTATTACGGTTATAAGGCGACTATTTTTAGAGATCTTCCCTTCTCGGCATTGCAGTTCGCATTCTACGAACAATGCCAGGCGTGGTCGCGCCAATGGAAAGGCAGTAGAGATATCGGGTTGCCGTTGGAGCTTGCAACTGGAGCTGCAGCTGGTGGACTGGCTGGTGTCATTACATGTCCCCTCGACGTTGTCAAAACACGCATCCAAACACAGGTCAACTCGCCCGATGTGCCACTTAAGCACTCGACGCCTGTGGCCAAACATGTTCCGGCCAGCGCGGCAACGGGGACCCAGACAACCATAAATCAGCAGAAGCGATCGATCTCTACCTCGTCCCCATCGACATATACCCCTCGACCAGGTTCAATCAACCTCGACACCTCTTCCGTCTTGACCGGCCTCAAACTGATATACAAGACTGAAGGGCTCGCCGGATGGTTCCGTGGCGTGGGTCCCCGCTTCTTGTGGACAAGTGTGCAGAGTGGCTGTATGCTGTTCTTGTATCAAACTATCCTTAAGCAGATTGAAGTATGGTCACCGCCAGAGGAGGAGAAAATAGACGAGGTGTGAGTCTTGTATAGATAGTGCATGGCATCTGTGATTGTATGGCGGGTGTTGTATGGTATTTGCATTGGGTGGTGTTTGGCTTTGGAATTTACCGCATTTGATAGCGGATATATAGACTATAGGAGAAATGAAAGGATCTTCACTTCGACCGCCGGCGCTCCCAGCATTGAAATCCCATGACAAGATGACAATCCACAAATCCCATCCCTCCCCCATCCACATGCCACCTCTTCATCCTTTGATGGCACTTAAATTCTTGAGTAAACAACTATATAGAGGTAGACACATTTGGCGGTTGGAACGCAAGTCGCTTACTCCGACTGTGAGCGAAACGACCTGTTGGTTCTAACAATCACATCCGATTTAACTTACATTACCGCGATCTGATGACCAAAGAGGAGACAGCATACCACCGGTCCTTTTCGCATCAATATAGCATATATATCTATTCTAGCTCAAGAGCCGAAAAGTGGACGTTTGCATAATGGGTTCTATAATTGAAAACTGTGCGTTTGATGTAATCAACGAGATAATCAACCACCTGGAGCGGCCGGACGCTATCCGCAACCTCAGGTTAAGCTGCAAGACTCTAGCAATCAACTTAACTACTCGAGTAACTTAAACTTATGACTAGTCATGCTTATGTAATATTTCACTATTCGAATAAGTTAGTCATGATTATTATGATTATTTGTGCTAACCCTGCCTTCCCTTCAGAAACCTTGGCGCGTGGGTGCCATTGATTGTCGACGAGTCCATGCGTCACCCAAAAGTAAACAAACCTCTTGACAACCTCACTCCCATAACCCATCATTTCTTCCGACACGACAATACCCCATACGCCAATTATTCGACAACAAACTTCAGCATTTCAATTCCTACGGCGCATATTGTAGTTTAAGAAGATTCTTTTGTACTCTTTAGCTTTCCTGTCTGCTCCAAGAACTCGACGCGACACTGCTCAAAACATCCATCCACAACCAACATAAACAACAGTGCCGGATAGCACCCCCACCAACGTCCACATTGCACAAAGTGAGCCGCTTTAATGGCTGCCTCGGCTGACTCGAGACATCGCTCTCGATTGATTCGAGAAATGGCCCGAGATCTTAACAGACACGACCACTCGTGTGCTTCCTCGACCGGTTCCCACCATGGCACCGTGAGCGACGACTCGACAGTCGACTTTGATCCCGAGAATGAGGCAATTATGTCCACGCGTCAAATGGACATCAACATCTCCCAGAGGCTCCCAGAGCTCCGCGATACCGCGAAGAAGTATGGCCGCTGGAACCGTAACAGGCAACAAACAAACGACTTCGTCATAAACACCTCGGCGATCGGGCGTGCCTTTCCCGACTTTTCCCAAGGAGGAAGCTCGGACGAGAGCAGCTTCCATGTAGAGGTTGGACGCGGAGCAAAGACAAAGCAACGCGTTCCAAGCAGGGTCCCACAAACAGAATACTCGGACAACATCGACTCTCCAGTTGTCAGCATTGGGGATTTTAAGATCCTCAGCACACCGCCATCGAAGGGTCAATCAAAACACAGACAAGACTCTCTCCGAAGCAGCGTCGGGAGGCAAAGCAAAGACACGCCCCAGAAGGAGAATATCCCACCACCATCAGCGACAAAGTTGCCAAACTATGTTTCCGGAGCGACGCGATCCTCTAGCGGAGAACAGCGCCGCACTCTTGCAGAGATCCACGCCCGAGTTGCCGACGACTCCGATGGATCTTTCATCAGCGATGAACGACCAGCCATAGTCACATTCCAGCCAAAGCAGTCGCGATTCTCCGTAGCCCAGACAAAGGGCTCCCCTCTTTCTGCCATCCACAATATCCCTCAACAACAAATCAAGAATGCCTTGGCCGATGCACTTTCTGGACACCGCGACGAATTCCAACAAACACCTCGGCCTCAGAACAATGCCACGCAAAATTCAAACACTGCAAACCAGACAAACCAGTCGTTCCTTCTACCTAACATGCCCGACCTCTCTGAGCTTGTCTCGGGGTCATTTAAAGATGGCACGCCAGTGTTTACACGCAGTGGCAAGGTGCAGTCTCGATTTACGTCTTCCTCTGGGAGAACCCCGCCTGGGCCAGGCCACGTGAAGTTGGACAATGTCCCTGTCCCAGATGAAGAAAAGGCTATTTTCATCTCGCTACAGCTCCTGCAAGATAAGGTTGCTATGCTTGAGATGGAGAAGGCAGACGCACAGCGAGTAGCCCAAAACCTGCAAGACGACAATTATCAACTCCAATCGGAGAACGCACAGCTTCAGAAGCACCGTCGATCCGATAGTGCTCTGGGAATGGCCGACAGTGGCAGCGATGGGGAGTTTGGGAAAGGGAACAAGAACCTCGTTGCTGAGAAGACCAGTTAGTAATCCCCCTTGACCCAGATATTTTAGCCACTAACACTGCTTTAAGAAATAGAGGCGCAGTTGAAGTCTTTGCAGGTTCGTTACATCGAGATTGAGAGGAAGTCGTCCAATCAGGAGTTGCGCCTCAAGACTGTATCATTCGAGCGCGACCAGGCGGCCAAACAACTTGCTGAGGCATATTATACCACGGAGCAGCTGCAGTCTGAGAATGATGCCCTCAGGAGTGAGAACGGCGAGCTGAAGCTTGAATTGGCGCGGCTCAGCACCGACTCGGAGGAGAATACTCGACAGTGGAGGCAAAAGGAAACTGGCCTTCGTGAGAAGATTAGCCGACGTGAAGCTGCCGTCATGGAACTCCGGGAAATGACACAAGAGATCCAACAAGCTCGTCTGGCGAATACCGCCGGCGTCAAGACTCGTAAACCGGTTGTCCAAAAGCAACAGGCCCGGAAAGAGCCAAGTAACCCTCGGTCAAGCACCCGCGGCCGTGTCCAGGCAGTCGTTGAGAAACAAGAGCCAGCACGCTTGCGGTCGCGATCACGTTCGCAATCCCGCCACACTCAATCAAGAATTGCCAAGTCATATGTCGAGGAGGAGACCTTCGATATCCCTCTAGCAGGAAGCACTAATGAAGACTTTGGCGCTAGCGATGAAGGCTCTTTTGATGATGTTACAAAGACTGTTCACAAGGACCTCAATGTCAATGCCGAGGATGCGACACAGGGCTCAAACTATTCGAGCATTCTAGGCCATGGGGAGATGGATCGTCTACGAGAAATGCTGGCGAACGAGAGAGCCCGAAACGCAGAACTCAGCGCCGGTGCGGGAAATTGTGAGCATACGTCCCATTCAGTTGCGTCGAGCAGATCGGCGAAATCGACCCGGGTCACCCAGGGACTCACTGGTATTCTAAAAAACCGCAACTCGGGCGAACAGGACCAGGACAGTACCTCCCACTCAAACGTATCTCACACGCGACGCCACTCTGAGACTTCCGTCAAGGCTCGAACAGCAGGCCGCCACGTCACGACGGAAGATTTCACCTCGGCTTTCATTATCCCAGATATCACTTTGAGTGTGGCAATGAACAGCGGTCACCCAACCCTCTCCGCCAAGGCCAAGAAGGTCCTTGACACGCTCTGCCACCACGATGGCGGTAACTGCACTGTTTGCACACGTGTGGCCTCTTTTGAGAATAACGTTAAGACGAAGCGAACTGTTTCCATTCAGAAGCCTATTCCCGTCTCTGATCGCATGCCAGTTCAAGGACCATATGAAGATGAGCCGACAATGCGCCCATCTGTCACCCCAGGACTTGCACTTGCTACTGTCATGAAGGGCCTTGAGGATGAGCTGGCCCACCTGAAGATTGAACTGGCCCAGTACCAGGCCGTTTACAACAAACATGACCCGTCGCTCAGCATGCGCAAGCGCAAGGCCGTCAAGGCCAGAATTGAGAGTTTGTTGAAAGCCATTGACACAAAGGCGGATCAAATTTACGCACTCTACGATGTTCTCGAGGGACAGAAGGAGACTGGCCAAGAGCTGAGTGAGAAGGAGGTTGAAGTTACGCTCATGGATATTGGGATTGATGTTGATGCCCTCAAGAAGGATAAGTCTGAGCAAGATCACGAGGGCGAAGATTCTGGGGAGGACTCCGAGCTTGACCTTCCCTGGGAAGGCATTGAGGATACGACCAGCTCAAGTAGCGTTAATGGAGGACGCCGGAGTTGGGTTGCATAATTTGTCAAGGATTGCATTGGATGGAGTTTGGGATAGTGGGATTTTGTCGGAGAGAACACAGAGTTAGGACATTTGCGCGGCTTAGTTTGCATCTGAGCGACTAGGTCCTGTCTGAGTTATTGTGTTTGGAATTGATGTGTGCACTGTAGCTGACTTCACAATGGAATGATTACCAAGCCCTCTTAAATGACGTCGATTTTGTTGTCGCTGTAGTCTTCGTAGTCTTTGTACTTGAGATGGATGTGACGCCAAGGGGGACAGTAGTGATGATACTACCAGCCAGAGCCGACACAACTTGGGTAGAGTTATTGCAATCACATCCTCCAAGGCCGTAGCATCATTGAGCCGTCGCCAGTAACTATTTGACTGTTGGAATCAGGTATATGAAGGCTGGACACAATTATAGGAGTCTGTCCATTATCTCAACGTTGATGGCGACTGAAACCGTGTAGGAACGCTTTCGAGACTCAAAGCTCTTCAGACATGAACCCCTTCCTTCGCTGAATCAGTCCCAAGTCATCATTGAACCCCTGAAATGCAATGGAATTTGAGACATCCACTTCTCACCTAGGTAAGCTTATGTCACGTGCTAAGCGTTACCTTGTCGAGCACCAAAGCTTGTAAAGTTACTTCCGACCACCCAGACCCTGTGACACGGCGCCGCGTCCCCCGGAAACAAACGCGTCTCCAACACGCCACCACATCACTTGCGCCTCAACAATCAATGCACCACGAACCATGGCTACAAGTACGTTACTATTCTACGATTATGTATATACCCTTGGCTGAATTTTATAGATCGCAAGACTGCGCGCCAGCAGCGTCTTCGGGGCGCGCAGACCCGAGAACCCCAGGATATCAACTTCGCTTTCACACTGCCTCCTGCCCCACCGGCACCACGAACAACAAGAAGCGCAGTGACGCCAAGCTCGTCGCGAGCTGCGAGGGTAATTCCGACTAGAGGCCGGGGACCATCTTCATCGAAACGATCTGGAAGTACGCGGAAGAGGGTCGAACAGAAAACACCAAGTGACAATTGGGCAGAGAAGCGACAGCGGATGGAAGTGACAGGTGGAGATGAAACGTCGGCGAGACGACCACCACAGGATACCAAGACTCCAGAGCGTGAAATAGAAGATGAGCTCTCATCCATCAACCCAGTCGCACTCCGTGTTGATGAAGAGGTGACGGAGAGCCCGAGAAATGCGCCTGGAAGTGGCCGGCGACAACATCTTTCTTCTGATCCAGCCGAGCGAGGGACTCCGACCAAATTAAAGACGCCACGAGATGCGACACGGAGAACGAGGAAGTCGATGCGGAAAGTGCCATCTCCAGAGCTGGACGCGGTCGATGAGATTGATGAGCTCTCCCCCGACCAGCCAAGGACTCGACCTAGAGAGCAAGAGGTCGATGAACTGTCTCCCGAACAACCAAGGACTCAACGTGGGAAGCGAGAGATTGCGGAGGAAATACCTGGTGCGGATTTATTGAGGCAACAATCTCGACGCCGACGAAGTGTCTTTGAAGAACCGGATACAATCGACGCTGCAAAGATCCCGAACGACAATACATCAAAGAAACGCCGCCGTCGAAGTGCTCGTGAGAAGCCGGACGAACCCGAAGAAGCTAGAGGTATTCCCGGTGCCGATGCAACAAAGAAACGCCGCCGTGGAGGTGGTCTTGAAGAACCGGAAGGTGAAGAAATATCCACTACGGATACGGCGAAGAAACGCCGCCGTCCAAGTGCTCCCGAGGAACCTGATACAGTAGAAGCCGAAGAAATCCCCGACACGGATGCGGCGAAGCAGAAATCTCGACGTCGCCGGCGCAGCGCTTTGGAAGAGGAACCGGAAGAGCGAACATCGAAACGTCGAGAGGTGGCTGAAGAAATCCCCGATGTGGACGAGCAAGAAGAAGCCGTAGAGATCCCCATCGCCGATGCAGCAAAGAAGCTCGTATCCCAACGCCGCCGACGCAGTGGTCTTGAAGAGGCAGAACCAACCCGCAGCAAACATCGGGCGTCTGGGCCACCAACCAAAGCATCGCCAGCCAAACAACGCGCCCCGAAAACACGCAAGCCTACGGGCGCAAAGAGAAGAGGGGCCGTCCCTGTCACCGCATACCGGATGACATGCCATGATTCAGACTCGGGTGACGACATCCTCAACCGCGCCATTCCCTTCGCATCTCGCAGCGGCGTCAATGCTGTCGACGTGCTCGCGCAGGCGTGTGACGAATTCTCTGGGAGCGCTGTGGATGCACTAGGGCGAGGATTGGAGGGAGCAGGTTCGTCTGCGGAGAGACGCGAGTATCGAACCAAGCTGCTCGCGGTCGAGGCATTTGCGGCGGAGTCGCGGTGGAAGCTGATGGAGCTGACTATCTCCCTCGATGCAGAGTATGCGATGAGGAAGCGCGTTCGGGCGGTCGTGAAGGAGAAGGGGGAGCTGCGGGCGAAGTTGATGCAGTTGAGGGCTGAGCGGGAGCAGATTGCGCTTAAGATGGATGCGGCAAGGATTCGGCATGAGGAGGAGGGGAAGGATAACGAGGTATGTTATTTTCTAGCGTTACAGTTCGTTGCTAATTTCCAGACTTTGACATCACTGTCGACAACACTCCACGACGTCGCCCTCGCCGCATCTCTTGGTCGGGACACTACATCGGGCGGTTCTCTCGCCAAGCCATCGCTTCCTGTGGTCATCGATAAGGTTGCCGCGATGGCGAGTAGTAAGAGTCGGGGGGGGGGATTGTTGAGACGGTTGAAGGAGTTTAACGGGTTTCTCGAGCGCGTTGCAGACGCTGTCGAGGGGAGGTGATTGTATTGTTTAGACGGCGTGTAGCTATAGTAACGATGACATGAATACAAATGAGATAAGCCCATTCCCATTCCCATCGCCATCCCTATCCCTATCCCCTTTTCCTATTACTATTGCCATCCCCGTTGCCATTCCCATCCCATCGTCCATTCCTATCCCATCGTCCATTCCCATCCCATCGCCCATTCCCATCCCTACCACCCATTCCCATCCCTGCCGCCTATTCTCATCGCCATCGCCTATGCCCATCGCCGTCACACATTCCCATTCCTATCCCCATCTCCGTTGTCGTTATCCATCCCCGTCTCCGTCGCCATCCCCGTTGCCGTCACTCATTCCCCCCCCTCTTACCGTCGCCCCATCCCCATTACCAATCTACGTTGCTACCTATCCCTATCGCCCATCCGCGTTACTACCTATCTCCATCCCTATTGTCCTATTGTCTATCCCCGTCGCCCATCCGTGTCACTACTTATCCCTATTACCTATCCCCTAAGCCCATCCCTATTACCTATCCCCTTTACTATATACGAGTATTGTTGTCACGAGTAGCCTCACGTGCATGACCTGTCACGTGCGCTATCATGCCAAGGCGGAGGGTCTTCCCTCCGAACCCCGCACGAGAACATATATAGTAGGAACGCGGCCCTTAATCGGAATGGCAGAGTTCAGTCTTCGTATCAATAGAGAGCTTGACCACGTAACTATCTACAACGTGACTTCCCACTGCCCTGTTCAGCCAAGGCTCTCTTACATTCTGAACGCTCCACCATTCCTACGATTGGGAAGAACAGCCCAGAGGGGGAAGTCAAGTAAGCGGAAAACCATGCCGCCACGTCAGACCCGTAGGGAAGCAGCTGAGAGCCTTGAGCGTGAGCATAGCAGAGTGGCTGTGCTTGAGAACGCACCTGAGGAGTCAGGGGCATCAAGCCCCTTATCCCAGGCTCACAGCTCCCCTGGAGCAGAAGCCCAGCTTGCTACGGCCCTCGCCCTCGAAGCTGAGTTACAGCGAGAACTTAAGCTGAGAGAGGCGGGCGAGCGAATCCGTCGACTACAGGAATGCCTAGAGTGCGTAGGACAAGAGGAGGCTTCTGCCCACACTCTTAGGTCGGACGAGCGAAGCGTTACGACTACTGTAAGCTCTACTTCGCATGCTGGGGTACCACGAAGCCTGAGGTCGAGGGCAATCCCTGAATACCGAGGAAGAACGTTGGCGAACATAACGAATTCATTACGAGCTGTGAGCTCGCCTTCCGCCTTGAACCACTAGCTAGGACAGATGAGTTCCGCTGCGACTTTGCAGCTACGTGGCTTGAGGGGGAACCCCGAGACGCTTGGCTCCGGCACGAAAAGGAGCCTAACTTTCAGAAGACCTGGAAGGAATTCAAGAGGTTCCTCCTTGATCTAGTCCAGGACCCAGTGAATAGGACCATATCAATGGTGATGAAGTACGAGGAGGCGCGACAACGAAGCAGCCAGTTGGCTCAAGCCTTCGCCACCTACCTTGAAACGTTAGAGGCGGAAATGCCTGCGTATAGCGAGGGGCACAGGGTGCAACACCTTCTTATTGTAAGGACACAGGGCACCCAGCTCACAGTAATAGCATATGAGAGTGCGAGTCGGAGGCTAAACGGATGCTATCCTATAGGTCTACTACGAAGGATACAAAAAAGATGACGAGGAACCCCGTTGGGTCAATCCCCTTAAGTACCTGAAACGGGTCCGACTCGGCTAACCTGCCCTAACTCTCCCCACGTGACCGTAACCTGCCCGACTCCGATGCTTTCCATCACTGAGGGCTTTGGCATCCTTACACTACCCCCCCTCTTAAGAGAGTGTTTTGTCCGTGAAACACGCTGTGAGAATTATTTCCGCAACATCTCCGAATGGTATCCGTGAGAAGAGCGTTCTATTCTGTTTGTAATGGCATCTGTAACAACCCTGTTTATGTGCCGTGTCGGGAAGGTGCATTGTATGTCATGCTAGAGCTGTGCCGTATCGACTCCGTTTATTGTGCGGAACCAGAGTTTACTTTGTTCGCTCTGGGGTACATTCGTGGTGGTCTGAGTGCACTCCGAATTGCATCCGCGAAACATTCGGGTTAGACTTTGCTTTGTTCGCTCGGGGGTGCATTCCTGGTGGTCCGAGTGGACTCTGAATCGCATCCGCGAAGCGTTCGGGTTAGACTGTCCTATGTATGAAAGGAGAAGTGTTCGCGCTAACCCGATTCGGAGTTCATTGTTGTAAGCCAGACTATGAGTGAGCAGCTGCGTCCGCTTCTTCTTTTGTCTCCAACAACAACGCCAGCGACCACCCTGTAATGGTGGGTGCACCAGATGTGAGAATCTAGCCACCCAAGGAAGGGATGAATTTACTAAGACAACACACTGTCTTAGAAAACAGAGCCAAAGGGTCGTAGCTTAGACTATTCCACAACGCAGCAATCAGGTGTGTGATGTAGTGAAGTGGTTCAGACAAGTTGCAACAAATGTTGAGTCTGGGAACTCAGGGGTAAGTCAGAGGTTAACACCTCACTGACTTTTCAGAAACAAGGAGTAACAAGATGAATGCTTGGAAGCTTGGAAAAGACGTGGAAGTATGTGATAGTTGATTTACTGTATTGTCTGCTTGCCCTTTCTTAAGGAAAGGGCAATCCTATTTATGCTAAAGGAATGTAGTTCTCTCATTTTCCAAGACTTTCCATGACTTATCAGGCTTGGTAACTGTAGTCGACGTAAGAGAATCCCATAGAACCATCTCTTAGGTTCGTAGCCTATAGGAAGTAAAAGGAGGTCCAAGGTCAGAGTACCCCTATAGACAAATTATGTCATAGACAAATTATGTCATAGACAAATTATGTCATAGACAAATTATGTCATAGACAAATTATGTCATAACTTAACCAATCTTGTGGGTAACTAAAGAGCGATGATGTGCAATGAATCATAGAGGTTCGTAGGAGCTGTTAGAGCTATCGTGTTACGACGGAACAAGAAGGCTGGCCAACTACAGGACAGGAAGGAGGGAGGTCGCATGAGACCGGCCCTGGTACCTGGAGGGGCAGCGGGGAATAGTAGTTCTGAAAGTATCACGTGACGGACTCGCAGGATGATGAGAAGAGTCCTAAGAGTCCAGGACTCCGAGGACTCGAGTGAGTTCCCAGGAGTCCACTAGGCACGTGATGGACTCGCAGGATGATGAGAAGAGTCCTAAGAGTCCAGGACTCCGAGGACTCAAGTGAGTTCCCAAGAGTCCACTAGGCACAACGCCACTATATAAGTAGATAGTATTTCCTTAGATAGGAGCTTCGTGCTCAACTCAATACAGTATTTGTTATATACTAGTAACGTGTTACTTGAAGCCTTTGTGTCTGATCCCCTGCCTCCTCTGATAAGTAAACCTTTACGCAAGAGAACCTCTGTGTCTTCTATCGTTTAGAAGTCAGCGTTACATATCGTTCATGCTCCTAGGCCTCTAGTTGGTAGAGATATGTCATGTGGTAGTATGAGTGATGTCATGTAATGAATCATAGAGGTTCGTAGGAGCTGTTAGAGCTATCGTTCATGCTCCTAGGCCTCTAGTTGGTAGAGATATGTCATGTGGTAGTATGAGTGATGTCATGTAATGAATCATAGAGGGTTGTAGAGATATGCTATGTGGTAATATCGGCCCAGTAACTAAGGAGCGATGACGTGTAATGAATCATAGATGGTTGTAGCAATCGTTGAGTAGTATTGCTCTTGTTGTTGGTGTGATAAGCCAAAATATGTATAGTGACTTGTAGATTTGAGGAGGAGATTTCTAAGTTTGCTCTTGAGTTTGATAGCAAACTGAGTGCAACGAATGTCAGTATGACATACCCAACATTTACTAGATGGTGTAATGGTGGGTGCACCAGATATGAGAATCTAGCCACCCAAGGAAGGGATGAATTTACTAAGACAACACACTGTCTTAGGAAACAGAGCCAAAGGGTTGTAGCTTAGACTATTCCACAACGCAGCAATCAGGTGTATGATGTGGTGAAGTGGTTTAGACAAGTTGCAACAAATGTTGAGTTTGAGAACTCAGGGGTAAGTCAGAGGTTAGCACCTCACTGACTTTTCAAAAACAGAGAATAACAAGATCAATGCTTGGAAGCTTGTAAAAGACGTGGAAGTATGTGATAGTCGATTTACTGTATTGCCTGCTTGCCCTTTCTTAAGGAAAGGGCAATCCTATTTATGCCAAAGGAGTGTAGTTCTCTCATTTTCCATGACTTTCCATGACTAACCAGGCTTGGTAAATGTATTAGAAATCAAGTGCGACCCACAACTAGCTTGCTAATCATGTAGTGAACGTAAGAGAATCCCATAGAACCATCTCTTGGGTTCCTAGCCTATAGGAAGTGAAAAGGAGGTCCAAGGTCAGAGTACCTATAGACAAATTATGTCATAACTTAACCAATCTTGTGGGTAACTAAGGAGCGATGACGTGTAATGAATCATAGAGGGTTGTAGAAGCTTCTAGAGCTATCGTTCATGTTCCTAGGCCTCTAGTTGGTAGAGATATGCCATGTGGTAGTATTGGCCCACCCCCTTAAGGAAGAGATTTTCTTAATAACTTATTCAATGAGTGTCCAAATGATATGCCGTGATGTATGTAGCATAAACAGATGTAGTAGAAGAGTTTGCAGCAATCGTTGAGTAGTATTGCTTCTGTTGTTGGTGTGATAAGCCAAGATATGTATGGTGACTTGTAGGTTTGAGGAGGAGATTTCTAAGTTTGCTCTTGAGTTTGATAGCAAACTGAGTGCAACGAATGTCAGTATGACAGATGGCTGGGTGTCAAAGTAGCATACAATTTTTTTTTTTTTACATATATTCCTCAGATTTCTGTGAACCTCCACATAAGGATATCCTTGCTATAAGGATGCCACGCCCGGTCCCGAGGGGCATCCTTACTGGTACTATTACGAAATTAACGCGAGACTAACACGAGATTAACATGCGAACGTCGTGTCGCGTCACCGTCACCCTCGCTTCACCCCTTAAGGCGGCAAGGGGCTCAGATTCCACGCTATGGCTATTGGCACGATTGCGACTATCGTCCAGGTGTTCGAAAGGCCGTATCCTAGTGTCTGCCATCACGACCGCAACTTCGTGGAAACGCGAAACAGTTGGTCGATTATATCTTCCTCGGGCCTCTCAAAAGGCCGCATCCTGTGTATTCGATTACGACAGCGGCTTCCTGCGAAACGGGGGATGGTTGGTCAATTTCCCAAACCTGCCTCAGGCGTTGCACTGTCTCAAAGGAAGGCCTCGTGATAATTTTCGTACTGCTCCATTTTTATAATGAGTAGCCCCTTTAATTCTTCCCGAATAGCTCGTCGTCGCAACCCATTCAAATCCCGCTCATGAGTGGAAATTTCCTTACAAGGTCCTCATCGTCGCCTACAGTTATCTCTTGAGGAGTTGGATTCGAATCTTGCATTTCCACTGTGTTCGCCTTTCGTTCTCTCTTCTTCAATCAAGACGATCCATTAAGTTACGCCGAGGTTCGGCAGAACAAATGTTTGGCTATCGATCCCAGGTGATGAACGAAAATGACAAGCCACTAGTTGTCCACTTTTTCGAATCTACGCGTGCAAAAGTCATGGGCAACCTTGGTCGCTGGGGGGTACAAGAATTCAACCTATTCAATTGCATCTAGACTAACTTAACTGTAGAGCTGGTGGAATCGCCGCTGCTATTTTCACTGCACCTCTCGACGTCTTAAAAACGCGACTACAGTCTGATTACTACAAGACACAATTAGCTCAATCACGCGCTGCGTGTGGCTCGCCGTCACCCGATTCTCTTCCCATCCTTCGCTCTTCGACACTTCATCTTCGCGAAACTCTCAACATTCTTTTCTCCATTCGCCGCTATGAAGGCTGGCCTGGCTTATTCAAAGGCCTCGGCCCAAATCTTGTTGGAGTCGTACCCGCCAGTGCTGTCAAGTTTTATACATATGGAAGTTCTAAGCAAATGTTATCCCGCTTAAATGGAGATCGTGAGGCAGTATGGATTCACATGGTAGCCGCGGCTTGTTCAGGCATAGCCACGAGCACAATCACAAATCCCATCTGGCTGGTTAAGACTCGATTGCAACTGGATAAGTTGGCTGCGGAAGGTGCAGGTTGTGTCCCTCATCAGAGGTATAGAAATAGTATCGATTGCGTCATGCAGATTATGCGACATGAAGGGGTCAAAGGCTTTTATCGGGGACTGACCGCAAGCTATTTAGGAGTTGCAGAAAGCACTCTTCATTGGGTGCTCTATGAACAGGCTAAAATTCTTATTAGACTTCGTGAGGAGCGGCTCGTCATGAAAGGAGAAACTTCTGACTGTGACGGCTTAGTGAAATGGGTCTACCAGGCAAGCGCTGCAGGAGGAACAAAGCTCTTTGCCGCCATAGCTGCTTATCCTCATGAGGTATGATCCCTCTTGAGCTTATGCTTATCATTTTTAATTCAAGAATAGGTTGTGAGAACGAGGCTACGAGCAGCGCCAACACATAACGGACTTCAGAAGTATACTGGTCTATACCAATGCTTCTGCCTCGTGTGGAAGGAAGAAGGGCTTGCAGCTCTGTATGGTGGGCTAACAGCACACGTACTACGCGTAGTCCCAGCAACGGCAATAGTTTTCGGCGTGTACGAGATTACAATTGGACTTATAAATGGCACGTAGGCTCACGGGAAGGGTCAATCAAATATTAATGTAAGATATAATGAGTTTGTATCAAATAGATCTGCAACGCATACGGCCTCTGCATTTACACAAACGATGTGGGAAAAACCTAGAAGGCAAAAACCACACCAAGGCCCACCGTCTCCCCCCTATCCACTCAAAGCACAGACAACTAAGCTTGCCTCATTCCTCCCGATAACTATGGTATTGATACATCAGTTGTGAAGCCTCGGTGAGCAAGGAAGTGTGGAATACCTGTGATTCACTTGGTTTTTCCTGATCCTTAGCAGTTTCCGCATGCCGTTATGGTTTGTCCCGTCATTCCACAAGAATTACATCCTGGTCCAAAGCAACTTCCGCATGTATCTGGCACATTGGTGTTTAAAGGGAACGGAGCAAGATGGGATTTAGGAGGGGGCTATCAGTGGGCTTTATAGAATTTGGGGAGCCCGCGTCTTCGGGTGGGTAACAGTCATTGTGCTGTTGGATGGTTCGACAATCAAGTTGGTTTCCAGGAACATGGTCATTCTCAACATACTAATGCGGTTATCATCCCTTCGACGAGCAATGTACGTTAATTCTAATTGTATCAACTAAAAATCAAAATTATTGTATCCCACCGCTCTTAAATCTAGCCAGGGTATCCTTTATTCCTGGCAAGCTCATGGCTTCCACGAAACCTCGGAATGCGGAGCTTTTCGCCAAGACGGATGAGGATAACCCTAAATAACAATCTTCAATCAACCGGTCTTTGATGTCCTTAATTTTAAATTCTATAGCCGTTCCCATATTTTTTTGGACGGTACATTTATTATCACTTGTTGCTCCCTCCCAGTGGTCGTCTGAAAGTTCCAAGCTCGGCCAAGGAACAAAGTACTGCCGGCCCGAGCTTGAAATCGGAGATGGACGACAGAACATGTGGATTTTGACCGGAGCCAACAACAAATTGCTCACGCCCACTATACCACTACCAATTGGAACCTCCCAGCGACCCCGCGGCTCCTGCATCTAACAATGCAGTGGGGGCACATGCAGCGTTCGCCCTCGTCATAACATGTCTCTCGGACTCCCCGTTCCCTCGGCCGGCGCCCTGCGAGCCCTCCGCCAGCTCGCCCTCGGAACATCGTGTACCGTCGCCTTCACGACCGGGCTGCTGGCCGAGGACCGCAGGCGCCGCATCCATTCTGCGCGTGAGGTGCAGGAGAACGGCCGACGCATCAAGTCGTCGAGAAGCTACCACGGGGCGGCGGGTGCGGTTGCAGTCGCGAATTTTGAGGACCATGTTCTGAATCCGCCGTTGTATACGGCGGGGGATGGTGAGGCGCCGACGAAGTCGATTGCGAGCTGGGGGAAGGATGCACCGGCGAAATCGAAGAGGCTTGTTCGTTCGCAGTCACAGCGAGAGCTGAAGGATGATTTGGAGCCTGTGGTGGCTAAGGAGAAGCGGGATGCTTCGAACGATGCCGATTTGCGAGCGAGAACGCAGAGCCATGCAACTCGCATTGCTATTAGAAAGACTGGGCAGCGTCAGAGTCGACAAAGTGCATTGGCTGCCAGTATGATGGAAACTCTTCAGGCCGGCGATTCGGCTGTAGGAATTGAGTCGGCTGCCAGCGCTTTCTTCGAGTCCTTTCAAAACGGGCTATATATTGGAAAAGAGCCAGGGCGCCATGAATCTCAACTTTCGAAACGGCTGGCTTCAGCGTGTGGACAACTCTTCGATGCTTGCCAAAAACATAACTCCGTTGGGGTGTACGTCCCCGTCATCCAGAAACTCCTCAGCCTGGGTCCAATAGAAGAAGATATCTTTTACGAACTCCACGCCCCGGAGGTTATAGCCCACCTATTGGAAATAAAAACACGCAAGGAAGGAGAGGATCAGGGCTATCTTGAGGCGTTGCACTCGGCATCCTCCATGTATATGACGGAGTTTTCCACGAAGCGACTAGAAACCGCCCATCCTCGGATGCGACATCTCGGCGCGCTTCTCTGCGCGAAAGCCATGAAGGAACAACTCTACGAGCTAACTGACGCCATCTATTGGCGGATGTCTGCCATCCCCAGCGACGAAGCCCCGTCCTGCGTCGACTACCTCATCCTTGCCAACCACAGCATGGGCCATCACAAATCCGTGCTACACTATTTCCGACGCTTCTTCGTCCTCACCGAACCCTCGAAATACGAACTCGACGAAGTTGTCGGGGCGGTTCTCGACTCCTGCCTTCGCAAAAACGCACTCGGCCAGGCAGAGGATGTTGTCCGTACTGGGGCCGAGATGGCAAGATCTGGCGGGTTTGAAATAAGAGCGGAATGGCCTATGAAGGTGCTGGGACAGCATTGGAGGAGCACCCGCGATCTTGTGAGCACACGAGCGCTTTTTGGCAGGCTTGAGGCACTGGTGGACTGCATTGATCTGCCGCAAGCGTTGTACAGTGCGATTATTCAGTTCTGTGTCGAAGATGGGAAGGGTGACCACGCTAACGCATACCTCGATCAACATACGTCGGCGAATAATGGTGCGGTGAGTCTGAGGACCTGCGGCCATCTGGCTCTGTCGAAGGCCATGAAGGAGGATTGGGAGGGTGTCGAAAGCAGTTTTGAAACTATGAAACCCCTCTTAGTCGACCATAAGACGAAAGAACAGCATGCACAAGTATTGGCGCCGATATTCAAGCTCTACACCAAATCTCACAGCGTTACCGAGTCGGAGCAGTTCGTCCGCAAGGTCATGGACGAGTATGGACTCGTCCCAAACATATACGTATCAAACATCATGGTCGGGAAATATGCAGACGCAAATGAAATCGACTCCATCCCGCACTGGCTCGAGACCATGCGTCCCTTCGGCCTCATCCCCGACGCCGTCTCCTTCAACGCCATGCTCAGCCACTACCGCGACGAGTGGACCATCCCCTTCACCGACCTCCTCCATCTGTGCCACAAGATGAAGGACACGGACGAGAACCTCCTCGACCAATGCACCGCGCGCATCCTCCGCGAGGCCGCAATCCGCGAAACGAAAGGGGATCGCTTCGCTTTCGTCCGCTTCTCGAGGCAGATCGACTACCTTCGCCAAGGCCAGCAGGACAGCGATAGCGGGTTAAACTTTTACCCCGCTATGCGCGAAGCCATGGCCAAGGGATCCCCGCGCAAGACCTTGCGTATTTACCACTCCGCCCTAAAGCGGGAGCACATCCACATCCCACCCCCCATGTTCGCCCTCGCCATCCAAGCCTCCATCGACTCCCACCCAGCAGACAACAGTATCAGCGCGCTCCTCCCCCTCGTTAGCTCCGCTAGGGAGAGGGGCGTCGATATCAGTCTAGGTATGGCGAGGCTGCTGATGCACCAGCTCGAGGATAGTAATCTGGATTACATGGACCTGCACGCTGTGCTGAGGAAGAACACCTTACTCTTCGCAGACCACGGCCTCACCATGCCCATGGGCGTAGCTACGAAAGTCGCCAGCGTCTTCTCCCAGCGGGGTCTAAACCGCGATGCGTTGGCGCTGTGGGAATACTACGCCGCGCGCAATGGCGTCTCGCGCGACCTGGTCGATCTGTCTAGTTTGACGGTGCTGATGCGCGTGCACATCGCGCTGGAGAATGTGGAGGGTGTTGAGTGGGTTATGAATACGCTTGAGCGGAACGGGATTGTACCGAGTAGACGGTTCATGTTGGTGATTAAACTGGGGATTGCGAATTTGAGGAAGCAGCAGCCGAGGCGGTGCGGGGGAGGGGGTGATGGACCGCCTAGAGCGTTGGGAGAGGTGCTGGAGGAGGCGCTGGGGGGGGTGAGGTTGAGGAGGGAGAGGCATGGGGTGGAGTGTAGGAGGGTGGGGGGAGATTGTTGGATATTATGAGTGCGGCGGTTGTGGAGTCGAGGGGGGAGGACGTGGCACCTGCGATGTGGACGGCCGTTTCAGTCACGACGCTTGATCGCGGGGTTGGCTCCCCAGGACAGAAGAGCCGATTGTCCGCGGCGCCTCTGATTGAGAACCAGGCCTTTCCCAAGCCAACGTACGAGTATATAGAGGCAGAACCGAGGCACCATCTCCAGCATCATCCGCGAGGGCATGCGGTGAGGAGAGTTAGTTCGGGGGGAGGGGTGTTGGCAAGGAAGGTGGTGTCGGGGTGATCGTAGATGTTTGTGGTGAGGGGGGGGCTAGGGGGGGTGAGGCGGGGGTGAGGCGGGGGTGAGGGGTGAGGGGTGAGGGGTGAGGCTGGGGGAGGTAGTTGGGGGTTTGTGGTATATAGCGTAACTTGCATGCACATAACTGTATCTTACACAAACTACAATTGTATATCAAATATTTAGTATAAATAGCCTCATTATTTCCCTCTCTCTCTAATAGGGGTACATCCCCTACCACGATGCCCACCGCAAAATCCCTCTTAATCCATGTACAAAACCATGTTACTCGGGTACAGTAGTGGATATTCAGGGGAATACGTGTTCCTGACTGGATAATCCATGGTTAGTGTGAGGCCATGTTTCCTTTGCCAGCCAGAGTAAGTTAGAGCACCCAAAAGTTTAGGATAAGTCACTCGAGCATGGGGGGGAAATGATAATCTCTGAAGTGGTAAGTTATATTGTTGGTAGGGTAGAAAGGGTAGTATGGAGGAAAAAGATAATCTCTACTATACTCTACTATTTATGCTCAATAACTGTAGATTCCCTGCTGCCGTCTCCTTCCGCCGTTCCACCACATAAAGTACATAAACACCCTCGTCCAGCTGCGCAGCTTCAACAGCCCGCCCACCACCGCCCAAGTCAGCGTCCCAGCCAAAATTGCGTCGCCTGTCTCGCGCCCCTTCACCTCCCTCCTCGCTCCCACAATCGACACCCAGTACCCCTCCATGACGGCGACGCAGACCACGCACGAGTCACTCTCGCAGCGGCGCCGAATGCACCACGAAGCCGATGTTGTTATAATCGGGGCGGGCGTCTTCGGGTGCGCCGTGGCGGTCACGTTGGCGCGCCAGGGCCGCAGCGTCATTCTCCTCGAGCGGTCGATGAAGGAGCCTGACCGGATCGTGGGGGAGCTGCTGCAACCCGGCGGCGTGTCGGCATTACACAAGCTGGGATTGTCGGAGTGTCTGGAGGGCATTGATGCGGTGGTTGTTAATGGCTATAATGTCATCTACTACGGGAAGGAGGTTCATATCCCGTACCCGTACGATACGAGGGTGGAGAAGTCGAGGGCGATGAGGGAGTCAAGGCCGGTGGGGTGGTGTTTTCACCACGGACGGTTCATTAACAAGCTCCGCGAGGCGTGCAAGAGCGAGCCGAATATCACGATCTTCGAGACGACGGTGAAGGGGACGGTGAGCACGGATAACAACGAGCAAGTCCTCGGCGTAAAGACAGAGACGACAGACCCCATGGACGGGTCGAAGAAACCGGATTACTTCTTCGGCGGCCTCACCATCGCAGCAGACGGCTACGCATCCACCCTGCGAAAACAGTACATCTCCAAGACCCCCGTGGCGAAGTCCAAATTCTACGCCCTCGAACTCATAGACTGCCCCATCCCAACCCCGAATCACGGCCACATCATCCTCTCCGACAATGCCCCCGTCCTCGTCTACCAGATCGGCACCCACGAGACCCGCGCGCTCATCGACGTCCCCGAGAACCTGGAGACCGCCAAAGCCGCCCTGGGGGGCGTAAAAGCACATATTCGCAATGTCGTCGTGCCAACGCTTCCGAAGCAAATCAAGCCGACTTTTATAAGGGCGCTGGAGGAGGGGAAACTAAGGAGTATGCCGAATTCGTGGTTGCCGCCGACGCAGCAGCAGACCCCGGGGATTGTGGTACTGGGGGATGCGATGAACATGCGTCACCCCCTCACCGGCGGCGGCATGTCCATCGCCCTCACCGACGTGGTCATCCTCTCCGAGCTCCTCCACCCGACTCGCATCGCGGACCTCTCCTCCGTCCCCGCCATGAGCCTCGCAATGCGCACCTTCCACTGGCGGAGGAAACAACTCGCATCCATCGTGAACATCCTCGCCCAAGCCCTCTACGCCCTCTTCGCCGCCAACAACGCCGAGCTGAAAGCCCTGCAGCGGGGGTGCTTTGAGTACTTCCTCTTTGGGGGCGCGTGCATTGATGAGCCGGCGGGGATGCTGGCATGTATCCTGCCGAGGCCGTTTTTGCTGTTCTACCACTTTTTCTCGGTGGCGCTGCTAGCGATGTGGTTGATTATGTGTGATTGTGTGGGGGATTTGCTGGGGGTGTGGAGGGCGCCGCTGGGGGTGTATAGGAGTGGTGCGGTGTTGTGGAAGGCGGTGGGGGTGATTTTTCCGTATATTTTTTCCGAGTTGACGTGGTGAGATGGCTTATAGACTCTGGGAGGAGGAGCTTAGGTGGTGAGGATAGGGCGGGGAGATGAAAAAGTTGATGGGCGGTGGTAATGATGATGGGTGTTACTTACATATGCTTCGTTGAAGAACATAAAACATCACTGTACGACGTTTGGGGCGTTGTTGTGGGGGGGGGCAGACAGGCATCCAGCATAGCCTTCTAATCTATGGACACACTCTATTCAATCCATTTTGTAGACCTACAATGAGAGAACAACCGCAACTCATGGCGATTTTTGAAACTTGTGATGTACTGTATGTGACCTGCCTGTTCTCTTTTCTATATAACTTGTAACTCTTATATATACACGCGTAATAAGGAGGGCACTGTCCTGTAACAACTTCACCGCCGCCGGTATACCCCCAGCGCCCAACTAGCTCGCAGAACGGCGAGCCCGAAGGCCATACCTATACTATCCCACAGCACATTCAACTTACTCCCCCCCACCTCCTGCCATGCAATCGGGACCTCCGCGACTCTGACGCCCCTCACCGCACCTCCTATCTTGCCTCCCTCGTGCTTTTCCTCTGGCACAGATACAGGTGCACTCTCCGCAAGCATCAACATCTCGACATCGAAGATCCACCCCTCCGCATGCATATACGGTATTATATGCGGGAGCGCCGCGCGGGTGAAGAGTTTGAATCCACACTGCGTGTCGCGGATGCGGGAGGTAGCAGGTGGAGTAAGGAGTCTCAAAAGAAGATGAAAAGAATGCATCAAAGCATTCCTAACAAGCGACCTCTTCACCACCGCCTCGCTCCCCACCAAATGCGCGCGGCTACCAACAGCCACCGCTCTCCCCCCGCCATCCTTGACGAGCTCCGCACCAGCGACCAGCGCCCCCAGATCGCGGAACCGTGACGCCCCGTCGGCATCGGCGAAGACGGCGTGGGTGCCACGGACGTGACGCAGGCCGTGGGTGACGGCGCCGCCTTTGCCGCGGTTGCGGTGCAGGGAGATGATACGCAGGGTGCTGTGGAGGGAGTGGGCGTGGGAGAAGCGGAGGGCGGTGGAGACGGTGCTGTCTGTTGAGCCGTCGTTTATGAGGAGGATTTCGTAGCCCTGCGGTTCGCTTTGGGAAGAGGAGGATTTCGATTTCGACGATTTGGTGGAGGGGGAAGGGGAGGAGGTGCGACCGTACGTAGCGTCCAAATAGGAGACAGCTTCCTTGAGCATAATTTCCAACCGCGCTTCCTCGTTGTAGGCCGGGATGACGACGCTCATTGCGAGGGTGGCGGGCTCGATGTGTCCCGTGTCCTTGGAGGACCCGGCGGCGTGGGAGGCGTGGTGGGAGAGCCAGTCGTCGTGCCAGCAGGCGAGGGGCTGGGGGGGGGTGACGCCGCCGGAGGGGAGGGTGGTGATGTATGTTTTTTCTGAGGGGTGGGGGTGCCGCGGGAGGGGGGCGATGAGGTGGAGTGTTAGATAGAGCTGTGGTTGTGTTAGTCTTGGGCGCGAGGTGGGTGATTGGGGAGGGGGGAAGAGATGGTGGTTTGAACAGCGGCGGGCGTGAAGGGGGGGGACGTACGGATATGAAGGCGAATAGTAGTATTGATATAGCAGACAGTACCAAAATCCACGCCGGAGCATGTCTCATAACCTCCCACGCCTCAGCGGAAATCTGCACCGCTCCATCCATCACAGCAGCTGCCATAGCTGATTATGAGACCTCGTATGTAACAACGCCTAGTTCAGCGGGCAATTGCGCAGTCGTTCGACGCCTGCGGGCTGCCGGGGATGGGGCAAATGGTGGGAAGGCGTCGCGCGAAGCTTCTCCATCCGTGGGAGATGGGAGGGAGGGAGGTGGTGAGGTGGAGGTGGAGATGGAGATGGGGTGTTTGGGGAGGGCGGACGATCGTTGCGCGGCGCGGAACGTGTCAATTAGAGCCGGGAAGGGTGATTCGCTGGGGTGGGTGGTAGCCTTGTGCGGTAGCCTTGTCTTGGCGGTGGTTGTCGAAGAAGGCGTGGAGTTTGGACCCTTAACAGGTGTGAATGGTAATTTAAACATGCTTTCAAGCTTCAGTGGCATGAGAATATTGATATACTGATGGGTTTGTAAAATTATATTTCCAATATGTCTCCAGGGAGAGAGTTGAGAGGCTTCGCACATGTATATGCAGGGAAACTCTATATGCAGCACAGTAAGTAAGTTGGGGCCGCAGGATCGCTCAGCCTCGATGGTTGACATGTCCAGAGCGGAGTATCGCAGCTTCCTCACAGCTTCCTCGCAACTTCTTTCTGTTCATTGTTTGTTCTGAGTTTCTTTTTCTGCGCCGTCGCTGTATATAAAGATCCCCTCTCATGGATTCCCTCAGCGTCACGGCGAGCATTATTGCCATCCTGCAGGTCACAGCGACATTGGTCAGTTACGCCAACGATGTCAAAGACGCCCCCAAAGATCGTGCGCGCTTCGCGATGGAGGCCTTGAGCCTCTCCAGTCTTCTCCTTAATTTGAGATACCAAATAGAGGATGAAACGTGTGAAAAATCAAACGAAGCATGGACGAGGCAAGTCACGTTGCTCGGTTTGCCGGATGGGCCTTTGGATCACTACAGGCATGCGCTGGAGAAGCTCCAGGTCAAGATCGTGAGCGGCAAGGGGCTGGTGAAGATTGGGGATGCGCTTTGGTGGAGGTTTACTAAGGAGGAGGTTGCGGGTATATTATTGAGGATTGAACGGCTAAAGAGCCTGATCCAGATTGCTCTACAGATGGACCACTTGTGAGTTATGTGAGAGATGGTATAGATGAGACTACTTACTCTCCCAGCAAACTATCTCAAGCAATTAAAACCAGCTTGGACGAGATTTACGACAACGGTAAAGGGATAAAAATTGACCTGGCCGTTGTCCGGTCCCAAATACCCGCAATACAGGGTAGTGTTGGCGCGATTCAAGATAGTGTTGGCGCTCTTCAGGAGAGTGTTGATGCGGTCCAGCAAGAGCGAGACAGAAAGAAGAATCAGGTGTTCGTGAAATGGATATCATCGGCCAATTACGTATCTCAACAGTCTGATTTTATATCCAGGAGGGAGCCTGGAACCGGTCAATGGTTTCTTGACTCCCCCGAGTTCAATAAATGGACTGACGAACCGAGTCAAACTTTATTCTGCCCTGGAATCCCTGGATCTGGAAAGACTATGGTCTCAGCTATTACGGTTGATCACCTCCGTAAGGTAGCAGATCGTGCTCTTGGTCACCCCCCTGGAGCTAAGGCGGCAAATATGCGCCACAGTGACCTCCATGGAGTTGCGCAGATATTCTGAAACTACAAAACTCAGTCAGAGCAGAACACAACTAGTCTACTATCAGCCATCCTCAAGCAGCTGGTGCAAGCAAAGCCCTCTGCCGCAAAGGCTGCAAACACACTTTACGAGCGCCACTGTGACCACGAAACGAGACCCTCACTCGATGAGATCTTTGCCACGCTTAAAACCACAATGATGAGCTTCTGGACCGTGTATGTTGTCATTGATGCCCTCGACGAGTGTGCTGATCGAGATGGCACTCGCGGCCAGTTTTTGGGCAAGCTACTCGATTTACAACAGGAGTTTGATGTGCGACTGATGGTTACCTCGCGCGATAACCCCGACATAGTGAGCCAGTTCAAGTATTCGCTGACGCTGGAGATTCAGGCCAGTCCTGCGGATGTGAAGCGGTACACCGGCTCCCTAAATTTGTGCAACGCGACGAGAAGCTACAGGGAGAAGTGGAAGATAAGATTGGTGAGGCAGTGGATGGCATGTTAGTGATTACCGCCCGGTTTCAAAGACCTATCAGCCAATACATTGTTTAGGTTCCTCCTTGCGCGTCTTCATGTAGACTCGCTTCGGGACAAGCGGACCAAAGCCAAGGTTCAGTCTATGTTGGACATGCTTCCTAGAGGTGCGGAAGCGCTGGAGGAGGCCTACGACGGTGCAATCAGAGAATAGAAGCTCAGTTGCTTGATGATAGCAAGCTGGCCAAGTCGGTTCTTTCTTGGATTACGTATGCAGAGCGGCCCCTGACTACGGGAGAGCTATGCCATGCTCTGGCAGTCGATCCCGATAATACTGATCTCGATGAGGACAACATTCTAGACGTCGAAGACATTATCTCTGTCTGCGCTGGCCTGGTCACAAACCCGACAGGCCAACAACGACATGCCTTACCTACCTTTCTTTTGACCCGTTTAAGAGCGGCAGCTGTGATGAGGATAAAGAGTATGAGGAAAGAATCGCGCACTACACATTTCTCGATTACGCCTCTCGATACTGGGGCCACCATGTACAGACGGTCCAAGAGCAGGTGCCCCATTTAGCGCTTGCCTTCCTACGGGACAACAAGCTGGTTTCCTGTGCTGTCCAGACCATGTCGATGGCTGTATATACATTCACCAACTACTGCCAATCGTTCCCGAAATATGCAACGGGGGTACATCTAACAGCGAAGTTCGGATTGCAGTACTTGCTAGTAGGTCTTTTGTCGGGGTCAGATGGGGCCAGTGGCATGGCGGCCGACTCAACGGACAGACATGGTCGGACGCCGCTTATATGGGCAGCATCTGAGGGACACATGGCGATAATTAAGTTACTACTGGAGCGGGACGTAGACATCAACTTGAAGGACCTTTACGGTCGGACGCCGTTGTCATGCGCGGCGCGTGAGGGGCATGAAGCAGCCGTGAAGTTGCTTCTGGGGCTGGATGGAGTTGACACCAACACTAAGGATAAGCGTGATCGGACGCCGCTGTCGTGGGCCTCGTATAAAGGGCATAGGGCGATAGCGGAACTGCTCACGGAGCTGGAAGGCGCCGAAATTGATGTCGGGGAAGATGGTCGGACACCGCTTTCGCGGGCAGCGCGAACTAAAGGGCACCAGTTGATAGGGCGAGGGGGACAAGATTTTTGTTGTAGAGCTACTCCTACGACGACACGACATCGACGCCAACTCAAACGACAACGAGGGCCGGACGCCGCTCTCGTGGGCAATGGAACGGGGACACGAAACCGTCGTAGGACTACTCTTAGGACGACACGATCTCGACACCAGCTTAAGTAACGAGGAGGGCCAGACGCTGCTATCGTGGGCAGTGCGACAAAGATACGAATCAGTTGTGGGGCTGCTCCTAGGACGACACAACGTCGATATCGACGCCAACACAAAGGACAAAGATGGCCTGACAGCGCTCTCGTGGGCGGCACAGGGAGGGTACGAAGGGATTGTGAAAATACTTCTAGAGCGGGAAGGCGTTGAAGCTGACCCAAAGGACGAGTGGGGAGGCCAGACGCCTCTGATGTGGGCGGCACACGGAGGATACGAGATGATTGTGAAGCTACTTTTGGACTGAGAGGACGTTGACCCCGCGGCGACGAACGACTTCGGCCAAACAGCACTGTGGATGGCGGAGAACAACGGACACAAGGGGGCTGCGGAGGAGTTATTTGAGGCTGAAGCTGAAGCACCCGGTTTGAGGACGCGGGATAGGCTCTTGATTGCCTTCACAGATGACAGTTGGTGTATAATTCGGACTGCCAACATCCACCCCTCGTGAAATGTGTACAAGGAGCCGCAATCACACCGGCCGCTGTCATCACCAGTTCCACCACCCCTTAGGCTCACGCGTCAACGAAGGCATACCGTAGCTAACATGATGAACCCTGAAGAACTCCCCAGAGAACTTTGACAGATGGCAACATCTGTCAAAGTGCGAGGCAGCGACGGGAGTGCCGTGGGAAGGATGCGCGAAGGATGATAATGCTGAGTACTCCGTACCGAGTACCGAGATATGCAGCGAGTTGTAGAACACGGGAAGGTCACCGGTACTGGTTGGATATCCAGACATGCAGACTACAGACCTGCCGGCTGAATGCCTTATCCCCGCGTCTTTCATATACTGATATTTTTGACAATATGTCCTGTTGATGTATAAATATATAAGTAAATAAATAGAATCAACCAACAACATACCGTTCCCCGCGCGTTTATTCGAGTCAGTCCCCTTATCTGTTATGTACCTGGACTATTAGGTGACCACCAACGAAAAAACCGGTAAGCGCGCATCCAACCTTATTTTAGTTTAGTTAGTCTAGCGAAGCGTTAGCCGCACCTTTCGGTCCGCTCGGTCGCTCCTTCCAAACACGCCATCCATGCGAGCGCCGCCCTTCGCCACAAACCCCCCAAACTAAAACCCACCTCCCTCCTAGCCGCGACAACAACCTCGAGACTAACCCAACCACCCATCGAAAACAGTCTCATTTAATCATCACGATACCCGCGATCGCTGCGCATGTCTCACCTCCGTCGCACCTCGTACCCTGCCTAACTCGCCACACCCAACCCGCGACGACCCCCGCGACAGCCCGAAGCCCAACGAACCTTCCTGGCACAGTCCCGCGGATCGCCGAGGCATCACCGTGGCGTCGTTAACGCTGCTCTCGTCCGATCAGCTCTCTCTCCAGCAACACCTCGATCTCTCCTCCAGCATTCTGAGCTACCTGCCCGACACCGCAGAGGGCGAACCACAACCCTTGATCATGGCACAAGCGGTGCCTAATCCGCCGAGTGGGAGGAAAAGGGTCAAGGTCTACGAGTTGCGCAACAACGACTGGTTCGACCGCGGCACGGGCTTCGCGATCGCGTCGGTGAGTTGATTCTGCCCTCCCCGGCGACACGTGCGCGTGTGGCGTGCGCCGCGCGTTTTCGTTTTTCGCGCATTTACTGACCTGGTTTGCGCCGCGTGTAGAGCACATGGGACCATGCCGATGGCGAGCCGCGTATAATTGTTGAGGCCGAGGAAGGGCCAGAGAGGCTGCTCCTCGAGACGCAGATCTCGCGGCAGGGCGGGTTCGCGAAACAGCAGGAGACGCTGATAATATGGACGGAGCCGGTGAATGGGGTCGATATGGCTCTGAGTTTCCAGGAGTCGGATGGGTGCACGGCGATTTGGAAGTTCATCAATATGGTGCAGCAGCAGATGGTGGTCAATGGCGGGCCGGACGACGCGTTATCCGAAGACATGGCGCCCGAGGCCTCCCCGGTGAACCTGCCCGTGCCAGATATCAACAATCTGAAGGAAGTTGAATTGGAGATGCGCCAGCTGAATAACACACAGGCGGGACGCGATGCACTGGCAAAGTTTGTCATCCACGAGGAGTACATCCCGAAGCTCGTGCCGCTGGTCGAGGAGGCTGAGGCAGCACAACGCCTTCAGGAACTGCATCGCCTGTGCAACATTGTGAAGATGCTGATCCTTCTCAACGACAATGATATCATTGAGTATGCTATGACGGACGAGGTCTTTTTGGGGGTGATGGGGGCTTTGGAATATGATCCCGACTTCCCGAGTCACAAGGCGAACCATAGACAGTGGTTGGGTGACGAATCGAGATACAAGGAGGTTGTTCGCATCGATGATGACCAGGTCCGGAGGAAAATTCACCACACATATCGACTACAATATCTAAAGGATGTGGCTCTAGCTAGGGTTTTGGACGACCCGACGTTTTCCATACTTAACTCATTGATCTTCTACTATCAGGTCGACATAATCCAACACATCCAGGGAAACCCTCAATTCCTCAACGATCTATTTACAATCTTTGGGCCGGAGGAGAAGGACGAGAAGCGGAAGAAGGACGCGGTCCTGTTCATCCAGCAGTGCTGCGCGATCGCGAAGAACTTCCAGCCTCCTGCACGGAACTCATTATATAATAACTTCCTGAGCCACGGCCTGCTTGCAGTCATCAACTACGCATTGGCCCATGGCGACGTGGCAGTCCGTGTCGGCGCGACGGATGTGCTGGTCTCGGTGATTGATCACGACCCGCAGATGATTCGGCAGACGATCTTCCGGCAGATCAGCGAGAAACAGAGGCCTCTGACGGATTCTCTCATCGATCTGCTCTTGGTGGAGGTCGATTTAGGCGTCAAGGCGCAGATTGCCGACGCGATCAAGGTTCTTCTCGATCCTGGGTCGCAGCAGGGGCCGCAGGAGGCTATGGGTAAGCTTGGCATGGAGTTTGGCGGGAGGGGTCGGCCACAGGTCGACCCACAGCAGGAGGGGTTCCTGGTGAAGTTCTACGAGGAGTCGGCGAAGAGGCTGTTCAGCCCTCTGGTGGAGTTAAAAGACAAGGAGAACTTGGCATTCAATGTGCAGCAGGTGTCTTTATTCGAGCATCTGATTGAGATTCTCTGGTTCTTCATCCGCCAACATCAACACCGCAGCAAGTACTTTGTCCTCGCAGAAAGCTTGGGCCAGCGCATTGCTCAACTCCTGAGCTGCCCGGAGAAGCATTTGAAGCTTAGTAAGTTTAATTTTTACATTCGTTACAATATATAACTAACCACCTCCCAGCCGCGCTGAAGTTCTTCCGCAACCTCCTCGGCTTAAACGACGAGTTCTACAACCAGCAGATGATCCAAGAGCACCTCCTCGAGCCAATCCTCAACACCCTCCTCGACACAATGCCGCGCAACAACCTCCTCAACTCCGCCTGCCTCGACTTCTTCGAGTACATCCGCAACCACGGCGTGCCCATCATGGTCAGCCACCTTGTCGAACGCTACCGCGATAAGATTCAGGACATCACCTACGTCGACACCTTCACCGCGCTCATCTCGCGCTTCGACCACGCCTCGCAGGGCTACGCCAGCAACATGGACGCCTCCTTCCTCGATACCGAAGACGAGGGACCAGGGGGCCGCTCGCAGCCCGGCGGCGGCCGTCGCTGGCAGGGTGTGCGCGACCTCGACGCCGCGGAAGAGCAGTACTTCAACACCTCCGACGACGAGGACGAGCTCGCGGGTGCCAACCCCCCACCCAGCGCATCTGTTAACGGCGCGTCGCCCCTCGCGAAACCGCTCGTCGACTATACGTCGGATGAGGAGACGGATATGACTGATGCCGAGCTAGCGGGGATCCTGCCCTCGCGTGAAGCAGGGTCACCGCCCGCTCCCGAGAAGGAAGTAGAGCGCAAATCTGCGTCGCCGCCGCCGCCGGAGCGGGTGTCGGAGAAGCGACACCGGGAGGAGGATGAGGAGGATGAACTGACCAAGTTGGCGAGTCAGCAGAGTAAGAGGCGGAATTCGTCGAGCTCGGTGGTGAGTGTCGGCTCGAATGGGTCGGCGCCGATGTTGAGGCGGAAGAGGAGCTTTAATAGCTCGCGCGATGGTGGAGGGGGTGGTGGGGGAGGAGGAGGAGGGGGGGGGGGAAGAAGATATCGATTAGTCTCGCGCCGGCGATTAGGAGCGGTGGGGAGGGTGGGACGGGGGCGGATGATGGGAGTTGATGTTGAGTGGTTGAAAACTACGAATGCAAATGGGCTTCTTTCTGGGGAGATGAGAAATTTCGATACCCAAATACCAAAACACGGAAATTTTATTACTTTAACGAACGACGATGGGCGGGGCGATATTGGCTGCTGTGGGGGGAGAAGCAATGGGCCGGGATTAGGGATGGATGGTATGAGGCGCTTTTGTATCATAGAATATGGCTGCGGGCGAGAGGGATGGTTGCGTGCTATCTTTGTGGATTTGGGAGGGAGGGGCGTTGTTTTTTTACGAGGGGGATATGTGGTAGGGCTATGATGGGGGGGGTGGGAGATGATATCTGCGTTCTAAGGGGGTGGAGGGGATGTGATGAGATAGTATACTGATGGCCAGTGGGATAAGGGCCGGTGATGGGGGGAAGGGGTGGAATTTGAGGATAATTAATGCATGATGGGGTTCCTTTGTGATCTGATGCAATGGACCGGCTTTGCTTCAGGCTTGTGTTTGTGTGTGGAGTGGTAGACGGGACGGTGAGACGGTGAGGAAGGAAGGGAGCACGCGCTTGGTCCGACGGCGACGAGGGGGATCGCCACCAGCAATGCACGACGATGAATAAGAATATCCTCCTTTCTCCATCGCCTCTGGCGCCTAAAAACAACAATTTCCACCAATCGTCACTCCATTATCCGCTATCCATCCATTATGCCTCCACTATCTCACCTACCCGCCGTCCGCCCCATCGCCCCATCACACCGGGTGTGACCCGCCCCATCACACATCCCCAGCGCTAACGCCATCCAAACATCCCCGTAACAACGAATCAACGCCCATGAGGCTGCGCATCGCTCCTTCACACCTCCCCACCGCCGTCTTAACCCCCCCGAAATCCCTTCAGCAACCCCCAGAATCACACCGACCTTCCATAAAGACCGTCGCCGCATCTAACCTCCGAATCGAATCCCCCGACACGCACATACACGGCCGGACGAACGATCGACCCCCCCGCGCAACCCCAAACCGCGCACCCGCATGCGCCGTCGCACACCCTGAAATCCAGCCACACCAATCGCTTGCGGGGCTGACACCCAGCGGCGTCGCACAACGCACCCCTCGCTCGCGCGGAGCCCAACGATGGCTGCGCAGCCCGAGAGGTGAGGCGATGATCACGATTGGGCTAGGCTGCCGACGACGACGATGATGGCTACCGCTGCTAGTGGAGATGGGGGGAGGCGACGACAGGGGAGGGGGGGTGGGAGCGGAGGGGATATAGGGGGGGTGGGGGACGCGGATGGGGATGCGGAAGGGGGGGTGAGGGTAAGGAAGATGGAGATTATGTCTGGTATTGCGGTGGAGAAGAAGAAGTCGAGTTCGAATAGGAGGAGGACGAGGGGGGGGGATGAGGAGAGGAGGAGGAGGAGGGAGGAGAGGGAGAGGGAGGGGAGGAATATATACGTTTATGCGCCGGCTAGGGAGAAGCGGTCGCCGAGGAGGCAGGACGTGAGGGTTGAGGCGTGTAGTGGGGAGGAGGAGTTGTCGGCGGTGGAGGAGGAGAGGAGTGATGGGAGGGAGAGGGAGGAGAGGAGGTCGTCGGGACATCGGAGGCGCAGGCGCCTGGTGGAGGAGGAGGGGGGTGCAAGGCATAGGTCGTCGGCGTCGTTGAGTCGGAGTAAGACGTCTAGCCAGCGGAAGGAGTCGAGTCAGCCGTTCAGCTTTCTGCGAAGGTAAGCGACGGATCACTGTTTGATAATGTGTTATTATGGACAGTGGCTAACCATCTCAATAGGACGTTATCGTCCGCCAGCGCGCGTCCCGACGCTCGACCTGTTATCAAGAGAGCGCATACCACGAGTAATACCCATCTCCCGAAGAAGACACACGAGTCCACCGGGCCACAAACCCCCAAACGCTCCATCTTCCTCGACATGTTCACTCCAGCCATAAAAGAAGAAGAGCCCGTGAAACTGTAAGCCCACCCCGCTGCTCTCCTCGCCCCCTCCCCCTACCCTCCCCCTCCCCAACGCCACCTAACACCTCCCCAGCGTCGAATGCCTCACCTGCCTCTCGGACGACATCCCGCGCCGCAAGTCCGCAAAACTCAAATGCGGCCACCGCATGTGCCACTCCTGCCTGCGTCGGATCTTCAAACTCTCCGTCACGGACCCGCAACACATGCCTCCCAAATGCTGCACCGCGGACTGCATCCCGCTCAACCACGTTGACAAGCTCTTCGACATCCCGTTCAAGAAGCTGTGGAATAGGAAGTTCCAGGAGTATACTACTAAGAACCGGATTTACTGCCCGTCGAGGAGGTGCGGGGAGTGGATCAGGCCGGGGAGTTATGGGCATGATGGGAAGGGGGGCGGTGGGAAGTTTGGGAAGTGCGGGAGGTGTAAGACGAAGGTTTGTATATTGTGCAGTGGGAAGTGGCATGGGAAGAGGGAGTGTCCGGGGGATGAGGAGACGAATCGGTTGTTGGAGGCGGCGAAGGAGGCTGGGTGGCAGAGGTGTTATAGTTGTCGGACGATGGTGGAGTTGAAGGAGGGGTGTAACCATATGACTTGGTATTTTTTCCCCATCTCTCTCACCCCCATTTCTCATATACCCTCCAACTCTCCTTAACCCACCCCATCCGCAACCCCCGTTGTCCCTCCACTGACACCCCCTAGCCGCTGCACAGCAGAATTCTGCATGCTCTGCGGCCTCAAATGGAAAATCTGCGCCTGCCCCTGGTTCAACTACGACAACATCGCCGACAACGACCGACTAGGCCACATGCGCGTCCACCTCCCCCCTCCCCCCCCCCGGGCGCTTTCCCCGCCGTTCACAACCAAATCCCCATCCCCCCGCCTCCCCGCCCACCGCGCCTCCGTCGTCGAAACCCCGATGATTTGGCTAGGGGCATGAGGGGTCTCATTATCAACGCCCCCTCTCCCCCTCCCCCCGCACCGCCGCCAGTCCCAGTAGCGGAATGGAATTATGGGTTTGGAGTCTGGAATGCGGCGGATCATCATATGAATGAGACGTATCGCCGACCGGCCCCCGCGCCGCCCCAGGAAGTATACGTTGCTCGCGGTAACTACTCGCCGCCTGCGCCGCCCGCACCGCCCGCACCACCGCCGCTCGCGCAAGCAGCGGCACTAGAGGCGTTGAATGCAGGGTCCTCGCAGGCTGCGACGCTGCAGAGGGAGAGGGAGATGAGGGAGGAGAGTGGGAGGAGGGAGGAGGGGGAGAGGGTGGCGAGGGAGGAGAGGAGGAGGAGGAGGAGGGATAGGGATAGGGAGGCTGCTGCTGCTGCTGCGGCGGCGGAGGCGGGGGTGAGGTCGAGTGTTATGGCTGGGCTAGGGGGACGGGGGAGGGGGAGCGGGAGGGTGGGGGCGTGGAGAACGCATGTTGGGCTTGGGGTGGAGCCGGAGGAGGGGGTTATTAGTGTTGTTTAGTAAGGGGGGGGGGGTGTGTAGGATTTTTTGGGTAGGTTTGGATGGGATAGGGTAGGTTTTGTTTTTGGAAAATGCAGGGGGGGAAGGGGGATGGCGATTTGGGAGGGATTTAGGTTTCTGACCTTTTTTTGGGGGGGGGGGGATTTAGCGGATTGAAGCGGATTGGATTGGATATTTTGTAAGTTAGGGGGATTATGAATTATGATTGTATTCGTTCGTATGTATGGTTGGAGCTGTTAGGGACAAAGCCTTGTTGTAGTCAGTGAGTGTGGTCGATGTCTTCGGTGTCTTGACGAGCACAACACTCACTCAGCTCGACTATCCAGACCAGGAACCTTGCATCTACTCTCTTCTCGTTGAGTCTCTTCTATCCTTGCCATATAAGAAGATCCTGTTTCAAAACCTCCATCCCTCCTTAGTCCTTCGAATTATTCTAGGTCTACAACAAGTGGTGGTATACGAGAGGTGAGCTCACCACCACCCGTTTCTCCCCCCAGTCAGTCCTCATCAGAACTGAGCTGCAGAGCATGATACAAGGCGGTGGGGCTAACTTCATTGTCTTATATCGACTGGGCTCCATTTTCGCCCGTCTTGTTTGATTATATCAGTCTTGCTTGATTTGATTAAGCCTTCGGGTTTGGTTGGGAGTCTGCTGTATAGTCACTTTCGATTGCAGACCCGTCTTCTTGCAGGTCTCTTCGCCCTCATAGCGCTGCTGCCTTTATAAGCATAGACCCCCCGTGCTGGACGTAATACAAGACGACGCTCGGGGGGGCTATGCTTTGCATGTTCGCTGTGCGGACAGTTCCAGTTGGTTGCACCCTCACTATGTGACTGACGGCCGTGTCGCCCTGGATAGCTCCCACAACGATGCTACGAGGAACGAACAGCTACACCCTTGGGCATTCTGATAAATATATCGTATTAACAAAGCAACGTATCATTATATACCGCGCCCGCTCTATAATGCCCTATTCCTACACCCCCCGCTCAATACAACCCACAGCCCTCCTCCACTTCAAGCACTTCAAACCCCCAGCCCAGCACCCCCCCCTCCTCCCCCATCAATATTCCTACTAACACTCGCCCTCGCAACCTCCTCCACAATCCCAACATGCGTATCACTCTCCGCCACCGGCTGTACACCAAGATTCATCATACCCAACCCCCTCTCCACGCCCTCAACCTCCCCGCCCCCACCCACCCCATCATCTTCCTCCTCATCCTCCTCCGGCGACGGGACAGTATACTCCCTACTCTCCTTATGCTTATGCCCCATCCCCCTCCCCCCCACCCCCACCCCCTTTCCCACTCCCACCGCCGCACCCCCCTTCCCCGCCCTCCCCGCCACCGCCCCCCTCCCCACAATCTTCTCCGTCCAATTCCACACCGCCCCCCCCCCCTTCTCCTTCTCCTGCTTAGCCTCCCCATCGCTATCCCCCTCACTATCCATGAAATCGCGCTCACTCCACACCTCCGAGTCCGCGCGCTCCAGCACCGGGTTGCGGACGCGCTGCATGGTGTGCGTGTGCGTGTGCGTGCTCACCGCATCACCGAGGCTTGATAGATGATCTACGCTTTCCCTGTCTTCTTCCTCGCGTTCTCGCATTAGTGCTTGGTTGAGGAATTGATGCGGTGCCGGCCCCTCCCCATCTCCTCCGTGGCCCCGCGGGGACTTCCCCGCCGCGCGGTCCTCCTTCCCCTCCTCGTCATCAGGGGTGACCGCCGCGCCGCTGCCGGCAAAATGCGTATCAACTAGGTGCTGGACGACAGGCCATCCGTAGGCGTTTGCGAATTTGCGCCGCACGATGATGTTGTTATGTGCATCTGGCTCCAGCCGCACGAGGACCTTCCGCCAGGCGAGGTCGCGGTGGTAAGCGCGCGCGATTTTCTCCTCGACTTTCATGGCGGAGGAGTCTATCTCCGGGAGCGGGGAAAGGGAGGAGTCAGAGGCGGTGGTAGCGATTCTGTTAGTGCTGTGGTTGGATGCCGGCGGGGACTTGGAGAGTTTGTTGCTGGTGGTGGTGGGTGGTTTGAGCGGGGGTGGGGGGATATCGGACGGGTGGTAGACGCGGTCGTGGAAGATGGTGAGGGGGCGCGTGGAGGGGTCGATGAGGAAGGAGAGCGGGGGGAGGGGGGGGCTGAGGATGTCGCCCGCGGCTTCGAAGAAGCTAGTTCGTGGGGGGGCGGCGGAGCCTTGGGGGTCCTCGTGGAAGGCGGAGCTGATGCCTGGGGTGTGGTTGGTGCTGGAGTCGGAGTCGGTTTTGCGGGTGGAATCGGTCTTGCTGCTGGAGTCTGTTTTGCTGTCTGATTTGCGGCTGGTGTCGTCGAATTTGACGGTCTGGCTGCGCTTGTAGATCTTGGATTGCGTGGGGGAGTCGGGGGATTTGGCGCGGGGGTTGAAGAAATCGAGGAAGCTGTCGATTGGACCTTTGGTGGATGCTGTGCCAGTAATCGGTGGTGATTGCTGTGGCGGCGGATGCAGTTCGTTCTCCTTTACGTTGCTAGATGTCCGCTGCTGGCTCGACGACCGTCGGGTCATTTTCATGCTCTTCAGACTGCGTACATCGTCCTCCGTCGCATCTGGCGGAGGCTGCGGGACATCTCCACCCCTCCCCTGCCGAGTAGGCGTATTACTCCCATTCGCCTCAGCCTGAGCCTGCGCAGCCTCCGTCTCCCTCGCCTCCTCCATCCACTCCTGTCTCGCAGCCGCCGTTGCATTCTGCCCCGTCAACTCGGCCCACCCCCACCCCGCCATCGTTCCCACAAGTCCGTTCTCCCTCCTCGCCTTCTCCACTCTTCCCAGCCCCTGCCAATCCAAGAAGAGCAGACAGCTCGTCCGCAGCGGCACAATTCCATCATTCACAACATTGGAATACACCGTGCGATTGCGGAACTTCTTGAGCGCTACATGCGCCGGCCCTGTCGGCAAAATCCGCAGCAGCGGCTTCGAGCGCGGGTCGCGTGGGTGCTCAATCGAATTCTTGGCGTTTTCGCCGATGCCACTGACGAGGGCTCCCCAGCCGCTGCGGGCGAGAGTCGGCGCGCGCCATGTTAGACCAAGATCCTGGCCGGTGCGGCCGACGAGGCCGAAGTCGAGAGCGAACTTGACGTACAGAGGGTTCTCGTTGCTGAGACCAAGGAAAGGCGAGGCGAGACAGATAAAGTTGACGGCCTGAATCTTCTCAAAGAAGTCCGGCGAGTGCTTCTGGATATATGCTACGGCGTAGGTCTGGATCAGGCCGCCCAGCGAGTGCGCGATGAAGCTGATACTTGTGATCTTGTATGCGCGTTTCTTGCCAGTGGGCGGATCTTTCTGGATGCTGCTGTGAGGGTGTACTGCCTCGCCGAGCTCGACCTCTCTGGATTTGTCGTGTGTGACTGCCGCTTTAAAACTCTCGCCAGCGCTTATCCTGACGGAGTGGAGCGACTGGTCCGGATAAGTCATCGCTAAGACGTATTTCGCCAATCGCTTGCCTAGATATTTAATCCCCTTCTCCGTGCGAACCGCATTTCCGGAGAATCCGCGGACTATAACATCCTCCTCGTCGTCAGTGTCGTCATCCTTGGCATGCTTTTGCTCGGATGTTACGTCGGCGTTTATGCTGCTGCTTTGCGCAGAAGCCGCCTCTGCCCTCTCCTTTCGGCGTTTGTCCCGCCGAAGTTTGGCCTCCTCTTTTGCCTTCTTTGCTCCAGCATCTATGCTTTCCTTCATATAGAGCATATCCGCGCCCAGATTACTATGCAGCCCATGCGTCAATACCACCAAGTGTATCTTCTTCTGTTTCCTGTCATCAGTCTTCTCCTCCCCATTCGCCCTCTCACCCTCCACCTTCTTCCCCTCCTCAACCTTCCCCTCCTCAACCTTCCCGACCCTCCTCACCCCCTCCCCACCACTCATATCCTCCCCCCCTCCCCCTCCCACTCCGGCAGTCTCGGTGTATTCCACAACCCCGCCGTATCCTCCACCCTAACCCTCACCGCCTCCGAGAAAACCCCTGCCTCGCCCCCTTCCCCGCCCCCATCTCCCCCCCACACTCCCCTCATCCCTCCCCACAAGCACCTCAAACCTAACCCCCGCACTCGCCGAAAAAATAACCTGACTCGCCACCTCCACAACCCAACTCGTCTCCTCATCCCCCCTAACCTTCAGCCTCGCGGCCCACGCCGCCCCAGGCTTGAGATTCGGTTCGAACTCCGGGACGCCGTCGAGCCTTGCGCTCACGCCGCTGGCGACGTCGACGCGGTGCGTGGACGGCGCGGCGGAGACGTAGAGCGCGTAGGGCCCGTGCATGAAGGCTGCGCGCAGGGCGATGGCCGAGGTGTTCTTGATGCGAAGGTGCAGGTGGGAGGGGTGCGGGAGGATGCGGTCCCGCGAGGGCGTGTAGGTGATGGTGTAGCGGACGACCTCGCCGACTTTGAGGGCGCCGGGTTGCTGGAGGAGGAGCATCGTGAGGGTTTGGGAGGTGTTCGGGCGAGGGTCATTGCTGGTGGGAGCTTGGTAGAGGGGTCTGTCGGGTGCGTCGGATGGTGGGTCTCAGGGTTATTTCGAATGGAGCGTTGGTCGCTTTGTGGAGATTTATACCAAAAACCAACTTTGGGGTTCTTCAAGCTTCTCGGGGTTCTTCAAGCTCTGGAGGTTTTGAAGCTCGTGTGTCGTCGTCCAGCCTTCCATCCAAATGCGGAGCATGTGCTCACTCTTTAAATTGTTCCATAACCAGACATGTGGGGGGCCGGGCCGACGGCGATGACGACCTGTGGCGTAAATGGGAGATCAAGTGTGGCTGGTGTCAACAGCCAAGGAACACTGGCGATTTCAATTATAAGGAGATAAATAATGAGAATGGAAGGAGGTTGTTTACAGAAATAAATAATCGCTGGAAATGGAAAATAATTTGGTATTTCGGCTTCGGCGGCGTAGAGTGGAGCAATTTGCCAGGGGTAACAACAAACTATGAGAATGGAAGAAGCACTTTAACATTCTAGCTACGTCTCCTTTTCTTAGGGATGGACAAATAGTAAAATAGAAAGCTCCTTATTATTTCAGCTTCATCTATAACGGCGAGGTTGTGATTTTCTAAATAGTAACAAAACACCACATCATACACCATCCATCCCATCGTGAACACCAGTGAACCCCCCCCCCAAAGCTCCACCCACTATCCAAACATACAGTACATCCCATAGTATACAGCTCTCACAGCCCCGCCCCTTCCCCTCCACCACCCCCAATCCCAGCCGCTCAGTCAACCAACACACCCCCCTAAAAATTCATCTTCGCCGCCAACTCCGCCACGCCCGGCTCGGCCGCCTGCCACGGCGAGGCAACCGCAAGCCTCCCCTCCTCCTCCTCTCCCTCGGCCCTCGCACGCGCGCGCCTCTGCGCCCCCTGCACAACCGCCGCCAGGGTGCCCTGCTGGAACAAGAACCCCACGAACAAGCTCACAGCCACCACCACGCTGCCAGTCGTAACCCACATCTCATTCCTCCTAACCTGCGCCCTGTACGCCACAAGACCCTTCTCGCTCTCCGATAGGAATTCTTCTTCCTTCCTCTCCTCCTCCCTCGCTGCTCCTCCCAACCCAAGCGCGCCTCTCACCCATCCCCCAACAGCCCGTCCGAGGACCCCAACTCCACCCTCCCCCACTCCCCATGGCAGCTCCTCGAACGCCACCCCCCTCACCTCAGCAACCCACTCCTTCAGCCCCTTCACGGACTTCACCTTCTCCGCCAACCATGGCCTCGGCAGCCCATCCACAAGCATAACAGCCAAGTACCCCAGGGCGAGACAATCCACCTCCGTCGCGCGCCCGCCGACAAACCAGCTCCCCTCCCCCCTTATCTCCACAAGCGGTTCCAGAAACTCATCCGCCAGCGCAGATAGCCTAATCGTCGCCGCGCCCTCAGCAGCTATACTCGCTGCCGTCGCACCTGTATTACCCTTGCGAAGACTCACAGGGATGACGTCCTCGCCCTGGACCTGGGTCGAGGGGGATGCATCATCCTTATCGTCGGCGTCGAGTTTGATGCCTAGGTGCGCGGTGCGCGCTAGGGCTGCTTCGCGGAGACGGCGGGGTTCGAGCCAGGAGAGGGGGAAGGGGAGGGTGGAGGCGAGGGAGGGGCGGGTGAGGGTGTTGTAGTTGGAGGGGTCAGCGAAGAGGGAGAGGTCGAGGAGGGCGCGGCCTTTGGAGCGGATGAAGTTTGAGAAGCTGTGCGGTACTGTTAGTTGTGCCCTTCAGGTAGATGGATGGATAAGGTACTCACGCAATAACATCCCCTCTCCCCCCCTTCCCCCCATTCCCCCCATTCCCCCCATTCCCCCCATTCCCCCCATTCCCCTCCCCATCCCCATCTCCATCCCCCCCAGCGCCCACACCTCCCCCCCCATCTTCCCAACAAAATCAACCACATTCCCCCACCCCCCCACCCACACCCCCCCCCATCTCAGCGCAGGCAGCACGCCCGTCGGGTTCGCGCCGGGGAGAGAGGGGATGAGCACCCATTCGCCGCGCGGGATGGCGAGGGAGAAGTAGGCGGTTAGGGCGAGGGATTCGGGGTCGAGGGTCGGGAGGGTGGGAAGGGGGGGTGAGGGGGGGACGTGGAGTTCGAGGATGGGCATTTGGGAGGTGTGCGGTAGGTGTGTGTTGTGGTGTGGGAGTGTTTGGCGGGTTGGTGGTTGGTGAGGCGCGCGTGTTCGCGCTACGGTGGTGTCGGATATACGCTCCAGTGAACCGAAACAAGATCGCCTTGTAAATCCCCTTCTTCCTATATCCGTCGTAAAATACAATTCCGTCCCGCGTTGCTGTCAATCCGTAATCGCGTACTCGTGGTGAGCTTTTCGGCTTCCAGAAATCACCCTTGCTGGATAAGTTGATACGCGTGTCGGGGGATTATTTCCCCGCTCCGATATTTATCCGCCGAAACAGCCGAATGTGATAACTTCTATTACGCCGTCTAGGCCAGGTATGCATCCTAACATGCTGAACTCATGTCCGCCTCGCTCGCCATGGGTTGTCGGCAGGATGGTGAAGTAGAGTAGGTAATATATAGATAAGTTAGACAAGATACAAGTAAAATCATCTCCGAGCGAGATATATTAAAAGTCCACATTTGTCTAAATTAAAAGTCCACATTTGTCTAATTATGTTACGATATCAAGTGCGCCTTGCAGCTCGAGTGGGGGTTCAGGGGTGTGGGGAGCTTTCCGGGGTTGGAGCGAAGTTTTCAGTTGTGGAGTGAATTCTCAGAACTGGTCTCGCTAAAGAGAATTCACTCCACAACAACATAGCTGTATATAGATTGAGCCACTGCTCGAGTGCTCCTCTTCTCTTTCCTTTCTTCTCTAGATTGAGTTTAATTCATAATACCCAACTGGCGCCCTATGCCTTGGTGAACCGTGACAGTTGCACTCAGTTTGCTATCAAACTCAAGAGCAAACTTAGAAATCTCCTCCTCAATGTCATACTGACATTCGTTGCACTCAGTTTGCTATCAAACTCAAGAGCAAACTTGGAAATCTCCTCCTCAAACCTACAAGTCACTATACATATGTTGGCTTATCACACCAACAACAAGAGCAATACTACTCAACGATTGCTACAACCCTCTATGATTCATTACACGTCATTGCTCCTTAGTTACTGGGCCAATATTACCACATAGCATATCTCTACAACCCTCTATGATTCATTACATGACATCACTCATACTACCACATGACATATCTCTACCAACTAGAGGCCTAGGAGCATGAACGATAGCTCTAAAAACTCCTACGAACCTCTATGATTCATTACACGTCATCGCTCTTTAGTTACCCACAAGATTGGTTAAGTTATGACATAATTTGTCTATGACATAATTTGTCTATGACATAATTTGTCTATGACATAATTTGTCTATAGGGGTACTCTGACCTTGGATCTCCTTTTACTTCCTATAGGCTACGAACCTAAGAGATGGTTCTATGGGATTCTCTTTCATTGACTACAGTTACCAAGCCTGGTAAGTCATGGAAAGTCTTGGAAAATGAGAGAACTACACTCCTTTAGCATAAATAGGATTGCCCTTTCCTTAAGAAAGGGCAAGCAGACATACAGTAAATCGACTATCACATACTTCCACGTCTTTTCCAAGCTTCCAAGCATTGATTCTTGTTACTCCTTGTTTCTGAAAAGTCAGTGAGGTGTTAACCTCTGACTTATCCCTGAGTTCTCAGACTCAACATTTGTTACAACTTGTCTGAACCACTTCACTACATCACACACCTGATTGCTGCGTTGTGGAATAGTCTAAGCTACAACCCTTTGGCTCTGTTTCCTAAGACAGTGTGTTGTCTTAGTAAAATCATCCCTTCCTTGGGTGGCTAGATTCTCACATCTGGTGCACCCACCATTACAGCAAGTATTCTAGACAAAATCCAAACTGCGCAACTTCAAGACAGCTTATGCAAAGACACTATTCAGAAGCTGCAGAATAGAGAACGAAACAGTCCAAACATAGCTCTAGCATATTGCGAGGTGAAGGAAGGGCTCTTATACTATCATAATAGAGTCTGGGTTCCAGAATGTGCTCATGTCGAACTCTTACAAGAAATTCATGACCAACCAGCAATGGGACACCCTGGCATTGGGAAGATGATTCGGGTCATCAAAAGACAGTATTACTGGCCCCTGATGGATAAGACAATTATACAATACATCAAGAACTGCCATATCTACAAAAGATCAAAACCTACAAGAGATGCTTATAACAAACTTCTTTAACCAATCCCTGTTAGCAGCTAGCCATGGAAGGACATATCACTTGACTTTATTACAGGATTGCTATTGTGTGAAGGAAACAATGCTATCCTTGTCATAGCATGCTGACTTACAAAAGAGTGCCATTTTATCCCATGCTTTGCAGGCTAAGAAGGCACAACTGCAGAAGCACCAGCATAGCTACTCCTTCGACATGTATGGAAACACCATGGTTTAACAAATTCAATCATCTCAGACAGAGGCCTCCAAGTTCGTGGCTGCAGCGTTGAAATCCTCTGCAAAGTTTGGAAAGTTATAACAAAATTGTCTACTGCCTTCCACCCAGAAACGGATGGGCAAACTGAGAGGTTCAATGCAGACCTTGAACGATATTTACAAGCTCATGTCAACTATCTCCAAGACAACTGGGTCGAATATCTTTGCATGGCAGAATTTGCAGCAAATGCTCTACCTTTAGACTCTACAAAAATCAGTCCATTCTTTGCAAATAAGGGCTTCGAGCTGGGAATGAGTTTTGATATTAAGAACAGCAAGTTTCAAATAGTGCCACAGAAACACAAGGATATGATACAAAGCATGAAAGATATTTCGGAGTTTCTACAAGACCAAATCGCACTCTTGCAAACTCGCATAGAGACATTCACAAATCGACATAGGAAAGCTACACTAAGATATCAGGTTAAAGATCAAGTTATCAGGACTTAGAGGCTATTGAAAAAACTCGATCACAAGCAAGTTGGTCTGTATAAGATTCTCGAACGAATTAGGCAAGTGGCATGTAATGGTGGGTGCACCAGATGTGAGAATCTAGCCACCCAAGGAAGGGATGATTTTACTAAGACAACACACTGTCTTAGAAAAAGAGCCAAAGGGTCATAGCTTAGACTATTCCACAATGCAGCAATCAGGTGTATGATATAGTAGAGTGGTTTAGACAAGTTGTAACAAATGTTGAGTCTGAGAACTCAGGGATAAGTCAGAGGTTAGCACCTCACTAACTTTTCAGAAACAAGGAGTAACAAGATCAATGCTTGGAAGCTTGGAAAAGACGTGGAAGTATGTGATAGTCGATTTACTGTATTGTCTGCTTGCCCTTTCTTAAGGAAAGGGCAATCCTATTTATGCTAAAGGAGTGTAGTTCTCTCATTTTCCATGACTTTCCATGACTAACCAGGCTTGGTAACTGTAGTCGACGTAAGAGAATCCCATAGAACCATCTCCTAGGTTCCTAGCCTATAGGAAGTGAAAGGAGGTCCAAGGTCAGAGTACCCCTATAGACAAATTATGTCATAGACAAATTATGTCATAGACAAATTATGTCATAGACAAATTATGTCATAACTTAACCAATCTTGTGGGTAACTAAAGAGCGATGACGTGTAATGAATCATAGACGGTTGTAGAAGCTTTTGGAGCTATCGTTCATGTCATGTTCCTAGGCCTCTAGTTGATAGAGATATGTCATGTGTAGTATTAGCCCAGTAACTAAGGAGTGATGTCATGTAATGAATCATAGAGGGTTGTAGAGATATGCTATGTGGTCATATTGGCCCAGTAACTAAGGAGCAATGACGTGTAATGAATCATAGAGGGTTGTAGCAGAGTATTGCTCTTGTTGTTGGTGTGACAAGCCAAAATATGTATAGTGACTTGTAGATTTGAGGAGGAGATTTCTAAGTTTGCTCTTGAGTTTGATAGCAAACTGAGTGCAACGAATGTCAGTATGACATGGCATATTGATTAGAGCTACCACTAAGCATGAAGATACATCCTGTCTTTTACAGCAACCTCTCAAGACTTGATTCGAATGATGCATTAAGTGGCCAACACTAGGAACCATCACCTCTAGTCATTGTGGATGATGAACTCGAATGGGAAGTCGAGGAAATTCTGGATTCAAAGCACTTACGAAAAAAGTTATTTTACATAGCAGCATAGAAGAATGACCCACCTGACAACACATGGTATGCAGCTACGAATTTTGAACATGCACCAGAGATCATGCAAGCATTCCATCAGAAATACCCTAAAAAACTGAAGTAACTGAATTTTAAAATTTTCTACTCTTGATCAGGAGATCAATCTCAAATGGGAGGGGGGTAGTGTTACGATATTAGCTGAAGCTACTCGAGCTGGTGGTGTTACAATTGCAGCTCACAGCCACTAGCAACTATGGGGACCGCTAAGTGCACAACTGTATATAACGAGGAATAGCCTCACCACCTTCCTTTTCTTCTCCTTCTCTCTTTAGATTCAATCTAGCTTATTATTCTCCGGACTGGCTTCTTAACCTCCATGACCATCATAACAGAATGAACCTTTTCGCGAGGTTCTCGTCAATGTATTCTTTTAGTATGTCTAGCTCTGCTGCTGACATCTGATATATTAGTCCGAACGGTAGACTCTTTCCTTCTATAATAGGTATTACATGATCCCATGGTTGGTGCTTAGGAAGCGCCTCTTCCTTAGGGTCTTCCTAGAATAACTGCTTGTATTTCTTATACTACACTAGTATACTAGTTAGTGAGGGTGCCTAGGCTAGGTTACCGGGCTCTAGGGGTTGTGTTTCTTAAGCCACGGCACACTAAGGGTGCATGAATGATTGTCTATGTGTACGATATCAAACTATATTGTTTCCTTATATCTCTGTAGCATGACCATTTCTAATGGGACCGTCTTGTAGGTCACCATTCCATTGTTAGTTGAGATGGGCTGTCCATCTACAACCATTAATAGGTATAGGTCGGTCTTTAGTTGCGTTCTAAAACTGTATGTGTCTGCTAATTTTTTCATCATAAAGTTGCCTATTGCTCCTAAGTCTATCATAGCTCGGAGGTGTTGCTATTGTATCTTAGCAACTACATATAGCTACATGCTGCCTGTCGTGGCATATAGCTAGTTCGTACTAGGCCTGTCTTTGTCACTTGCTAGTGGCCTACTGTTAAGGACTCCTAGTTTTTTGACTAGAGTTGTCTAGTAGATCGTCGTCTCTTGAGAATCTCTTTTATGTACTCCTACTTGTAATAAACTAGTTGTTCTAAGAAGGGCAAACAGGAATGCTCTATCTTGTCAAGATAATGGATTAGGCAGTTATTAGTATAACACTTTGACTATAGCACAATATAGTGCTAAGGATGATTAGTCCTAGTCACGTCCTAGTCCTGCAATTCTCTTCCTTCTTCGTCTGTAGGAACTCTATTAACGTAGTACATGTTGACTCTGAACATCTCTCTAAGTTGAGATCTGTCATGTCCAACTTCTATCTCTAGCTATTCGAGCGCTTAGATGAGGCTCTGCTGTCAGTCTTTATAGACCTTGTAGTTAGGATGATAGATGTCGATGGTTCTTCCTTCTGCGATGGCGTCCTAGACGTTGTATTTGCAATTAAATCTAACTAAGCTCCAAAGATACAGATATAGACTGTCTTACGTCTCCACCTCTACATGAAAGCACCGAACAACAAAATCCTGGCCCTGCTCTAAACCGTATTGTAAGGATGCCTTCTCGTCTCTCCTCTGAAACAGTAGACTCCGGGTAGCCGCGGGGTCACGTGTGATCATTTGGGTGGCCTAACCGAGTCGGAACCGAGTCGGATGGGTTTCGGATACTTGAGAAAATCGACTGACGGGGTTCCCCATCATCTTTTTTGTATCCTTCGTAGTAGACCTATAGGATAGCATCCGTTTAGCCTCCGACTCGTACTCTCATATGCTATTACTGTGAGCTGGGTGCCCTGTGTCCTTACACGTATTAGGATGATATGTCACTGTCGTACTAGGACGAGATGTCTCCTGATATGCCGTATTGGGGAAGCATGATGACAGATCTGAATTGGCAAGCCCTGAGAGATTCGTATCATAATGCTCTGTTTGATTCTGGACTTGCAAGGCGTGAATGATGCGGCTGGTAACACAGAGAAGGTTGGAATCCCCCGTCTCAGTGAAATCAGCCTCACTTGGTAAACACAATATCAATGGACAGCAGCTTCCCTGTTCCAATCAACTCAACTAAGGCATTCTCGCGAATATATATCGGTTGTCCAACCTGAGCTGTAAGACGTCCGATCACCATTAGTGGTATTATGATCAGTGCACGTTGCGGGTGTGGAGGATTTGGTAGTTCGCCTTGTTAGTGAAGAAAAGCACCTTGCATGAGGAAATAGTGAACTTTCGGATCCAGAATGGAAGGTTTGATCTACATTTCATTAGAAAACATACCTACTCCAGCCTTCAGGTATGCAATACATACCTGATGATATTGGGAATCCAAATAGTATTGAATAATATCCATGTAAGGTGGTGTTATTTCGATCCTAATATGCCTTCTCCCCATCGGTATTGGCCTTTCCCCATCTCCCTGCTTTCGTACTGCCGCCATGAGGCTAGTAAATTTTTCATCTGGTGGAGGCCCGTTTTCGACGGCTGCATCTCCAGGCATTTTTTATGTTGTTGTACCGCGATGGTGCTCTTGACGGAGTAGATATACTCCAAAAGATGCTCCGTTGCGATAGGGCTTTGCATGTTATAGGCACTCAACAATTGACTAATTATGAATAAACACAATGAGAGATCTGGAAAAGCTTTACTTGTACAATATGATTCGATTGCGTGATACCTAACACGTGATAACCGTGCTGTTCTAACAGTTCCTACGGTTCCACCCTAAGGAACTGTAGGAAATGTAGGAACTGTATAAGTTCTAACAGTTCTCATAGTTCTATCCTACAGCGTGACCTACTCAGCACTGTAGGAACTGTAGGCTGCCAACCACATCCATTTTGGAGGGTAAATGGCTTGCTCCTGCGAACTATGTTCATTTCCTCTTATCAACAACGGAAGTTGGCCAAAGAATGGTTACCATCACCCACATCCAGCGTCGATGCGTCACCAATCATTCTCATTATGGACAGTCATGCCTAGAACCATGATATTCACCACCCGCCGCAAAGTACTAAGTAACCACCCCCTTGTGTTTGGCGTCAAGTAAAACCTTGCTCCTCCCTTCAATCAATCTACCCATCTCGTCACAAATCGGAACAATATCCCCAAACTACAGCGCAAATAAGCATCTACTTTACTCTTGCGAACATAAGCTAAGAAAAAGGTAGCAATATACCAAGCAACCAATATGTGTCAACCCGTTTACTTCCGCTACGATTGCGGCCACGATATCCAAACCACTGAGATTTGGGGTTGTGCAAAGTATAACGGAGAGTGCACAACCGACGGCCCCTATTAGCGGAAGATGGCTGGTAAAAAATGCGGGACATGTGCAAATGCAAAGAAATAGAAAGAAAGAGGTAGCTGCAACAATCCGCCACAAAGTAGGCCACTGACCTTCAACTCTATTAGTTATGAATGCTAAAGACAGAATATTAGATTGAACAAGCCATGGCGAAGGTAAAGTATTGTTGGCAAGGAGGTGCGAGGCGATCTGTTCAAACAGTTGCGTTATCAGTATCTGAATCGATTTCAACACAGTCATTACCATACATACATAGGAGCGTCATGCTCAACTAAGATTTATTCACCGACGTTTTGTTCATACATGTAGGACAGATAATAGTATGCGCAGTTTGGACATCTACATCTCCCACTTTTGACCCTCTCATGCCTAGTTATCCTCTTTCGATCTGCAGAAGTACATCTTAGCAAACAAAGCCGGACGTAAGCGGGATATAAATACCGATGTCCACAATTCAAACAGAAGTAAAATATGGTACTTCCTTCATCAGCGCCTCTTGTCTGCGCCTGCGAAAATGTCAACTCCTCCTTATTGCAGTCTGGGCAAAGCTTTTCAGTCCGTTGTTTAGAGTCTTGGACGACATCGGCTGTAAGGGCTTGAGTTTTCGAAGTGAGCTTTTCGCGAAGAAGTGAAGGGAAATTGCTTGTTGTCGATATCGTCGTTTTCGACAGCAATTGATCTGAGGACATATTAGTCTCTGACGTGAACTCTTGACGTCAAGGACACAGGAACGACACACTCTTGTTGATCATCTTGCAGCAGTCGCACTTGACCATTTGATCCATAGATATTGGCAGTGTATCTCCACAATCGCTACAAAACTGAATAGCCATGACTCCTCCCATGTGTTTTCGACAGCTGAAATGTGTTGCAGAGAAATGAGGTCGGGTTTTAAAAGTTGTTGGCGGACTAATTAAGCAAAATGGTCACGTGATCGCGCGTGGTGACGGGGGGAATCAGGCTCCAGTTATGATTTTTACTGACAAGTTTGAGTGGAGCGCAAATGCGCTTGTCACGTGTTGCCGGTCAAGGGAGCCTCAGTTTCTAAACGAACCCCATCCGTACTTGGTTTCACGCCGATCCAAGTATGTACAACAATAAAATCGCGGCTTCTTGCATACGGCCTCACCTCCATCTGATACATTCTAATCGCTGAGACTGGGGCAGATCAGGCTCCAGTCATGCATAAGTTCTAAAATAGTCTTGGGGACCGAGCCTCGGAGGCTAGAGTCGTTCAAGATATCGCTCGTCCACAACCCGACTATTCTGTTGGATTTGGGCGAAGGCCATTCACAGAAGATCAAATCAAAAGACTTCAACCTTTCGTTGGCGAGCTTACAGACAACTCTTACTTTATGGCCACATACTACATGTACTTTCCGTTTCTGACATGCGAGGTCAAATGCTGGACGACCCTTCCACTCAACAAAATACTCAATCTTTCCTCTCCGTTCTCGTTTTTTTAGTAACTGCACGCCCAAATAGTTCCCTCGATAGCTCGCCTCAAAGTCGTTGATAAGATCTGAACTGATATCGTTCCGTTTCTGCCACGTATTATCCTCATCCCGGAAGCCTGCCCACTTCACGAGGTACCAAACCACGTTGCCTACTTTTGAGTAGCGCTTCAACCTCCTACCTCCCTTCCGTAGCGTCGATGGCAACTAGATTGCTTTCTACCCGGCTGTTACGAAGCGGCTGAACCTCCGTGCTTTCTATGTTTCCTGATGTAGTTGGCAGTATGCTTCTGTGAGTATCCTCGGTCGAGTTGGTAGTTGCTGATAGAATTGATGTCGAAGAAGGAAGAGTATCTCGAAGCTGTGGATCAAGCAACTCATTTGGAAAATTGGATGGATATAATCCCCCCCTTTCCTTAAGTGAGTTCTTTATCTTGATTTTCTTGTGCTTAGATGTATGCGAGCGGTTCTTCAGCTTTGTGCAGTGGTGCACTTGCAACGTCTCTTTGCTCCTTTCCGGGAAGTACTCTGCAATTTCATCCCATGGCAATTTGTCTTTCTCTTTCAGCTGTATCAACAGTTTGTCGTCATCTTCTGAATATGTCGAATGCCTACCAGGTCTGCTCACAACTTGTTCTCGCAAATGTGGTTGCTGCCTGTCTCTATCGCACTAAAGGCGCTGCTGACGACATCTTGCACCCGCTCCATTTCGAGAGGGAACATGTAATGGTGGGTGCACCAGATGTGAGAATCTAGCCACCCAAGGAAGGGGAAAATTTTACTAAGACAACACACTGTCTTAGGAAACAGAGCCAAAAGGTTGTAGCTTAGACTATTCCACAACGCAGCAATCAGGTGTATTATGTAGTGAAGTGGTTTAGACAAGTTGTAACAAATGTTGAGTCTGAGAACTCAGGGGTAAGTCAGAGGTTAGCACCTCACTGACTTTTCAGAAACAAAGAATAACAAGATAAATGCTTGGAAGCTTGTAAAAGACGTAGAAGTATGTGCTAGTCAATTTACTGTATTGTCTGCTTGCCCTTCTTAAGGAAAGGGCAATCCTATTTATGCCAAAGGAGTGTAGTTCTCTCATTTTCCAAGACTTTCCATGACTAACCAGGCTTGGTAAATGTATTAGAAATCAAGTGCGACCCACAACTAGCTTGCTAATTATGTAGTGAACGTAAGAGAATCCCATAGAACCATCTCTTGGGTTCCTAGCCTATAGGAAGTGAAAAGGAGGTCCAAGGTCAGAGTACCTATAGACAAATTATGTCATAACTTAACCAATCTTGTGGGTAACTAAGGAGCGATGACGTGTAATGAATCATAGAAGGTTGTAGAAGCTTTTAGAGCTATCGTTCATGTTCCTAGGCCTCTAGTTGGTAGAGATATGCCATGTGGTAGTATTGGCCCACCCCCTTAAGGAGGAGATTTTCTTAATAACTTGTTCAATGAGTGTCCAAATGATATGCCGTAATGTATGTAGCATAAACAGATGTAGTAGAAGAGTTTGCAGCAATCGTTGAGTAGTATTGCTTCTGTTGTTGGTGTGATAAGCCAAGATATGTATGGTGACTTGTAGGTTTGAGGAGGAGATTTCTAAGTTTGCTCTTGAGTTTGATAGCAAACTGAGTGCAACGAATGTCAGTATGACAACTGTCTTAGGAAACAGAGCCAAAGGGTTGTAGCTTAGACTATTCCACAATGCAGCAATGAAGTGTATGATGTAGTGGAGTGGTTTAGACAAGTTGTACAAATGTTGAGTCTGAGAACTCAGGGATAAGTCAGAGAGACCAGTTCTGAGAATTCACTCCACAACTGAAAACTTCGCTCCAACCCCAGAAAGCTCCCCACACCCCTGAACCCCCACTCGAGCTGCAAGGCGCACTTGATATCATAACAGTTTTGGTCTCCGCTCCTGTATCTCAGAACCAGCGGTGTCGCTATCATCACCGAGACCTCCACCATTAATATATTGCCTCGTTGTAGGAGAATCGGGAGAGGCCAATGTTTTCCCCTGACTCGACACATCAGCGAAATTGGTCAGCAAAGTAACGTCTTTCAAATTGCTGAAGTTTGTTTGTGCAGAGCTATCTGTGCTCTTTGTCCTCCTCTGCCGTTTTAAACGCTGTGGGTGCTCAATATCAAAACTGGAGCTGTCATTGGCACAGTCTTCGCCATCACTATCATCTGTGCCTCCATCTCGATCGTCGCTGCACGCCATCCCAAGACTTAGTACAACCTTGTCCACATGGTCATTCTCTGCGGACATGTAATCATTGCTATCCCTTCTTAATTTTGGCTGATATTTATTGATCTTGCTGTTATTTGTTGGGATTCCTTCGGTGGCAGCGATAACGTAAGTCGTGGCATACTGGCGGTAATGGCATACTGGCGGTAGTGAGGTTAGAACCACCCCATCAAACTTACCATCTTACCTACCCAACTCCATTATGGTACATCGAAAGAGCGTAGAAGCTCAAGAGTGTAATATTGCAATAGATCAAGCTATATTAGCTATTCATTCCAAACAATATAAAGTCAGTGTATGCAGCTGCCAAAGCACTTGACCTCCCAGAACAATCTATCCGTCGTCGTATGAATGGAGGCCTCACTGAAAATCTCCTCCTTAAGGGGGTGGGCCAATACTACCACATGGCATATCTCTACCAACTAGAGGCCTAGGAACATGAACGATAGCTCTAGAAGCTTCTACAACCCTCTATGATTCATTACACGTCATCGCTCCTTAGTTACCCACAAGATTGGTTAAGTTATGACATAATTTGTCTATAGGTACTCTGACCTTGGACCTCCTTTTCACTTCCTATAGGCTAGGAACCCAAGAGATGGTTCTATGGGATTCTCTTACGTTCACTACATGATTAGCAAGCTAGTTGTGGGTCGCACTTGATTTCTAATACATTTACTAAGCCTGGTTAGTCATGGAAAGTCTTGGAAAATGAGAGAACTACACTCCTTTGGCATAAATAGGATTGCCCTTTCCTTAAGAAAGGGCAAGCAGGCAATACAGTAAATCGACTAGCACATACTTCTACGTCTTTTACAAGCTTCCAAGCATTCATCTTGTTACTCCTTGTTTCTGAAAAGTCAGTGAGGTGTTAACCTCTGACTTACCCCTGAGTTCTCAGACTCAACATTTGTTGCAACTTGTCTAAACCACTTCACCACATCATACACCTGATTGCTGCGTTGTGGAATAGTCTAAGCTACAACCCTTTGGCTCTGTTTCCTAAGACAGTGTGTTGTCTTAGTAAATTCATCCCTTCCTTGGGTGGCTAGATTCTCACATCTGGTGCACCCACCATTACAATACAGTACTCTCTACTATTCTTGAAGCCCGTACAGTGTTAAACACACCTACAAAGCGATACATTCAAAAGTTAGCAGATGCAACACAGTGACTAAATACACGCAATTTTCTACAACAACGTGATACTGACAATCTACGATCAATTGTTCAAGCTCGGAGAGTACAGCAAAAAGGCAAGCGAGCAATTTTAAAGGGTCATTTTCATATTTCTACAAGGGAATTGCAGCTACAGGTCATTGAAGCAGAGGAGGCTACTCGACGGAAGTCAACAGCAACAGGTAGTAGAACTACAAACAAGGCTATAATTGAGCAAGGAGATGAAGAATCTATTGAAGAGGACTTAGGAGAAGTATCTAATTGTATTTTAATTGAGGATTAGAGTATATATAATTTTATTTTTGTTGTTGTTCACGATGTTCCAACCCCACTACCACCAGTATGCCATTACCACCAGTACGCCACGACTTACGTTAGTGGTTTCTTGAGCACTGCCCAAACCTGAGAGACAATCCGTAAGCTTGCTCATATTTTGAGAGGCAAGCAACAGCATGTCATTCACCTTTGTCGTAGTTGTCTGTATCATCACATCACTTAGTGCAGCTTGAGAACTGGAGAAATCTACTAGGATCTCCCTCTCAACATCGTCCAGCACTCCATTGTCGCCCACATCACTGTCCAGGAGGATAGGTTCATCTGAAAGATATGAGCAACGCGCTTTGCAATTACTGGAGGCTTCTGGCTACTCACCCTGGCTTGTACCCCATTTCAGTTTATCCGAACCTGTCACGTTTCCGTGGACGCTGCTAAGGCTGCCATTTATATCTGGTAATAGGAGTTCTTCGATAGAAGGAAACTCCGTCTCTGCATCGCTGATGTCTGCATCTCCACTGTATCGAATAGACTGCGTGGTTTCTGCATTTGGTCAGCTGTTGCCATCATAAAGAAATACGGACACATATGAGTAACGCGCTTTGCAATTACTGGAGGCTTCTGGCTACTCACCCTGGCTTGTACCCCATTTCAAGTGTTGACGTTAATTAAGAGGCAGCTCTGCGTGGTCCGAACTGGATGACATGTGCATCTGGGCTGCGTCGTGCGTAATTGTCCTCTTGACCCCTTCAAAATTGGCACTGGCTGTAGACGGTGGAAAGTGAGTCGAACCAACACCTGGTTGTGGATGCGAAGGTGGCCAAAATGTTGAAGGCAGTATAGCCACAAACTGTTGGCTGTCCCAGTGAATAGAAGTCATCTTGAACTTTGATATTGGAGGAGATCTATGAACTCGCAATCTGCTGAGGGACACCCGTCCTATATATACTCACGCGCTATGGCTACCGCCTGGAATCCAGCCTACAGAACACCCGTGGAGTCGCCCAACTGCTTCGCTCACTTTTGTCATTACGTATGAGGTTGCTGGATGGCGTAATCATCCCATGTTTGCCAATCTTCCAGATCGATAGCTGTGACGGCCGCGTCCTGAAGCAAAACAGTGGGAACTCTGGCGAAAATGACTCCAGGCAGGCTCGGTGATCTGTCCGTAGAGGCTGAGCAAAGCTCAGCCTCTACAAAGAAACCCCTATGTCTTCTATCATTTAGAAGTCAGCATTAGAGCTAGGTCACCAAAGACATAGAGAGTCTCGTAACCCTCTATCATCTGTTAAGAGGTTAGCACTGGTTATAAGAGGGGGGAAGGGGGGACTTACCTTATAGATAGCTACATCACAGCTAGACTTACGCCACATAGCCTAGTCATTAACTAGGCTAGCAATGTGGACAGAAAGTGCCATCTACAAAGCCCTAGACCCCCCTAACCCCATAGACTCTCTTAACCCTAGTGGCAAACTCTACTAGCTAATGGTATGTTAGCTAGTAGTTGTTACGATATCAAGTGCGCCTTGCAGCTCAAGTAGGGGTTCAGGGTGTGGGGAGCTTTCCGGGGTTGGAGCGAAGTTTTCAGTTGTGGAGTGAATTCTCAGAACTGGTCTCGCTAAAGAGAATTCACTCCACAACAACATAGCTGTATATAGATTGAGCCACTGCTCGAGTGCTCCTCTTCTCTTTCCTTACTTCTCTAGATTGAGTTTAATTCATAATACCCAACTGGCGCCCTATGCCTTGGTGAACCGTGACAGTAGTGCCACTAGAGAGTCAGCCTAAATTAGGCTATGAGGAATAGCACTGTGTCATTAAACACAGTGCTAAGCTAGGCCTTAGAGTATCTAAAGACGTGACAGAGACTGACCTAGCAGCCTACGTAGGCTAGTCTAGCATAGACGATGTAGAGAGTAGTCTCTATAGTTAGTGCTAGACAGCTCTGCTAAGTCATCTCCTTGATATAGAGCAGGGGAATCAGCTAGTGTAGTGTCATACTGACATTCGTTGCACTCAGTTTGCTATCAAACTCAAGAGCAAACTTAGAAATCTCCTCCTCAAAACCTACAAGTCACTATACATATCTTGGCTTATCACACCAACAATAAGAGCAATACTACTCAACGATTGCTACAACCCTCTATGATTCATTACACGTCATCGCTCCTTAGTTACTGGGCCAATACTACCACATAGCATATCTCTACAACCCTCGATGATTCATTACACGTCATCGCTCCTTAGTTACTGGGCTAAAACTACACATAACATATCTCTACCAACTAGAGGCCTAGGAACATGAACGATAGCTCTAGAACCTAAGAGATGGTTCTATGGGATTCTCTTACATTGACTACAGTTACCAAGCCTGGTTAGTCATGGAAAGTCTTGGAAAATGAGAGAACTACACTCCTTTAGCATAAATAGGATTGCCCTTTCCTTAAGAAAGGGCAAGTGTCATACTGACATTCATTGCACTCAGTTTGCTATCAAACTCAAGAGAAAACTTGGAAATCTCCTCCTCAAACCTACAAGTCACTATACATATTTTGGCTTATCTACCAACTAGAGGCCTAGGAGCATGAACGATAGCTCTAAAAGCTCCTACGAACCTCTATGATTCATTACATGTCATCGCTCTTTAGTTACCCACAAGATTGGTTAAGTTATGACATAATTTGTCTATAGGGGTACTCTGACCTTGGACCTCCTTTTACTTCCTATAGGCTACGAACCTAAGAGATGGTTCTATGGGATTCTCTTACGTCGACTACAGTTACCAAGCCTGGTAAGTCATGGAAAGTCTTGGAAAATGAGAGAACTACACTCCTTTAGCATAAATAGGATTGCCCTTTCCTTAAGAAAGGGCAAGCAGACAATACAGTAAATCGACTATCACATACTTCCACGTCTTTTCCAAGCTTCCAAGCATTCATCTTGTTACTCCTTGTTTCTGAAAAGTCAGTGAGGTGTTAACCTCTGACTTACCCCTGAGTTCCCAGACTCAACATTTGTTGCAACTTGTCTGAACCACTTCACTACATCACACACCTGATTGCTGCGTTGTGGAATAGTCTAAGCTACGACCCTTTGGCTCTTTTTCCTAAGACAGTGTGTTGTCTTAGTAAATTCATCCCTTCCTTGGGTGGCTAGATTCTCACATCTGGTGCACCCACCATTACAGCAAGCAGACAATACAGTAAATCGACTATCACATACTTCTATGTCTTCTCCAAGCTTCCAAGCATTGATTGTAAGGACACAGGGCACCCAGCTCACAGTAATAGCATATGAGAGTGCGAGTCGGAGGCTAAACGGATGCTATCCTATAGGTCTACTATGAAGGATACAAAAAAGATGATGGGGGAACCCCGTGAGTCGATTGTCTCAAGTACCCGAAACCCATCTGACTCGGTTCCGACTTGGTTAGCCCACCCAAATGATCACACGTGACCCCGCAGCTACCCAGAGTCTACTCCCTAGAATGAGAGACGAGAAGGCATCCTTACATTGATCTTGTTACTCCTTGTTTCTGAAAAGTCAATGAGGTGCTAACCTCTGACTTATCCCTGAGTTCTCAGACTCAACATTTGTTACAACTTGTCTAAACCACTCCACATCATACATTTGATTGCTGCATTGTGGAATAGTCTAAGCTACAACCCTTTGGCTCTGTTTCCTAAGACAGTGTGTTGTCTTAGTAAAATCATCCCCTTCCTTGGGTGGCTAGATTCTGACATCTGGTGCACCCACCATTACAGTAAAGACATGAATATCGTATTTTGTATTGTATTTGAATTGGTTCCAGAAACAAAACTGCACTACTGAGGATATTGGACTATCAAATATCGCACTAAGGAGGTTATACTGTAGTCAAATAGTCATGATTATCGTGATTATTTGTGCTAACCCTGGTTATCCTGAGGATATGTAATTTTAGGGCCTAACGGCACGGGATGGACCGTATAATTTGTCACGGTTCACCAAGGCATAGGGCGCCAGTTGGGTATTATGAATTAAACTCAATCTAGAGAAGAAAGGAAAGAGAAGAGGAGCACTCGAGCAGTGGCTCAATCTATATACAGCTATGTTGTTGTGGAGTGAATTCTCTTTAGCGAGACCAGTTCTGAGAATTCACTCCACAACTGAAAACTTCGCTCCAACCCCGGAAAGCTCCCCACACCCCTGAACCCCCACTCGAGCTGCAAGGCGCACTTGATATCGTAACAGCAACGACTGTCAGTATGACAATTAGACCCTTAGCATTAGCAACTATAGACTATAGGCTATGGAATAGTATATAGGTAGAAAGGAAATCGGTTATGGATTATAGACAGGGAGCTTAGGGTTTACTAATGTAATAAACAACCGTAAAGGAAAACCCTACATACTAAGCCTAGGGTAGTAAGTGTACTGTAAAGGAGAACTCTACACGCTAAACCTAGGGTGGTAATAGGTAGGTTCTTAGCCAATCCTAAATTAAGCCAATTAACAGCTAATCATTTAGGCTTGGCATTTTATAATGTCATATATTGTTGTTTATGAAAGTTTAGTCAAGTAGAAGTTTGTAGAATTCTCTAGAAACATTTCATTTTCCCTGATCTTATCTTATCTTCTCCATTATCTTATCTTATCTTATCGCCTATGTAAAACCACCCCTAATTAGGTAGGCCTAATAAGGTATAGGGTTATAATCGTGATTATAATCATGATTAGTCATGGTTATTCCGGATAACCATCTCCCCACGCCCAGCCCAAGTAAAATCCCATCCCGTTTCAAGAGAAAAAAAAAAAAAAAAAAAAAAAAAAACTGCTCATCGCGTTCGCGCCGACCGCTCATCGTGGCGTGCGGTGGTAAGGAAAACATTAAAAATATGGATAAATAAACCGCGTTTTGTTGATACATATAAATCCCCGCCCAACTCATCCAGCGGTAAGTAAATAAGAGACGAAAATATATTGTTGGGTTGGTTTGCTTTATTCAAGCCGGCGGCGGTGTGCGTAAGTGCGACTGCTTCACGGCGCAAGGCTGGGCCGGCCCAGTAGAGTGAGATTAGAGTGAGAGTGAGAAGAGTGAGAGTGAGAGTGAGAATGGGCGGTGTAAGGCAGCTATTATTGCACCTTCTATTCCCCGCCATGGCGTAGTTTCGGGGCTGTTTCGCGCCAAGGATATGTGCATGGTGGGTGAAGATGGGGTGTGTGGTATTGGGCGTGGGTGGTTGAAGGATGAAGGATGGGGTGATGTGGATGCGGCCATCACATGGCCGCATCCACGTCGCATCCACGTCGCATCCCTGCCTTGTCGTCCTTGTCGCCTTGTCGTCCTTGTCGCCCAAGTCGTCCAAGTCAGTCATTGGTAGGTAGATTGTGCCTCGTCCAAGTCCTGCCTCTCGGGGTCTGTCTAGGGGTCTGTCTCGGGGTCTGTCTCGGGGTCTGTCTGGGTTCTGTCTCGGTGTCTCCAGGTCCGTCTGGGGTCTGTCTCGGTGTCTCCAGTCCGTCTCCAGGTCTGTCGGCGGCAGTGGTGTTTGTCATGTCAAGTTTGTTTGTCACGGGCGAGTCGAGGATAGTAGTTTGAAGAAACCGCCTTCGTTTGCCTGCTTCTCCTCTGGTGTCCGCGTCGCTGTGTGCTGTGCTGTGCTGTGCTGTGCTTTGTTGGAGAGTCGTGGGGTGACTACTTCGGCAGCGGCGGCAGGGGACGACTCGGTGGGGGACCTGGGCAGGGCGGGAGTTGCGATGGGCGGTGGTGACTGGGCATTGTGAGGGCGGAAATGATGGCGGTTGTTGTGGGTTGAGGGTGAGGTGAGGTGAGGTGAGGTGAGGTGAGGTGAGGTGAGGTGAGGTGAGGTGAGGTGAGGTGTAATGTCTGGATATGAGAAAACTGGCAGGAGCGTCCCTTCTTGTACTTCTGGTGGTCTCACTGGGCTTTTCCGTCTCCTCTTGTTGCGCGTCGTTGTACCTGGCAGTAGTTGAGGAATGTATCACTTTGTGACGTAACTGTCAGTCTTTTCAGATATGAGGGCGGTGCGTCTCAAGATATACTCCCCTCCTCTCCCCTCCCCCCCTCCTTTATTGCACTGTATGCCGTACACTCTTTCCTCGTTCCTCGTTACTTTTCCTCGTTCTTTTCCTCGTTCTTTTCCTCGTTCTTTTCCTCTTTCCTCTTCCTCTTTCCTCTTCCTCTTTCCCCTTCCTCTTTCCTCCTTCCTCTTTCCTCCTTCCTCCTTCCTCTCCCCACCCTCCTCTCCCCCCCCCCCCGCCCATCCCGTCCCACGAGAAAAAAAAAAACTTCAAACAGCCCCCACAGACGGAGATGAGTACATTGTTCGCCGCAGTAGTGGTATACGAGTACTCGAGTACTTTCGTAGTTGACATGCTCTAAACTTGGCAAAGTAGGCTTCGTACTTTGCCTCGTCCACCTCCTTTAGCCGATATTACAGGGACAGGGACAGGGACAGGGACAGGGACAGGGAGTACCGGGGTGTTTGGAGTGCGATTCTCGCCGTCTATAGGATGTAATACAGAATACGTTACAGTTACAGTAATACAGTAATACAGATACAGTAATACAGAATACAGAATACAGAATACGTTACAGTAATACAGTAATACAGAATACAGAATACAGAATACGGTTAGTAATACAGAATACAGAATACGATACAGAATACGGTTAGTAATACAGAATACAGAATACGATACAGTAATACAGAATACAGAATACAGAATACAGAATACAGAATACAGAATACAGAATACAGAATACAGAATACAGAATACAGAATACAGAATACAGAATACAGAATACAGAATACAGAATACAGAATACAGAATACAGAATACACGCATCGCATACTTGCCTGTTCTCACACGACTTCTCACACGACGAAATATCATGTCAAACCCCACCAGAAGCACGCGTACCTGTCGCAAACCCCGCCAAGGACAAAATCCAGTGTCTCTGTCCAGTGCACACCCGCCCAAACCCACCCCGCCCGCTGCACGATTACCAGGGATGCGCACAATTAGCATGCGCACAATTACCAGGGATGCGCACAATTAGCATGCGCACAATTACCAGGGATGCGCACAATTAGCATGCGCACAATTAGCATGCGCACAATTATCAGGCATGCGACGGGGTGAAGACGAGAGGAGGCAGAGGCCAAAAGTGCGGTGAGAGAAGAGTCACACGCGGGCACGGGGTTGAGCGAGTTTGCGCGTCCAAGTGGCCTCGGGCCTCCAAGAGAACAGAACAGCCTGGTCTAGGGAGCTGCTGTGCAGCTCCCTAGACCAGGCTGTTCTTGCATGCACTGTAATCTCACCTGCTGGTCCTCTGTTCTGCTACACCGACGGCGCGCGGTCTTGACCGATGCCTGTGTCGACAGGCAGTTTTGTTTAGCACAACTCACTCAGTCCCGACAAAGGGGTCACGCTATACAACTCTGTTCTCCCCCCCCCGTCGTGCCAATTTACCCCAGCGCTGCCACGCTGGGAGGGTAGATTACACCCTTGGATGCGAGGCTGGGGATGCTATTTTCGGGGCGATAGAGCGTCGAGTATGAGTGTGTACGAGTATGACTATGTACCAGTATGACTATGTACGAGTATGACTATGTACGAGTATGACTATGTACGAGTATGACTATGTACGAGTATGACTATGTACGAGTATGACTATGACCATGTACAGTATGACCATGTACGAGTATGTACACCGCTCATCCCCAGCGCTACGATTCAGCGCCTCACGGTTCGCTGACCCGACAGTTTGGCCGACAGCCGGGCGACGAGGCTGCGAATTTCAAGTCTCCTTTCAGTGTCGTGGCGCCGACGAGGCTGGTCTAGGGTTAATTTACTGTAATTTACTATGCATATGCACCTCCAATCTCCCCCGTACCTCCTGACGCCGACGAGGCTGGTCTAGGGTTAATTTACTGTAATTTACTACGCATATGCACCTCCAATCTCCCCGTACCTCCTGACGCCGACGAGGCTGGTCTAGGGTTAATTTACTGTACTTTACTATGCACCTCCAATCTCCCCGTACCTCCTGGCGCTCGCCCTGCCTTTGTCTCGACCGGCCTGGACAAACACGAAGGCGAATCTCGAATGAAGGAGACCACACACAACAGGCCACGTCTCATCCAGGGCTGTCCGTCCTTTCCAATAGACCCCCCAGACATCGGACTCGCCGGACTCACCGGACTCACCGGACTCACCGGACGCTCACCAGACTCACCGGACTCACCCGACTCACCCGACACACCCGCCTGTCCCTAACCCACTCTCTAATCTCCCGCACCGAGGCGGATTACTGGCGCGCTACGCAAACAAAGTGATGGGGTAGTGGTAGTGGGGCGTGGACCCCCCCCACATCGCGCTCACGGTTTTCCCTCCCCCTTCTCTTCCCCCCTTCTCTTCCCCCTTTTCTTCCCCCTTCTCTTCCCCCTTTTCTGGGGGCTTCCAGAAGGGCGGGGCGCCCGGCAGTGGTCGCCGTTGCGGAGGTGTGAGTTGGATGCACCCCTCTATATCGGTCCATCCATCACCAGATCAGAAGTGGGCAGTGCGTGGTGCATGACTCGCGCGGTGCAGCTGCTTGTTGGATGCGGTGATGAGCCGTGCAGCACGGTAGTTGATGGGCTGAGATGCAATGCGCTGCTCTGAGAGTGTGGGGTAGGAGGTGAGGCATCCTCCTCGCACTTTAGTGGTTGCTTCTCCACGCATTGGGTTGTGTTGGGTTGCTTGAAATGAGGATTCGTGAGCGTCCACGTACGATTAGCACGCGTCGTGGGGCCTGTGCTGTGAAGTCTCGTTGTCTCTCAAGGATGTTCGACTATATCGATGGAAGACAGCGGGAAGGTAATGAGGCCGTTGTAACGGATTGAGAGGAGCTTCCAACATGTCCTTTTGATGGAGGTTGGAATTTCCAATCAACAGACTCAACCCTACCCTAACTATGGGATTCCCCGTTTGTCGCCAGTCATTCATTACATGCTCGGGCAACAAAGTAAGGAGCTGATACGAGTATATAGCTGGGGTTACGATTACTCTCATGCTCTTGCATTGTCTTCCATAGTTACACACGAATATAATGCGGCCGTTATATCCAGTATACCTGCTCAAACCAACCTCTACCCCTTTCTCAGGTATCCAACCTCCCCTCTTCAGGGGTCATACGCTCTCTACCGCATACCCGCAAGCCATCCTAACCTCCTGGACCAGCTTGGCTCCAGCAAACTCCCCAGGGCGCCCAGCAACCCGGCCACAGTCCTGTCGCGGAAGCCGCCCTTTCGCCAGGACACCCGACCAAGCAGATAGGATGGCAGAGCACCTGCTGAGAGCAGAGCGCAAGAAAACCACCCGGCCCGCAGAACACTACTCGGTGGTTTGTCCACCTACGAGCGAAGCGAGTAGGTGGCGAAAGCGAGTTGGGTATGCGAAAGCGAGTTTGGGTATGCATGATATACATATATATGATAGATAACTACCTGAACAATACAAAATTAACAGAGCTATTTTCACCATCTAAACTTTGTACCGACTCATTCTCATCTTCGTCGTCGCTACTCTTGTATGCCTTATACTGTAAGACCACTACAAGCGACTTCAAACCATTTGCTTTACGGTCTGCAACACGCTTACGCTCTGCTTTGCCAAAGCCCAGCTTCTCTCCACCCTGACTGTATGGTCTTTACAGTCAATGACCGGTTGCGAATATACGGTAGATCAGAGAGGAATGTTGGAAGTTTATACTCGTAATCAAAACTCCGGACTGCTTTATCAAGAGCCTTTTGATGGAAGTGCTGGCACTGTTGGAAAACTTCAACATCAAGCGGCTGAAGCAGATGTGTTGTATGAGGTGGAAGCGCACATGGAATAACATTGTATTCTTCTGCTATTGTGATAAACTGCCCAGTTTTATGTGAATCGTGACCGTCAACTATCAATAGTCGAGTCTCATTACATGATGAGTACGCTGCTGAATGTTGAATAAAGTGGTGTAGATATTGAATTCCAACCGCATCATTCGTATATCCACTGTCATTAACGATTACAAGAGTGTCAGGCTCAAGATTATCATACCATGATACACTCAGGAAGTGCATATCCTTCAGCATTTATAGCTTCGATGACAGTAACAGAGAGTCGATTATCAGGATTATTTACAATCCACTTTGTACGTTAGTATTGAACTCTTTAGAATAGAGTACTCCGACTGGTACAATTACATCTGTAGACCGATAGCATCCAATCATGTAACCTGTCTCATCAAAGTTCCAGAGATTGCATGGCTTGATATTATATTTTGTAATAATCGCATTATACTTCATAAAGAAGCCCTCGAAATTTGACCGATTCTGGGCTTGCTTTCGCAGAGTATTTAATGCCTTTGTACGAATAGAGTGGAATTCAGGGTGGGCTTTAAGGAACTGTTGAAGCCAGCGTCGAGAGGGCAGCTCTTTGCCTGGTCGCAAGTCTGCGACAGCTTGTAGTAGCGTACTCCGATTTGCAGGAATACTACGCTCGAGTTGGTCATGTATAAATTGGCAAATTGGCAAATTGCAGCATCTTGTGCAGGAGTCAATACTCGGTTTCGTCGTAGAGTTTCGTACTTAATGTCGAATTTTGTAGCGACCCAGGAGATTGTATGGGCTTGTGGAGGCTTTAAAAAGAACTGCACGGCTTCTGCAATGCGAGATTTATATTCAGAATCATGGGTTGGAGGCATATTGGTAGTATTGTTCATGAATTGGTAGTATTGTTCATGAATTGGTAGTATTGTTCATGAATTGGTAGTATTGAAGTGAATCCATGAGGCGACGTGGCATACTCAAACTTGCTTTCGCATACCCAACTCGCTTTCGCCACCTACTCGCTTCGCTCGTAGGTGGACAACCACCGAGTAATGTCTGCCGATCCTGGAGGAAGCCTGCCTTCGTCACAGAACCGTTATGCCCACATGCTGTGGCATGTCCAGGCGCCAGCGGTTCCCAGGCAAGGCAACTTGAGAACACCCGCCGTATCTGCCATATATCGATCTTTCAGACTCTCGGAATATCCTCATCTTCAAGTAGCTTCCCCCGCCGGATTCTGCGTCGAAGCAATCCACTCCTCCATTACCTCCCTCCCACCCCCCGCATCCTTAACCGCCGTCTTCGTAACAATCAGACACAACACCCTTCCATAAATCCCATATCCATCATACTCACTCCGCATAGCCATTTTCTTCTCATCCTGCTCCTCTTCCTCCGCTCCCCCCAGTGGTGCCGCTGACCGTGCACGCTTGGTCGGCGGGGCATCAGCATCGGAGTCTGAGGCGGAGGCGTCAGAGGCGTTGGAGTCGGCTACGACGAGGGTATCTGCGTCTTCGGCAGGGCGTGTGCGTTTGGAGTGGCGGGTTGGCGGGGGGTGGTTTGTGGATTCGGCGGTGGAGGGCGCGGGGGGGACGTCTTGGATTACGACGTCGTCGCTCTCCTCTCTCGGGAGGGGCGCGGGGGAATCGGGGTTTGTATCATCCCCTTTTCGTTCTGGTTCACGAAAAATCTTCCGTCTCTTGAGAACCGTATGCCTTGTACTCGTCTGGGTGAGGAAGACCGAGACTTCAAACCCATCTACAATGCACCCATTAGCCCCATCCAACCCCCTTCAATTAAAAGAAACGAAACCTCACATACCACCAGAAACAACATCCTTAACCCCCCTCCCCCTCGCCTTCACCCTCTCATTCTCCTCCCTCAACTTCGGCAGGATTAGCGGCCGCACAGCAGCCAGCACGCGCGTGAGCAGCGAGCGCGTCGAGAGCAGCCACGCGCCGGGGGGGGAGGGGTAGATGCGTACTTCGAGGACGGAGGAGGGGGTTATGCGGAGGTAGCGGCGGAGGGGGGCCATGGTTGCGGGATGGTTGTGGGTGATGGGCGTTCTGTTGATGACTGTGAAGCTCGAGGGAGCATGAATATCTCGTCGGCCGAGTGGTGTTGGGCGGCACCTTGGGGGGTGGATTTGCATGTGGGATGTTTTGGGAGATAGTTTCAGCCTTGCCGATTACGATTAGATAAGCTGTGGCTGGCCGAAAGCTGTTTTTGGAACTGTGACGAGGACCGAGGTACGTTTTTGGCCCTGTCGGACAATTTTTTTAAATTCTCCGAGAATGGAGGGTTCTTTTATGAGTTATTTTGCCACAACGGACTCCGACTCGATTCATTCTCCCCTCTCACATGCACTAAATTACTACAAACTTTTACTTTTTAAATAAGTACCGGAGGATATCAGGAAGGAAACAAACCGGGTGAGGTCATAGGGGTCCCGTCTAACTCCGGTTGCTTTTCGTAAGACGTACGGGTCACAAGTGAGTTGCATATATGGAAACTAAACTTATATATTTCTAATTCCTTTAAGAAAGGCCTTGTCTTTGTACTATACAGAGTGTCTGCCCGCTATATGCGAAAGTGTTCATTGCGATATAAAATCATAGCATCTGAGCCGTCATGACGTCGTCGCTTGGCCTTGCTACCAGACGAGCCCAGCCTCAACTCACTCGTGTGACGAGGCTGGAAGAACAGCTTCGAAGGAGTATATCAACCATTGAATTGGATAGACAAAAAGGAGGTATGTTTCATTCCTCCCCGTTGAATTACCAGACCCTAACCAGCAACAGACAGAGAACGTGTCGTGATTCTTGGCTCTGGGTAACCCTCCCCAATCCAAGATATCATCCAATGTATATACTAATCCCCCTCCCCCAGCTGGGCCGGCTTCAACCTCTCCCGCAAGCTAGACAAGAAAAAGTACCAACCCGTCGTTATCTCTCCCCGCCCCTACTTCGCCTTCACCCCCCTCCTCGCATCCACCGCCGTCGGCACCCTCGAGTTCCGCACCGCCATCGAGTCCGTCCGCGCCCGCGTCACAGACACAGAGTATTACCAAGGATGGGCGGACGACGTCAGCTTCGCCGACAAGCGTATCACTGTCGAGGTCAATGCGATGATGACGCAGTCCACGGCGCCGATTCAGACGGCGGATGAGGCGTCTGCGCCAGGAACCAAGAAGGGCAAGAGGTTCGACCTGGATTATGATAAGTTGGTCGTTGCGGTGGGGTGTTACTCGCAGACTTTCGGGACGCCGGGTGTGAGAGAGAATGCCTTCTTCCTGAAGGATGTGGGCGATGCGAGGAAGATCAGGAAGAGGATTTTGGATTGTATGCATTTACCACATGACCCCTGATGCCATACTAACCATCCCAGGTTTCGAAGAAGCATCCCTCCCCTCAACACCCGAGAAAGTGAAGCGGCAACTCCTAAACTTTGGCGTCGTCGGCGGAGGCCGTGGGTCCCCCCATTTCCAACCCCTAGATCACAACTAACCCCCTCACCAGCCACCGGCGTCGAATTCTCCGCTGAGCTCTTCGACCTCTGCAACGACGACCTCCGCAAACTCTACCCCTCCCTCATCCAACACGCCCGCATCAGCATCTACGACGTCGCTCCTAGCATCCTCTCCATGTTCGACAAGCGGCTCGCCGACTACGCAACCAACCATTTCCGCCGCGACGGGATTGCGATCAAGACTTCGCACCATATCAGGGATTTGCGTCCTGGACTCCCTGGTGCGGAGGAGGAGGATGGGAGTTCGGGGTTTACGTTGACGACGGAGGAGGATGGGGAGGTGGGGGTGGGGATGTGTGTCTGGTCTACTGGTGCGTGGGCCCCTCGATTTATAGGTATGGATACAAGCTAACAACGACAGGACTGATGATGAACCCCTTTATCCAAAAGGCGCTCAACGATGTACACAGCTACCCCAGCGCCTCTATCACCCCTCCTCCTTCTTCCTCATCATCCTCCTCCTCTCCCTCTCCCGCGCCAGAAACCCTCAACTGGCATCTCGCGCGCGATCCCAAATCCGGTGGTCTGCTAGTCGACTCACATTTCCGCGTCCAGCTCAACGGCTCCTCCCCCTCCTCACCCACCTCAACCAACACCCCCACCCCCACCACCCCACCCAAACCAGCAACAATGCTAAACGTCTTCGCCCTCGGCGACGTCGCGGTCCCACAGTCCGGCCCCCTCCCCGCCACAGCACAGGTAGCGAACCAATCCGCGCTCTGGCTCGCGCGGCGGCTTAATGCGGGGGATATAGGGAGGGGAGGCGGGTTCACGTATAGGAATTTGGGGGTTATGACGTATTTGGGTAACTGGAAGGCGATTATGCAGACGGGGGCGAATAGTGAGGTTACGGGGTATGTATTCTACTCGACTCTGGGGTGGGTGTGTGATCGGTGTATGCTGACGAGATTGCAGGTTTGCGGCGTGGTTGGTGTGGAGGGGGGCGTATTTGACTCGGACGATCAGTTGGAGAAATAAGTTGTTGATCCCGATTTATTGGTAAGTTCCCCGTGGTCAGGTGTGGAGGACGTTTCTAACTGTTGGGTAGGCTCATTAATTGGGCTTTTGGCCGCGATATTGGCAGGTTCTGATGAACTCTTGTGGGCTGTCTGTTATACATATAACAAGAGCATATGTCGAGTCTGAGGATACAAACCGACACTCGCCTCTGTACACCACTCGATGTGCGAGAGGACGTGGCCGCTGGCGTATTTGACTCGGACGATCAGTTGGAGAAATAAGTTGTTGATCCCGATTTATTGGTAATTTCCCCGTGGTCAGGTGTGGACGAGTATGGACCATACGAGCTGTCATCATCCAAGGCAGTTAAAAAGCGAGATAGATAGTAATCGTACCAGAATGCAAGTTTATTTTTGTGCTTCTAGTTAGACGCTGACTATTATCACTCTGTTGAAATTTCAAGGCCATGGCAGCCGGAATATTCAAAATATCTCACGAAAACCGCCTAATGCACGCACCGAAAGAGTCTAAGCCGCTCAAGGCCATGGCAGCCGGAATATTCAAAATATCTCACGAAAACCGCCTACTGCACGCACCGAAAGAGTCTAAGCCGCCTCACACAATGCCAACTATACCAATCACTTCCCATATCATCATGCAAACTAAAGAAAAATGGCCGATATCCAATAACAGTCACCCACCCCCTCACTGCGTAGCAGGAGCATCCTCCGTCCCCCACCTCGTCGCCTCATCCACCCCCTCCCACTCCTGCTCCACGTACCCCAACCTCCTCTTAACCTCCACCACCGTCTCCTCATCCCCCGTATTCTTCCCCACATTATCACTAATCTTGATCGCCGGTCTCCCCGCCGCACTGGACAGTTTAATCACAATATTCAGCGGCACGGACTTCTTCCCCGTCTTCAGATTGACAAAGTCGTTCGTGAGGAACGTTCCCACGCCGAAGGCGGGCGCGAAGCCCGCGGCCTCGGAGAGCGCTTTGTATTTTAGGCACAGCTCGATGTTGAGGGAGTCGGAGAAGACAATGGATTTCTGCTCTGTGATTCCTTGGCTATCGTAGAAGGTGCGCAGGGTTTTCACGAATGTCGCGGGGTCGCCTGAGTCCTGGCGCACGCCCGTGAAGGCCTGGGCGTATGTCATGTCCGTATCCGCGGTGTCGGTGGGTGGTGCATGAAGCGGGGGTTCCGTGGAAGCGAGGTGCGTCGCGCCGTCTGATGAAGAAGCAGTGGTGGCAGCGCTGTGCAGGGCGGAAGCGAGGCGGGGAATGGGCTTGCTGAATGCGCGGAGGAAGATGGGCGTGCCGAAGGTGTCAGTGAGGGTTATACCGAGAACGCCCTTGCCGAAGCAGCCGATCCAGTAGCTGAGCGCGGTCTCGGTGGCGTGCTCGTAGTTGTTGGTGATGGCGGCGACGCCCATGAACCATTCGTGGGCGACGGTGCCGATGGGGGGGATGCCGAAGCGCATGGCGAGGTGGACGTTGCTTGTCCCGGAGATCTTGCCAGGGAGGCCACGCTTAATGCCGTCTTTGTTGGCGCGGACGAGGCCGCGGAAGACGAGGGCTTGGGTGTGGTAGTCTCGTCTCCTCCTGGTGCCGAATTCGGAGGTGATGCAGCCGCCTTCGAGCAGACGGATGCCCTTCTCGTATGCCTTCTCTTCTTGGCCATCATAGGACCACTCCGTGTCCACGAAGCGGAAGTAGGCTTCGCTGGTCAAGGCCAGTAACGGGATCTCGTATAATACGGTCTCAACCCATAGACCCTTGATCTCGAGCCGGAATTCACCGACATCGCTATCCTTGCCAGTATCTTCGTCCGCGACGAATGTACCTTTGATCTGCTCCCTCGGGTTCAGGCGGAAATCTTGAAGGTAGCGAAGATATGGCTCGTTCAGGTATGTACATGTCGACTTGAGGAAGCTGTACTCGTCATCTGACAGAGAGATGTTCCCGAGCTCTAGTTGTCACTGTCAGCGGTTCTTGGGGGGGCAGGGGGAGGCGACTGACTGTTAATTTGGATTTGAAGCCAGTCGAAGGCGGCCCTGGATAACTTCTTCTCTGGCGTCCGGTTCTTGAATGCGTATGTGACCGGCACATCTGGAAAGTACTTCAAGGCCGCACATTGCATCGTGAGCTTGTACAGATCCGTGTCGAGGAACGAGATGACGCCCTCCGGGAACGCTGAGGCGCCATTGAAGTCCATTTTGCGATGATCGATCTCCGCACTGCGGGGTTCTTGAAAAAAGATTAAGACTGGAGGTTGTGGAAGGGCATCCCCCTAGTTTATCTAGGTGAGTCGATAGCTATATAGTTTTATGGCCAAGCAGACGGAGACCTAATTTATAAAGGTGAATCGGTTAGTGAAACTCTCTCTTAGGCTTGTCGTTCCATCCCAGACGTTCCTTGAAGTCCCACCCACCAACCACCCACCAAGCGCACCCCACACTAAAGCCAAAAATAATCGCTTAGTCATCCATCCAACCCACCGACTTTCCCCCGAGTCCCGATTCAGGCACCGTACGCTATGGGCCGACATCGACACCGACACCGACACTTTATAATTGAAATATTCCAAAAGTGGTGAAGGGAGTAATAAATTTGCATAGATGAATTCTTCCAGCGATATTGCTATGGGTGAACTGCGTGAGCGGCACGTAGAAAGCGGGAATGCTCCTAGGGAAGAGGAGCAGGCCGCGCTGGTAATTACCCCGCGAACGGCAGATCGAGGCAAAGATGCTTGGTTGTTTCTAGCAGCTAGCACTGTTATCGAGGCTCTCGTATGGGGTTGGTTCAGAATCCTTTTTTTATGTCTCAGATTATCTTATAAATGCTAAATTGTTACATCAGGGTTCTCATTCTCATTTGGGGTGTTCCAGGACTACTATAGCACTCATGAACCCTTCGCCGGTGCAACTAACATCGCTTCCATCAGCACAACGTCTACTGTGAGTTGCCTGCTTATTATAATGTCATACTTTTTAACATAGTCTCCAGGGAATCATGTATATGGCTGGCCTACTACTTTTTCCCGCATATAAGACCTGGCCCAAACTTGCTGACCACTCAAAATGGGTTGGGCTACCTCTCATGGCGACAGCATTAATCGCTGCCTCCTTTGCCAACAATGTGAACCACCTGCTCCTCACCCAGGGAGTTTTGTTCGCTCTTGGTGGATCAGTCGTATACTACCCAGCTCTAGTATTCGTAGACGGTTGGTTCATTGAGAGGAAGGGGTTAGCGTTTGGGATTATGTGGGTAAGTCAGAGCTTCCTTCTGTTTCTGACACATCCCCTAACACTTGTCAAAGGGTGGCTCGGGCGCTGCCGGCCTATGCATCCCTTTCACCATCAACTGGCTTCTGCATGCATACGGTTTCCGCAACGCGCTCAGGATATGGGCCGTGGTCATCACTGTCATATCAGCACCACTGATTTACTTCCTACGGGCACGGATACCACCTTCCCAGGCTTCGCAGCCAGTTCGCCAGGGCTTAGGATTCCTCCGAACCAAAACGTTTTGGCTCCTCCAAATGGGCCTTACCATGGAAAGCCTGGGGTACTTCATCCCGAGCATCTACTTGCCGACTTTTGCACGTTCTCTTGGCTACAGCCCATCAATCGGCACGCTTCTTGTTGCCCTCGTAAACGCAGCGTCTGTGCCGAGTACGATCTTACTGGGGATGCTGATCGACCGCTTCCACGTGACGACTGTGGTTATCATCAGCACTGTTGGCGCTGTGCTCTCCGTCTTCCTGTTTTGGGGGTTCTCAGATGCCCTCCCGTTGCTGATTGTATTTAGCATCTTGTATGGTTTATTCGCTGGAGGGTTTGTCACCACCATTTCCGGCATCGTCAAGGCAGTGAAAGGCCTCGATGAAACGACGGATGTTGGCATACTGCTTGGGATTTTGTCCGCTGGGAGGGGTATTGGAGCTGTGGCTTCTGGGCCACTGAGTGAAGCACTGCTCAGCTCTAGGCCGTGGCAAGGCAAGGCCAGTCTAGGGTATGGAACTGGATATGGCGGATTGATCGTGTTCACCGGGATCACTGCGGCAGTGGGCGGAGTGAGTTTCCTTGGAAAGCGACTGGGCTGGATGAAAGAGAAGGTTTAGCTGCGCATTTTTTAGCTGCCTCTATGTGTGCGTGAGCATGGTTATGAGTTATGAGTTATGAGTTATGAGAGATGATGGGAGGGGGCCGATGAAAGATGAGAGGGTGTATGGGTTTTGAGTGGCGTTTTGGTACATTTGAAAATACTCGAGCAAATAATATGACAATATTCGACTTATATTCACAGAAGAATTTCCCGGCCTTGGGTAGGTTTGCTGGCGCTCGTTTTTACATAGCCATAAGGTAGCGAGCACGTTGTTGGTTCCTGCACCTCCGTTGTTAAACCCTGGTAGTGGCTGTGCTAGCCTTGCATATAGGAAGGTGAGGCGCTTAGAAAGTGATCGCTACTACATAGGACATATATGTATCTCTCTTTTACCGAACTTCTCTAATTATCTGTCTTTGTATAATCTATGGCACAAATCGGTTTAATGCTCGGCGTCGCCGGTGGTGCCGCAAAACTCCCTATCGCATTATACAGCATCGCAGGCGCCATCGGAACAGCATGAGTAGAAGTACGCACCTTTGCTTCAAACGCTAGCTCACTTGCTCAAGTTCTTACAAGTCTGAGTGATGCTTTGGTGACGAAGGACCCAATTTCGCCCCAGGCAAAGACGATTGCTGATGGCCTGATTACGCTTTGCTATACTGGACGATAGCAATAAGCTTCTCAAGAAGCTTCGGCCGTTAGTGCTCAAAAGCGGTTTATACTCCGAATACTTTGGGTATTTGAGAAATCTAAATTTGCTACACATGTGGAGCCTTTGGAAGCCCTAAGGAGTACTTTGTCATAGGCACGGTCAACTACTCCGAGGGCGTTACTTCAAATAGGCCAAGGGATATTCAGTAAGAAATACCGAGTACTTCTATTTAACTATAGTTCTAACCTCACAATAGAATTTCATTGCGACTCCAGCTTCAGAACATAGCATCAGAAGAGGTGCAGAACGGAAACCGTGTACATCAAAATGTTTCTCGCCTCATGCAAAGAGAAAGCCGCCTTTTGACGGGGAATCCTCTCAAAGCACCTCAAGGAGGCCAGCCTTTAAGTCTACGGATAATTCCAAATGGCAACAGGAATAGCGAAGAAGATGAATTGCAATCTATAGACCCAGGGCTCGTCTCGCTCTCACTTGAGCCTGCCGAAGTTAGCCATTATCGTTCTCTCGAAAAATGCTGGGGACGACGAGGAAGCTGAGGAGGAAGTCGAGAGAGAATTTGGCATTGAAGAACTAGATATCGTTACCCCTTACTTGGAAATTTCATTGCTACAGCGGCACACGATTCAGTTTGCGACACTTGTTCTCCGAGCGGAAGAGAATAGAGCTGAAGATACCAATACACCTAATGATCAACCGTCTAGCAACTCGGAAAATCCAGAGTTACCAGACCAGCAGCAGCGTGTTTCTAACTCAGAGGCTGCTTCGGCGATTATAGAAAACGCACCTGCTACAGAAGCTGAAATAATCGATGAGGCACACCCTATATCATATCCTGTGCGGTGATGGTGAAGGTGACACCGCCTTCGAGAAGGTCGCCTATGGCTTCAAGCTTTGCCTCGATGTTTCCAGTCGACCTAAATAGAGAGGTGTTATGCTGACTGTTTGGGAATATAGCAAATATCTTCCGGCCAGTCTGGCCAACTATTCCTGATAGCCCATCTGCAGCGTCTGCCATAATTATTAAGGGCCTACGATGGAGAAGGAGATAGGGATAGACGCGAGACGTACCGAAATGCAGGCGACTGAGCGAGTATTTCAGGGTCAACATCAACTGAATGGTGAAGTTTTGCGCTTCATGTGCTATACTCGCTATCAAGTCCCTCCGAAGCTTTGAGGCATCGGACAGTTTTGCTTCGCAATACGGACACCTCCTATACACGGACTTATGGCCAGCTTAGCGTCACAGTCGGGCCATGCGCGGGGTTCAAATGTACAACACTCGCATGGCTTGAACCTGTGTGGAGTTGTGGGGGTTGTGTCCAACATGGGCGCCCTGTCTCGTAATCGTGGAAGTATTTACTGTATTCATGCCAGTTACCCTAGGCGGCACAGTTTCCACAGAGCGCATATCCAAAGCCAATATCTGAGCTCTGAGCTCCCCGAACCAGGGTTTGTTGTTTCTGCCGTATCGTTCCTGATGATCGTTATTGTAGATGGGTAGTCACGTCGTTAGTCACATTACCCCTGGCATAGGTCACGTAGCACAACAGTGTGGTTTCAACCAACCTCGGTGGGTTTTGATGTCCCACCAAAGTTTAAACTTGTTTTGGACGCGTCTCTTGAATCTTGAAAATATACAAATGTATGTTGAGGATGCATCCAAAATCAATGCGGACGATCAAGGATATGGGCGAAGGATCAAGCGGGGGACGCTATAAGATGACACGATCAAGGTCCAGGATCAGGTACGTTTTTGGCTCGTCAAAGCTCGCAACGGCCTCGCAACGGCCCTACTACTCCCGGCTTTTTACGACTGTGTGGGTGTTCGGCATGCGAGCGGGCGTGGGGAATCCTTCTGATACTCCTGATCCAGAAGGTCGTCAGTTGATAGGGTGGTCATCCAACTCATTCATAGTGATGATCCATACTACGGCAGCTAGTTGCTGTCGCGGGGTAAGGTTATATTTTGTCTCTGCTAAGGTCCCAGTCAGCCAGAGCTACTTGGAAGGTTCCAGGGGCTTCTGTTTATAAGACTATGGTAGGTCCTCTTTAAGCTTTTCGTTTTGTCAGACCCTCCAATTCTTGCTCTCTTCATTGTTAAGAAGACATAATACAAGATGCCTCATCCCAGAAGCTTGACATTAATTGCCCCACTCATTGCCGTGCTTGACACAGCGTTGGCGCTCCCTCAACCTTTCAGTCCAAATGTTAGAAATGGAGGGACAAAGCTCGTGTCTCGGGACCTAGAGACCCTTGGAGAAGCATTTCCAGCCATGGTCGATGCCCTCGATGTTATGCAGTCTCAATATTGGAGCTCCAATACTTGGCCAACGGGGATTGACTGGACTTCAGCGGTGACCAGCACGCACGTCTCTGCAGCCCTGACTGAAATGGCCATGTATGATGCAGGTACTTACAGCGGTGATATCAGCAAATATTTCTCACAAATTGTTTCCTTTTACGGCGGCGAAAATGTGGAATCGCTACGAGCACAGAAATTCGATGATCAGGAATGGGTAGTTCTGGAATGGTTGGAAGCCATCAAGTTCATCAATGTATACTCCAGTATTGACTCGACGTTCGACGGCCAGCAACATCTTGGAGACTTTGCGCATCGTTCTCGTATTTTCTGGGATCTGGCTTCGAAGGGATACGACACCAAGTTGTGCGGTGGCGGGATGGTCTGGACTGATACACTCACGCCGTATAAAAACGCCATCACCAACGAGCTTTACCTCTCAGCCAGTATTTCCATGTATCTTTATTTCCCAGGAGACGACAATCGAAGCCCTTACTCGGAGCCTGGGAAAGCCTATGATCCTTCTGAGGCACTCGCCCAAATGCCAGCACACGATGAGAGGTATCTTAATGCTGCCATCGAAGAGTACAAATGGCTCTCAACGAGCAACATGAAGAATTCACAGGGGCTGTATACAGATGGATTTCACATCACTGGTTGGACTAGCCCAGACAACATCGGGACCGGGAAATGCGATTCACGAGATGAGAGCGTCTACACCTACAACCAAGGCGTCATCCTCTCAGGACTTCGCGGCCTATGGGATGCGACAGGCAGCACAGACTATCTCTCCGACGGCTACACTCTCATAAAGGACGTTATCGCAGCTACAGGCTGGGTCTCCCCAACCGAGCAAACAAACACCTGGTCCGGCCTTGGCAGCAACGGCATCCTGCAAGAAACCTGCGACGCCGACGGCAGCTGCAGTCAGGACAGTCAGAACTTCAAGGGGATCTTCTTCCACCATCTCACACTGTTCTGCCAGCCAATCGCGCTTAGCAGGAAGGAGACTGTTATCTTCAATGGCACAGAGGCGCAGGCTCAGGCCCATCAGGAGGTCTGCAACGGGTACCAGCCGTGGATCTTGCATAATGCGCAAGCGGCTTATAGCACGCGCAATTCGAATGGGAAGTATGGTGGTTGGTGGAATGCCGGGGCAACTGCGGCTGCATTAAAGGCTGAGAGCACGCCTGTGCAGCCTTCAGGGGCTGCGGACGTGAGGAATAAAGGAATCCCGCTGAACAAGGCGTGGCGCCTGTCAGGCAACCCGCTTGTGTCGGAACAAGGAATGAGCCTGGTTGAAAATACGGCGGCAGCAGACCCAAATGATAGTGGTAGGGGCAGGACGGTGGAGACTCAAAGTGGGGGGCTTGCTTTGATGGGGAGTTTAGTGCAGGTGTTGGAGCTGCTAAGTAGGTTATAGGCAATATGGCTGAAGCGTTGGAAAGCAAGTTAAGTAAGTATGGCTATATAACTTAAGCTTATATGAGCTCAACATCTATTTTAAATATTGAATCAAATCCTTTATCACCACCGAGGTCTTCAGTCTCCCACTTCTCATCTTCGCCAGACTCCAACGCAACCCAAGCATCAATCAAAAACCAACCCCTCCAATACCGTCACTCACGCCCACCCCCAATCCAGCACCCGCCCAAACGGCGACGCCTCCGAAAGCGACCCTTCCCCCAACCCCACCGCCTGCCAATCCACCCCATCATCCTCCTCAAACCCCCCCTCCCGGCCCACCATCGCATCCCAATACTCCCCCACCCCCAGCAACGGCAACTCACACGTCTGAAATCCACCCCCCTCCTCACAAGCAGGCGGTTCACTCGCCGCCTCGCCCGTCTCCCTCTCTCCCTCTCTACCGCTCCTCAATACACCTCCACCCCCCATGCTGTCCCTTAACTCCTCGAGTGATCTCAACCTGCTCATCTGCGCTAATAGCTGATTCACCACTTTCGCGGCGTCGAGTTGCTTCTCGAGATCTGCGACGCGGGATTGGAGGGCGAGGAAGCGCTCGGTGCGGTGGTAGCGGAAGGCGCGTTGGGAGGTGCGGTTTTGGGATTTGAGGCGTTGCTGCGGGGGTGGGTTAGTTTGTGTGATTGGATGGGGGGAGGGGAGGGATGGCAAGGAATGAGGGGACGGGGATACATACTGAGATGGGTCCATGGGAGGTGTCCTGGGAGGTGGAGGATTCGGAGCGAGGGGACCCGACCGTGCGGCGCCGGCGGTGGGAGGGGTGCTGGGGATTGGGATTTTGGGCGGTGGGGTTGTTTGGGGGGGGGGCGGGGGATGTGTTGGGAGAGGGATAGGTGGTGAGTGCGTCGGTGAAAAGACTGTTGTCGAAGGGGATTCGGAGGGACTTCCGACTTGAGAGTTGTTGCTGCTGTCGAAAGCTAGTTCTTCTCGTTGAGTCCAGGTTGAAAGCTGTAGCCATGGGTAGTCTTGAGAGGCCATGTGTACTCATATCAACATGCAAAATCGTCGGAAAATGAGGTTCCGCCGGCGCGGACGTTTGTCTTTGGTTATTTTCAAAAGGGTATTTACTTACTTAGTAATCAACTCCGGATGATCAGGATTGCGGATGAGGCGGGAATAATTAGGTAAGGGGGTAGGTGTAGGCAAGGAGGAGCGTTGGAGAAGTGGTGATAGGGGTGATGCGGCCCTTACTTCCTCGCTGGGTCGATGCTCGTGCAACCCTTCTCCAGAACTATCTTATATAAAGTTTGTCTTCTCCGATGTGAGAAGAAGAAGTTTTTCCAGAAGCTCTCATTATCATATCACCTCCATAAAGCCGAATACTTCCTCCAGCTATTCTCCCAGTCTCACATCAACTTTATACAGCCAGCTCTCTTTCCAAAAACTCCCAACTCCACGCTCAAACTCCCTTAAAAACAACCCCTAAAACAACTCAATCTCGATTCTAAAATGGCCAAGCTATCCACCCACTCTTTCGCCCTCCTCGCTTTCGCCACAACCCTCATCAGTGCTCCCGTAGCAGACTCCACCAACCCCCCCAGCCTCAATTCCCTCAATCTCACCACCCGCGCGGACCTAAACACCTGCAGCACCGTCCAACTAACCCGTTCCAACATCCTCTTGGGAATAAACTACCTCATCTCTCTCGGCAACACGCCCTGCGTCGTCGGACAAGAAAGCGTGGTCTTCGTGACGAAGGGGGATGTAGCGATCACAGGGTATAATGGGCTTATGGGCGGGGAAACGTCGGCGCCGTGTCATGATGTGGGAATCGCGGCGAGGTGGATTATGAATCATTGTGCGTTGGCGCCGTTGGCATTTGGGGGGACGACGACGGCGATTGGGAAGAAGGAGGTGGTTATTCGGGTTAGGAAGGCGTAGGGGTTGGTGAGTTAGTGGAGGGTGGCATTGTGGATTTTGATAGATGGATCTTCAAATAAAAGTCATTCTCTGTTTAGTTTGAAGTTGCGGATGTTGATTCCTTGTAGAACCAGAGCGGGCTAAAACCCACTGTGCCCCTATTTACAATCCACGGCACCATATCCTAAGCAGCCGAAGCCGCCGAAATGGTCAATCCATTATCAGACTTGAAATTAACATGATACACCACTGGCGGTTCCGCAACCAGAGACTTCACAATCACCCCCAGTGCCGCATAGTCGGCTCCTGACTTCTCGAACCGATGGTGCGACTCGATGGTATCCCAATCTGGACGGTGCGTCAGTCACACAATTCGGCACGTTGCACAAGGACCGGGCCTCAGCTCGGGAAAGAGGGGTGGGGGGGTGTACTCAAGAGCATCTGGACGTTGTCCGGTGACTCAACCCAGCGTCCCCAGGCGAGCTGCAGGAAGCCGAGTTGGCGCTCTAGGAGGCGGGTGAATTCGGGCATTTGGTCTTCGATGGAGATGTTGGATTTGAATTTGACTTGGACGATTTCGGTGATTGGTTGGGACATGGTGGGGAGGGTGGGATTGGTGTTACTGTGAGGGTGTGTGAGGCTCGCTGGCGGTGGTGCGGTGGGTGATAGGATGTGAAGCTTGCTAGCGGTGCTGCATTGGGTGATGAGAGGTGAGGCTTGCTGGCAATGTATCAGAAGAAGAGGGTAATTTGCTAGTGAAGAGGAGGGCAATTGATCTTGTCGTTGGAGGGGAATCTGTTGACTTTATATAGTTGCTCGATAGTTCTTGCCCAACACTCTTGGTTACGGCAGGTAAAGGGGTGCAACATATAAGTCCCTTGTAGACCTACAGGATACAAACTCGTGATACACTATAGTCTTGAGCTCAACTCCATACAGACCATTGAGTGAGAACCGCTGAACGGTTACTTACTCTCTCTTGCTCATCTTGGCACTTGGTTAGAACACAGAGCTAAGCCATCTTTCGCATAGTTGTGTCCTTGTGGACGGGCGGTGAAAAACAGTACGCTGAACTAGGGTTTGGATCCAAGTGAGTTTTTGATGTGATTGGATTTTGTTCTGGATAGTGCTGACATCAGAATAGCGCGCGGTCTCGTGCTGTGCTTAGTCGTCAGCTTGGATGGACTCCGAAGAGGACGAAGGGAGATTTTGTGGGGAGTTTTAAGGAGGAGGTGGAGGGTGTTGCGGCGGAGTTTAAGAAGGCATGATTGTTGCGGGGGTGGTATCTTGGGTGTAGTATTGGGGAGAATTACATATCTCGGTGTTTTACATTGGAGGGGGTTTGAAATTATGGCGCTTTGGGGGAGGCATCTACCCCATGGGATACACCAGTATATGAAAAGATTTGAGTAGCGACTAATATTACCTTCTGAGCTGAGTTGCTGACCACATACTATCTATTCAACCACCATCTCCAAAACGAGCTCAAACCCAAAATATCTCATCCACAACATCACCCCTTACAAAACCTCTACTGCGCCCCCCACTCCAGATCCAACCTCCCATCACTAACCGCATACTCCCTCAACCTCGTCCCACACTCCTCCGCCCTCGTCGCCTCAACCAAAATATCCTTCTAGCCCTCCCTCACAAACCCCGCCTCCACCGCATCCCTAATCTATACTATACTACATTATAAAAGGCCAAGACCGATTGATTGGCTATCATTTGTCGAAATTCGGCATTGGCTACGTTAGGTTCTAGCCCCATTTCCTACTTCTATAGGCTTAGCATGTAGAGTTTTCCTGTAAACAATTTCCCGTCCGCTTATGCTTTGCTATGACTATTAATAAGTCTCAAGGCCAGTCGTTTAAGCATGTAGGTGTTGATCTAGGGGCAGCTATGTTTAGTCATGGGCAGTTTTACGTTGCAATGTCACGGACGACCTCTGTAGCTGGACTACAGGTCCTACTCCCTGAAGGAGATAATAATACTACCCAGAATGTAGTATATCCTGAGGTTTTAGTTGGAATCAATTAGACGTACGTCCTATACTACTTCTTAGCCTCTAATGTCTACTTTTGAGGGTGTTTCTGTTCTGTTACGGCCATCTACGTGTAATGGTGGGTGCACCAGATGTGAGAATCTAGCCACCCAAGGAAGGGATGATTTTACTAAGACAACACACTGTCTTAGGGAAAAGAGCCAAAGGGTTGTAGCTTAGACTATTCCACAATGCAGCAATCAGGTGTATGATGTAGTGGAGTGGTTTAGACAAGTTGTAACAAATGTTGAGTCTGAGAACTCAGGGATAAGTCAGAGGTTAGCACCTCACTGACTTTTCAGAAACAAGGAGTAACAAGATCAATGCTTGGAAGCTTGGAAAAGACGTGGAAGTATGTGATAGTCGATTTACTGTATTGTCTGCTTGCCCTTTCTTAAGGAAAGGGCAATCCTATTTATGCTAAAGGAGTGTAGTTCTCTCATTTTCCAAGACTTTCCATGACTAACCAGGCTTGGTAACTGTAGTCGATGTAAGAGAATCCCATAGAACCATCTCCTAGGTTCCTAGCCTATAGGAAGTGAAAGGAGGTCCAAGGTCAGAGTACCCCTATAGACAAATTATGTCGTAACTTAACCAATCTTGTGGGTAACTAAGGAGCGATGACGTGTAATGAATCATAGAGGGTTGTAGCAATCGTTGAGTAGTATTGCTCTTGTTGTTGGTGTGATAAGCCAAAATATGTATAGTGACTTGTAGGTTTGAGGAGGGGATTTCTAAGTTTGCTCTCGAGTTTGATAGCAAACTGAGTGCAACGAATGTCAGTATGACATCTCACATACTTCCACGTCTTTTCCAAGATTCCAAGCATTGATCTTGTTACTCCTTGTTTCTGAAAAGTCAGTGAGGTGCTAACCTCTGATATCCCTGAGTTCTCAGACTCAACATTTGTTACAACTTGTCTAAACCACTCCAATACATCATACACCTGATTGCTGCACTGTGGAATAGTCTAAGCTACAACCCTTTGGCTCTGTTTCCTAAGACAGTGTGTTGTCTTGGTAAAATCATCCCTTCCTTGGGTGGCTAGATTCTCACATCTGGTGCACCCACCATTACAAGAAGCAGAAGCAGTAACAACAACAGCTTCACAGAGGCCTAGAACAACACCACAACTTATAAACAAAGCTACAATTGAGGAAATAGATAGAGAGAGCGAAGAAGAGCTGTATGATAGTGATTTGGATGAATTGGTACAGTAGTAATTGAATTATTTGTGATTTTCTAACTTGGTGGTTTGGTGGTCTGGTCCTGGATTTTGGTGGGGTATGATGTCCGTGCGGATGGATTTGCGTGTGGATGGATGCGTGGATGCGTGGATGCGTGGATAGTACGATGACTATTCCTAGGGTAGTTTAGCCTTAAACCCTGATCTCTTACCATACACAACCCATACATAACCAGGGTCCCGACGAAAGGGTTTAAGGCTAAACTACCCTAGGAAATACTTATTTCTAGGGTAGTTTAGCCTTAAACCCTTTCGTCCTAAGTATTCCTAGGGTAGTTTAGCCTTAAACCCTGATCTCTTAGCTTACATACCTATGTCGGGACCCTGAGGTTATGCATGGGTTACTAATCCCACAGACATCGCGGCGCTCAAATCCCACAGACAACATCGCGGCGCTCAAATCCCACAGACATCGCCAAACAATACGACCCCATTTATCCCGCGAAATGTCTTCCGTCCTCTAACCCCCTCCCGTCTCACCGAGGTCGTGCGGGGGTGCTGGCTGGCTGGCTGGCTGGTCATGCCCATGTCGATATTGGGGGAGCTGATGCTTCAGCTCACTCCGTCCTGCCCGTGCGGAGTCGCATCATCATCAATCACATCGATCGTTGCATACGTACCGAGTACAGTACACATACATCCAGCGAGTGAGCTGGGCAGGTTCAGCGACACTGCACCAGGGTCGTCGGGGTCGTCGGGGTCGTCGGGGTCGTCGGGGTCGTCGGGGTTGGTCGGCACGCACAGGACAGATTCTATGGGAGCGCACACGTCGAGGTTTCGGTTTGTAGATGCTAGGGAGGGATGGTGTCACGTTTCAGCTTGATTGGTGTGTTGCTTCATCCAATTCAAACGAATCAATTCAAACGAAAAGGGTGTGTAGGTTGTGGGTAGGTGGGATGGGGGAAGCAATGAGAGGCCCCTGATTTGCATCACGACATTTCTGGTCGTGGGTGGCTCTTTTGTCCCTTCTGTCTTCTAACCGGCTGCTCCGTTCGTCCTCTGCCTCGATATATTTGTTGGCCTTGGCGCCTTACGATCTGGACCTAAGACAGAACAATTCCACTATTCCCAACTAGACCTGAATGGAGTAACCTAACTTAATCCCCATCCCCACCCCCATCCCAATCCATCCACCCCCATCCCCATCCATCCACCCCCATCCCAATCCATCCACCCCCATCCATCCACCCCATCCCCATCCCCATTCCCATCCCCATCCCCATCCATCCACCCCCATCCCAATCCATCCACCCCCATCCCCATCCATCCACCCCACACCCACACCCATGCAACCCCAGGAAATCCACCCTCCCTCCCCCCCTCGCCCCCTCCCCCCCTCGCCCCCTCCCCCCCTCGCCCCCTCCCCCCCTCGCCCCCTCCCCCCCTCGCCCCTCCCCCCCTCCCCTCCCCCTCGGCCCCCCCACCTCCACCCCCCTACCTCCACCCCCCTACCTCCAACCCCCCTACCTCCACCCCCGATTATATCGTTTCCCATAAATTTGTATATTTCTTGCCCCCTCAACCCCCAAAAACACCCAGTGACCTCTCCTCGTTCTTTGTCCTTCTCACCTTCTCCCCCTCCCGCTTCCTGCACGAAAACCCTTGTTTATTCCTCATTAATCATCTTCAAAGACAAGAACAAACCACCCACCACCACCACCATCATGTCCACCGTCCCCGCCGACCCCGTAGCGGTCGACGACAAAGGCATCATCAACGCCGTCAACACCACCACCTCCTCCAACGGCCTCAACGAGGTCCGCGCCTACGACTATGGCGGAAACCCGCTCGCGCGCTCGCACACCGGCGAGTCCGTCCGTCTCCCTGCCTTCGGTGGTGAGTTCCAGCCCGGTCTGTACAAGGAGATCTCGCACCGCAAGTTCGCCAACCCTGCGCCGCTGGGCCTGTCGGCTTTCGCCCTCACTACTTTTGTCCTCTCCTTGATCAACCTCCAGACGGAGGGTGTTACCGCGCCGAACTTCATTATTGCTCTTGCTTTTGGTTATGGTGGACTCGTGCAATTGCTCGCGGGCATGTGGTATGTGACCTTTGCGGTTTATTTTTATTTTTATCCCCTTTCGTCATCCTCGGGCGCATACAGGCGCACGCCTGTATGATGCGTACTTTCGGGCGCATACCTTTCGAATCCATACCCATCCTCCCGATCCCGTCCCGGTCACACAAGCCTGCATGCAGCTAACCATCCACCCCAGGGAAATGGCCGTCGGCAACACCTTCGGAGCCACCGCGCTCTCCTCCTACGGTGGCTTCTGGATCTCCTTCGCCATCATCCTGACCCCCGGCGGCTTCGCCATCGGAGACGCCTACAAGAATAAGGACGACTTCAACCACGCCATTGGCTTCTACCTCGCCGGCTGGTTCATCTTCACCAGCATCCTCCTGATCTGCACGCTTCGCTCGACCGTGGCTTTCTTCCTGCTGTTCTTCACGCTGGATCTTGCTTTCCTCTTCCTCACTATTGGTCACTTGCAATTGCAGGATGCTGGTGTTGGAAAGCCAAAGATTACGCAGGTGGGATGCATCAAGGCGGGAGGTGTGTTTGGATTGCTCGCTGCGTTTTTCGCTTGGTACAACGCCCTTGCTGGTATTGCCGATACTAGGTATGTCTATCCCTTGATTCTACTGATATTGTATAGCAAGGAGTTTATACTAATATCCCTCCCAGCAACTCCTTCTTCGTCATCCCCGTCGCCCACTTCCCCTGGTCCGACAAGGGCCGCGAGGCACGCGTCCCCAAGACCGAGCGCGAGATCGTCTAAACGGTGTTGGTTGGCAACTACGTGTTTTTGCGTGCGTGCGAGAGAGGCAATCAAGAAGCCCTTCTTGTATGGAAGGAATGGAACATTGGCTCCGTCGTTTTTTTAGGATTGACGGATTTGAAAAGATCATGTAAAATTCCGAAAGACGCTTGCTGTGGGAAGTTTTATTTGTCACAAGGATTCATCAATTGGGCTCTGTTTTGTTTTAATAATTATCAGAATGCGTCGAATATAAAGCGCCTCTTTCTTGGCCATATTTTCGAGTACAGACTGTCTTTCTACTACGTTCTTGGTCTGCTGCTGTGTGCGTTCACGTTGTGCGGTGACCAGTTCTCACTCATCAAAGCATTTGTCTCTTGCGAGAGTCACAACTTTCATTAGCAGGCATAATCCTGCTGTATTTTTAATTTATCTTTGCTATTGTTGTCTGCGGAAGTCTTTGAATACCCAGTCTAGTCTTTTGCCCTTTTTGAGTAAAAAAATCACAGGATTAACTTCAGCGTTGACATCGCAAACAAGTTGCTCGTTTTCCGTGATTTTCCCTGTTATTTCCGTGTCGGCGCGACGACGCACGTTACGCTCATCCATCCATCGTCACGCCGACTCGCCTTACAACATCACCATCACTTCCCACTTCTCACAACTCCCCAAACTCTTGATTTACGAAATCACACACACGACCACCTCACCGCACGTCGTCAAGACAAGCAAAAAAACGCCCCCCAGATCGCGGTCCCACACACACACACACACACATGCGCCACAACCCCGACCCGTTCTTGGCAAACTAAACGCCAGCCAGCCAGCGGCGTCCGTGTGGAAACCGTCGCGTCCGCATTCACAAACCCGCGTACCTACCGACGAAACCTCTCTCCTCCACCCCCACCATTTTTCGAATATCCCCTCTCTTAGTCCCCGAGCTGCCTGCATACATACATACGATATCGCGCAAATTTTTGCCTCAGTGGAGATAGACAAGACTGACCCCTCCACTCTACCCAGCAGACTCCATCCAGCCCCAGTTGAAGAGAAGAAATGGAAGCTTACCTGCGGGGCGCGGCGCGGTCCTGACGCGGGTTTGCTCTCCCTCGACCACCCCACCACCGCTGGTGTAAGCCGTTGGCGATGGTGGGCTGTGATGGCTTCGCGGCGGCGTGTTCGCGAGGCTCAGCTCAGCCGCCGAGGGAATCATCCCCGCACGGGGCGTAAACGCCGAGATTTGGGCTGTTTCGTGGATAATATGATTGTGCCTGTGGGTTGGTGGTGAGGTGGGTTGTTGGGAATTGGATGGCTTCTGCTATTTTGTGGTGTGCTATGTGGGAGGTTGGTGGTGGGTTGGAAACTGTGGGAGGGGTTTTGGTTTGATGAGGAGATGCGAGATGCCGAGGAGTTAAAATCACCGAGTTGAGATGCGAGGCAGATGACGATGTGTTTGTGCATTTTTGGTGATAAGTGATTATTTATTTGTTTTGAAATTTTATCTACAGCAAACTGGGACATGCGTGGATGGAGTAAGTCAGGAAACAAAGAAACATCACGATCACATCAAGAAGTCATGCAAGTTAGATGGTAATATCTTTCATTATTCCAGATATATCGCCCTCTCTTTAAAAAAGTCTTGGGAACTCCCCCCACACCCTCTCTGCTCGCAGAAGAAGGTTTTATAGCTTAATAGCTCTTCCGGCCTTTACCACTTCCCTCCTCTCTTTACTTCCCAACCAACTGCTTGCTGCCCCACTCAACTCTTTTGGTCTTTCGCTCTTCGAATAAGCACAAAAACATTTTTTATCGGAAAGACCTAAGAAAGAAGAAGCCCAAATTAACTTCCTTCTTTCCCAGCCCATGCTGCCGTTGTGTGCGATAATGCGCACCCAAATGGCTTTTTATAACCCTTGATTTTGTTGTTGTTTGTTTCCGGGAATATTGGGGGTATGAGGTATTGAGTAGTATAAAAAAAGCAGAAGATATGATAACCGCTTGAAATGACAAAACGAGACGAGTAGTAAATCGCTAATGCCGTAGACTTGGAAAAGATTCGCTTATGCCACTGATGCCTTATATACGTGGTTGTGTTACATAGGAAAGGCTGTCTCGCATAGTCGATGCCGTAAGTTGCCTTGCAGCCATTATACCGGGAGACGCTCAGCTACCAGCCATGCTGTCAATGATCAGATGTGTTGATAGTGGTGGTACTGTTGTTGTTGTTGTTGGTGGCGATGGTGGTATACGTCGTTGCTGACTGGCGTCGGTGTGATCGGACGTCTTTGCGGGTGTCCTTGGTACGAGTTGTTGCCTACTGCTAGGTTGTAATCGCCCTCAGGAGTGATCGGCGGCGTGATATAACCATTGGCCATCGTTGGGTTGTTGGAAGGCTTTTGTGGAGTGTTGTAGATGTGGTCGTTGTTGTCGACCGACTTGTGGTAGAAGTCGTTTGGAGGAGTTGGTGGAGATGGACGGCGGGCAATGGCGGCCTGGTGCTCCATGAATTTCTCGAGAACAGCCGAAGCACTAGACATGTAAGGTGAAGAGTATTTCTTGGCGAGGATCTTCGACGGCTGCTCCAGCTGCTGAGACAACGCCACTAGAGTGATGTTGTCATCATGGCCCCAATCCGCGTAGACGACTTCCCGACGGCCAAGGATGGCACGGGCAAGGGTCAGCGAAGCTCGCGCCATAACGGAGGGCTTCGTGGAAACGAAGTCTCTGTGATACAGGGCAATCTCGCAGATGTACCAAGCCATGTGCTCCAGCTCGATGTCCTCCTCAGCAGCGTTGGAAAGTGCAAGTTGAAGGAAGCTATCCACGGTAGGATGTCCAATGACCCAGTCGAGGGTGTTGAGTACGTGCCACTCCATCTGGGTGAACATCTCTTCGTCGTATAGCATGGAGCACATGCTCTTGAGTTCCCTGATCAGCGGCACCCTGTCCTTGCGGTCACCATACTTGGCAGCGATGAGCAGGGCGGCACAGCCGACGAGTTGGTAGTGGCGTTTGTAGACGACACGACGGGAGCAGTATCTATCGAGGAGGTTCATGGCGAGGAACATGGTCTCGGGAAGGAGTTGGAAGAACGTATGACCTTCAATTAAGAAGTCAACGAGGTACGGCCGCATGAACCATTTGATCTCTTCTTGGATATCGATCGAAGCAACGTCTGGGAGAGTTTGTTTCTGCAAGAGTCAATATGATATACTAGGCCACATATATCAAGAATGTCTTACCTCCATGGCTGCCATATGATCGACGATTTCTGGCAGGTACTCGGCACGGACTTCCTGAGAGAGCTCATCTGCAATGCGTTCCTGTCGTTGCCTCTTGATAATGGACTCATACTGAAGGCGTTCTGCGTTAGAGATGACGCACGTAGTATCCTCGGTTTCGACAAAGTAGCTATCGCATGGTTGGTGAGGAGCCATGTTGATGTAAGCCATGGTGGGTGGTAGGGCCACGAGCCTGGCGATGTGTGGTAGGTGTGAAAGGTAAAAAGGTCTCTGAGGAAGGTAGTGGATTGAGTTGGTTCAAATGATTGGACTTTGTCAAGATCTCCAGGACCTTCAAGAACTGATGTTCGGTATGAACGTGTGAATGGTATGGTTGTATAGTAAAGGAATGTGAATACAGATCAAGTTAATGAGCTGTACTGTAGTTGGCGAAAGGAGATATTAGACTGTATAAACTGAAGACGAGAAGGAATTAAAGAGTGAATGGCTATTGAAGAAGCCGACAAGAGGAAGAAATTGTTTTTTGGAGATCGAAATCGGACTCGCTCAAAGGTGTCACGGTGACGCTTATAGTAAATTCGAAGACGGGATCTATGCAGGTACACGGGTTAGTGAAGTGTTCATCTCCGAGGGGTTCGGGAAGGTAAACTGTGTAAGACAAGATGTCAAGAAGCATGGCTCAATTGGAGTGAAGTTTTCCAGAGTGATATGTGCAAGGTGGGATGCAACTCTGGGAGGAGGACAGCAAGACAGCAGCAGCATACCTGTGAAATTGATTTGTCGAGGGGTTGTTCACACGAAGTCCAATGGAGGGGATGTAGCAACAAGACGGCTCTCTTGATGCGTTGCAAACGAACGGCAGAAGAGAAGGCGTTTGTCCTGGACGGAAGTATGAAACAGAATTTGAAGAACGAGTTAACGTCTCCAAGATTTTGTGGTGGAGCTGCGTATAGAGCGGAGAATATGAACTGGATAGGCGAGCGTCGGCATGAAATTGGCTATGCAAAGGACCGGGGCATCAGCACAATGTACGATGGCGGGGGACGAGGAGAAGAATTCTTTGCAGACGTAAACTAACCTTCAGTTGGTAAACCGAGAAATACAGTAATTCCAAAGATTGGAGCGAGCAAAGAAAGGATTGAAGAATCGTGGATTGGTTTGGTGCCAGAAATATTCTTCAACCGTGTGTTCTCGAGGCGAGGCTGGATGACCCACTGGAGTGAATTTAACGTGAAGTCGAAGAGCGGAACTATGACAGAATACAGGTAGACGCGTTATCGAGCGAGACTGAGAGAACTGGGCGGATGTTGGAAGGGACAGAATAGAGCAAACTTTCGAACAAGCTAGTCTTCGGTTTTCGAAGTCGGGGTTTTGGTTTCAAGAATCGGCTCGACTGCACCCTTTTTTTCTCGTTCGGCGGTCGTCCTACTACCCGTCTCTATCTCAACCGGGACACGACACAAGACATCAAGGCCCAATAACGTATTCTTATCGTAGTCTTGACTCTATACTCGATGAACCAGAACAGGAGGAGAGTAGAATTTGGTGGGATTGCAGCTAAAGCGAAGGTGCTGCTGGCTGGACCACTCGTTTCTGGCTTTCCCGAGTCCGACGTCACGAGCTTGACAAGGTCCCAGGGGGGGGGGGGGGTGGATCTCCTTTCTTCTCCCTATTTCAACAATTGAAGGAGAGATGTGTCGAGGAGGAGAAGAGGGATAGGATGAGGATTAAAGAGGGAGGAGGAGAGGAGGATGAGGGAGGAGGAGGGAGGATGGAGGATGTAGGATGTAGGATGGAAGGGGGAGAGGGAGTGAGGAGGGAACACAGTCGGAGAGATTGGTGGTGGTGGTGGTGGTGGTGTGGTGATGGTGGTGGTGGTGGTTTTGTGGGAAAAGTGACAGTGGGTAGTTTGGTGGTCTCCTTCCTGGTCTCCTCCCTGGTCTCCTCCCTGGTCTTGGTCAGCTACGGTCAGCTACGGGCAGCTACGGGCGTCTCCGTCTACATAGCACCAGAAAATAGGTACTACCTGCCCACCATACCTTGCTGTCGTCGACTCGTTCTACTGTTGGCCCACTCGTCCACTGGTGCACTGTCGCGACAACAACGTCCAGCCCAAGAGGCCACAACTCTATTGGGTGAGTGAGAGCCCATCATGACGCAAGGGGGAAAACGGAACATCAGAATCGCAGAATTGTGTCAAGCTGTTCCAATCGTTGCAATAGGAGATGAGATGTAGCCCTGCAAAGGCTCAAGATGGACAAAAATGGACTAGAGTACTCCTTTGGCAGGCATACAGGCATACAGGCATTGACATGTCTGTCTCACCACGCAATTCAAGGTTCTTTGGCCATGGCCATGTCCCATCCCACCCGTTCCACCAACTTACATTTCACACAGGCTCACATCTCATGAGACAGCAGGTTCACCGAGGCTCAATAGATTGTCAAGACACGGCCACGGGGCAGCAAGTCTCCGTGGCCCGTGTCTTGACACTCGGAAGATGGAGCTGCATCGACCAGCACCGCCGTTTGCCCTATCGAGCCAACTCTATCGACTCTATCGACTCTATCGGCTCATCGGAGACAGCATGTCTAACTCTTCTCCCACTCTTTGACCACTATACCGTTGGAAGTAGGCAACTGGTCCGTGGATAGCTGCACACACTGTAACCCATGACAGATGAACTTCTGTTTTACCGGTCTGCCATGTCTGCCATGTCTGCCATGTCTGCCATGTCCGCCGTGTCACGGTGTTGTGGATGTCACGGTGTTGTGGTTGTTGTTTCGAGAAGTCTCGCCCACAACTCAACGCGGTTGTCTTGGTGGCCAATCTCTTCATGGATATCCCACGACACGGTAATATGAAGATGCTGGGATCCGTCAGTAGTGTTCGGAGTACGTACAATCCGTACATGGCCCTTCCTGGTCTGGTCGAAGCGCTAGCTCCCACTCTCTCTCTCTCCAAAACCCGACTTTAAGAGATTACAGTATGGCTCGGTTACAAGACATGCGACGGCACAGTGATGGGTTGTGGGCGGAGAGGCCGTCCTTCGCCCGGACGTAACTTGCTGTTGGCTTTTGCCCATGAAAATGATAGAATCTTGTCATGCGATCAAACTTCGATATTGCAAGTGAAATGATAGCTATGCAATGTTGCTGCTGCAGCTCACTGTGCTCTGTGCTACTGCCAAGTAGTAATATGCTTCCTTGTAATTATCTCTCCCGCGGCTGATTTCCTGGAAAGGGGGAATTGACAGACGCTGTGTCACTTTCATCAGGGAGCCTATGAGGAGAGGAGACGGCCGTGTTATTTGAATTCCTGTGCCTGGCGGGAGCATCGCGGGATTTGCTGCGGAGCAAGGTATGGCAATGGAACGGTACTGGTCCCCCTGAGACTGTATGGGAAACAAACCTTGGAAGGCAGGGAAGGTGCTCAACATAACTTAGAGAGAGTTGCTGAGAGTGTGCTATCGTTCATTTGCGCTTAGTACCCCATTCTAGCAATCTAGACCTAGATCTAGATCTAGGCCATTTGTTTATTTGAAGCTTAACAGAAAATTCCATGCTATACAACAGCCACGTCTTCGCAAATTGGCCCTCTGCATCGTCGGTGTTCGTGTCGCCTCGCTTCGTCCGCCCTGTCTCCCAGGGCCCCAAGCAAACCATGGGAGGCGTACACTGGATGGCGTCCCTAGTCTCCGCTTCCAAAATTGGATCATTCATAGCTGGCCCTTTTATTACCCTTTTTTCCCTCTTGTTGGCACCAGGGTTTTTTTTGTCCGCAATGACGGCGCTTGGGGGACGAAGGGAAGAGGTCCGAGGTCCTCACCAACATTCGACCACTATAGATTTAACCACATAATGACATGAACGGCATCTCAGGCTGTCGCTCATTATTCTCTTTTGATGATGGCCTCCTCTGTGGGTCTTTGTATTACGACACAATTGGCAGGCGCGGCCCCAAGTCTGTCAGCACATGCAGTCGCGTCAGCCAAATCCGCACCGAGCCACCAATAAACCGCGACAACTCTCCAGCTGAGCCAAACCTCCACGTTGGCGCTCATGCAGGCTATACATAAGGCGGCCCGATCGGGATCGCGTATCTTTTGTTTCAGCTGGCAACGTCGAGTCCAACGAGGGGGCCTGTCCTGAGGCCAAGGCCAAGGATGCTATACCATGTTAGTATAAATTGAGGGGCGGGAGCTCCTTGGAGAGAATTGGATTTGCGGCTCCGCACACCAGAAGCTCAATTGGCCTTTTTTTTTTTTTGGAGAAAGATATCGTGACCAGCTCTGTTTTAATAGTAGAACCGTCGACTTGTTCCCTTAATCCTTTACCAATTGAAGAATAAATTGTCCGGTCTGTCATGCTGTACATGGAGTGGAGAGCATTGCCTGGCTCGGAGGTACTCGTGCTTGTGCCTGTGTGGAGAATCAATCAGCATCGGTGGCTCCGCCTCTAACGCTGAGTACGGAAATAAGATAGAACAAGAAGCTGAATTGTGGGGAACTCTGACAATCTCGCGGGTCAGTTAATACCGAATGGGCAAATGGGCAAATGGGCAAATGGGCAAATGGGCAAATGGGCAAATGTGCAAATGGGCAAATGTGCAAATGGGCAAATGGGGAAATGTGCAAATGGGCAAATGTGCAAATGGGCAAATGTGCAAATGGGCAAATGTGCAAATTAAAGAGATGTTGAACCCGTACATCAGTCCGTCAGCTCCTCTTTTCCTCTTTTCTCTTTTCCCCCTCTCCTCTCTGCCGCGCCTTTTTTCTAGTTCGCAGGTGACAAAGTACGTCGATTTCTTACATCTCGCCGGAGACTAGGTAGAGTGCCTACACCGAATGAGCTCAATTGTGCCAGGTAAGATGGGGTCAATGTCGTCGTTGCGATTGGTCCCGAAATCCACAAGGCTGGGAACAGTGTCAAGTATATTCGGCCCTTCAGACGCGGAACGCGACAGACGCGACCAAGACACGAACCCAACACGTCTCGTCGTCCACACATTAGAGCGTTTTAGTTTTCGCTTTCCCCATCTGAAGATTGGCTTGGTGATGTCTATGGGTCCCACGATGGGTCCTTTGAATCCTGCAAGACACATTCGGCGCGATATATGAGGGGAAACGCCCAATATTCTCCACAATACTGAGCATAGCCTTCACCCAGAGCAAGACCCTTCCCCCTGTCTACCCCGCTCTTTATGGTTTTACGCAGGTCTTAAGTTCTTGCGTACTGGAATCGCGCGATGCATGACGTATTTACGCGCTTTTCACCAGACATCGGTCGCCATCCATTGACCAATCCGACACGTCTTTTCACTTTTCGCCCTCAGTCCCCATTATCAACTTTCGATGTTGAGTGGCGGCCAAGGAGGCGGCCCACCCAAGCAGATGGGGTTCTGAGCTGGCATCGAGTGCGCTTTGGAATGTGGAGCACATGCCCAGACTTGTCCAACACCGCGCTCGTTGGACGCCTGCATAATGGCGGCGAGAAGATCAATCTTTTATGACGTTATACGAGGGTGGGCGGCACTGTGCTCTGGATAGTTGGGTTCGATGCCTGGGGTTCGATGCATAGTATCACAGCCACCAGAGTGAGGAAAGGAAGCACATACAGTAGGTGAGTGCATAAGGAGATTTTACAGATTGTCCGAACATGGGCGCCGTTGTCTCTCAAGATACTTAGGTTCAATCCATAGCATCGCGGATATCACCGGGAAGACAAGCCCATGAGCGAGGCCAAAAAAGGCAGGCCTTGGAGGTCTCTATCTCCATTTTATCATGTTCAGCTACTCATAACACCCTCTTCCCTTCCTCTGGTTTGTCACGTGCTTCACTTCGTTCTTTATTGTCTGCATATCTTACTTTTCAAAATGTTCTTTCAATAAACCGGGAACATTACTTCTCCTAGACCTGCTTGCTTGCTCTATATAGCTGAACAATCATTTGTTTTGAAAATTTACTATCAACTTTGGTATTAAAGCCGAATCCGGGAATGTTGAGGATGCTCTTTGCTTTCGCTTCAGGCCCCCTTTGTTCTGTCGTCGCTTGCAGCCAGGAATGCGGCGGAAATCGATCAAGCCATGAAAGAACTTCAAAGAAAACCCTATGCTTCCGACCTTTTATGCCCCAGTGCCCCCCAGAATATGTGCTCTATGCTTCACGAGAGTGCTACAGAACCTTCGAAGTCGATCTCAAGCCTGGTTTCCAGAACAAACCACTTTGCGATACAGCCAGGTCAAACGCAAGGCATATATAGACATACCTGAAGCACATCATACTTTTGCTCGTTGAGACATAGTTTTCAAATCTCCAACACCGAAACAATAACAAGGAATCCGGAATCTACCTCGCTGGTAGTGCTCTTGGAGCGAGAATGGCATCTCAGGAGACAGAGCAACGGCTCAGCACGTATCGCGGCAGACCCCAACCACCCGTCAATGAGCGCCTGCAACAAATCTACAATTTTTTGGCCGACGAAGATTACTACCGTTGCATAAACTTCACCGAAAAGCTCCGGGATATCAAGGACTACATCACTGATCTGGAGACTGGAAAGCAAATCTTTGTACTCATTGACGAGAATCTCTTGAGTTTAATACTCGACCAAATTAAGATCCATGATCGATGGATTGAAGAGGCAACTAAAATCACACCTTTCGAATTCAATTCTCCCCTCCTTAGACACCACAATCGCTTCGGTCTTCCTGGGTGGGAACCCAAGCCCGGATTGATCAATTTTGAGCTTGCGGACCTCCCGACTTATGAGATGGATACCCCTATAATAGAAGCAAAGCTACATGTAACTTTGCAAGAAGACACCGGCAGAAAGCTGCCCAAAGAACCAGATCCATTTGAGTACACGAGAAAGGTCGCTAGATATCGAGAGAGTCAAGACGTGATAGCTCAGACTGTCAGAGAGCGTCATAACAGCGGCGACGCCTTCGCATTCAACCTTTTGCCGCGGAATTTTAAGGGGCCTTGGGTACCTCCAGCACCGGCAGCGCTATTAAAGAAATGGGAAGAGATGCGGGAAAGGCTCATAGATCTCAGTAGTGATCTACTATATACGCAAAAGCTGGCTCCACGACTCTCTATCAACCAAGTTGCACATATGATAACGACGATTTTCAAGACTACTAGTCCGCCAAACACCATATTGATGGAAGACGATTTCACCTATGCCGACATGGCAAAGCTTCGTGTTCTCACAGAGCCCTCCACTCACCGAACCAAGCCATCCAATCTCCGGGGACCATATCTCACTTTTGTGGCTAGAGTCAACGGTATTATCCGCAGCACTGATACTTGGCCCGAGGAGGTTGAGGAACCGGTGAAGGTAGGTGATCTGCTTGACAAAGTAACTTCAAAGGGGCCGCTTAATCTGGACCATCATGAGATGATGTGGACGCTGGAACTTATGCATGGGGATGGAAATCTCAGGTAAATCACATTGCTGCACGTCTACGATTATAATTGACATCAAGCAGGTACGACAAGGCCCTGAATGTAGTGAGGGCGCCGTATCCAAATAATCACCCGGAGGATAGGGCTACTGCTGGCTCCGGGAGATGGAGCGTCGGCTCACTCGGCGTCACACTGAGCGAATGGGCCTACCTCGGCCTGCGCCTCGCAAACGCAACCATGAAGATCTCAGCCCAAGTTGAGGCTGCACACGCGGATGACAAGTACATGGAACTAGTGGTACTTGAGCACACAAAGAACCTAGCGGAGCGGCTCCGAGCCTGGGAGAAAGAGGTTGACGCCGCGAATGGCAGCCCCAGCCTTATTGAAATCGCTACTCCTCTAGTCAAGGAAGTCGATAGGGGGGAGCTTACTGAAGAACTCGCCCTCAAAATCCTGCAGGAGGAGATCGTCGAAGAGAGCAACCGCAACTGGGAACCACGCGCCTCCCCAACGACAATATGGGACTGGACTGGGAAGCGTGACCCCCTGACCGAAGAGTGCTTCTCCATCGACCGCTGGACCCCGTCGATCCAACACATCGGCGACGTAGACAAAGAGAACATGTACCTCGAATGGGCTAGGAATCAAATGCCCGACAACCCTGCAGACGGCCGCTCCCAGAAGCGGAGGAAGCTCATCCCAGGCGAGCCAGTGTTTCCCCTGGGCGAAACGGCAAAGCAGGAAGAGGCTATAAGTAACAGAATTGACGGGCAACTTCGCGATCGTACGTATTACCTCTTTCCTCTCATTCATTTCTGTGCTAGTTGCTGACGTTGGGTAGTTGGGAATAAGAAGTTTGAGGGGATATATGGGCCTGAGGGGTCCTATACTCTGAGGCAGAAGGCTGCTCGAGAGGCGGAGGAGAAGGCGAAGGCGGCGGCGGAGGCAAAGGCCAAAGAACTGGCAGCAGGGGGGAAGGGTAAGGAACCAGAGTCAGAGGCTCAGGCTACGGTGCTGTAGACAAACCCGGCCGAACGAGCCGAGCAGGCGGGGACAGAGGCGTAGATGGATATAGGGCCGCAGACGGAGAGAGACGCACAGACGGAGATAGAGGCACGGAAGGAGTTAGAGGCACGGAAGGAGATAGAGGCACGGAAGGAGGGGCACAGACAGACGCTGCAGAGCCACAGGTCGACAAATCTGAGTCAGGGGCGCTGATGAATGAACCTGAGGCAGAGGAATTGATGAACGAAACCTGAGACACAGTATCAGATGGAGATGATAGGGGGGTACAATCTTTTGTTGAGTTTTTTTACCATGTAGGTCACTTCGGATATGCAAGCCTACCGTTATGTCTGGGATCGTCTGTTCTACATTTTTAGTTTTCTGAGCCGAGTCAGAAGTTTATCTAGTTTCCCTACTGGAGTTAAATATGCAATATCACAGATAATCATTTTGGGGTTTAATTTGCAAGGTGATCATATGCCATCACCTGTCTTCACTCGATTACTTCCAGGCAAATAGCTCGCTCATCTTCACAAACGGACATAAATCCTTGGACGGATATTTTTTGGCAGAATGTTCATTTCAGACACAGCTATAGTATATGCGCACCGAATGCAAGGTGCCCATCAAATATGAAAACCCTCAAGCATCACTGCTCCAATGCAGACATCTAGTATCTCTTTCCCTCGCGCAGAACATCTCCGAACTCATCAAGAGGAGAACGGACGAGCGCAGTGTCCTTCCACAGATCCGGGGTCAAGTAACCGTAGGTGTTGCCAACGGCAACGAAGGTAGCCTTGAGGGTGTTCTCGAGGGTCTTGGTGGAGCCAGCGGACGAGGTGTAGATATCCTCAACACCAGCAAGTTGTAGGAGACGCTTGACAGCGGGGGAGGCGACGAGACCGGTACCGCGGGGCGCGGGGATGAGTCTGACGGAGACGGAACCGCACTTGCCGGACTCCTTGGTTGGGAGGGAGTGGGGAGCACCGAGGTTGGAGCCCCAGTACCCGCGGCGGACGGGGATGACGGAGAGCTTGGCGATGATGATGGCGGCGCGGATGGCCGTTGCGACTTCCTTGGAGGTCTTGATGCCGAGTCCGACGTGGCCCTCGGAGTCACCAATGATGACGATGGCCTTGAAGCGGGTACGCTGTCCGGCACGGGTCTGCTTCTGGACGGGCTTGATCTGTAGAGGGGTTGCACGTTAGCTGTCTGGATCCCAATTTTGTCTCATCCTGCAGTCTCTGCAGCATTCCAGATATCCATACCTTCATGACCTCATCCTTGAGCTTGGGGAGGAAGAAGTCCACGATTTGGTACTCCTTGATCGGGAGAGAGTGCAGGTAGATCTCCTCCATGGACTTGATCTTGCCAGCCTTGACGAGACGGCCCAGCTTGGTAACTGGCTGCCACTCCTTCTCCTCGTTCTTGTTGGCGCCACGGCGGGCACCACGGCGTCCGCGTCCGCGGTCACCACGTCCACGGTCTCCTCCACGGTCTGTACAAAAAAAATATAAGTCAGTCAAACTGTCCCTGCCCTGCACATTGCGCCTTGAACGTACCACCACGGGATCCGAAACCACCGCCACGAGCTGCTGCTCCGCCTCTTGCTGCGTCGGCCATGTTGATTGATGTGTTGTGAGGGGGTTGTCGATGAGGTTGCGCGTGCGTCGTCGTCGTCGTCGGCCGGGTTTTCGATGTTTTGTCTCGAAGCTCGAAGTGTGGGAAATTTTAGCGAAACCCTAGTGTATCTAGGGTGCTAGCGTCAAATAAATTTCGGGATCTTATCTTGGGTGGCTTATCGGTAAGGCTAAATCAATGGGCTCGCAGAGTACAAGATGCGCCAACAATTTCGAGAATCAATCAATTCAATTATCAGCGTATAAAAATTTCATCATACTACTCACTAATTGTTTCCATCATCCCGTTACAATTATGGATGTGCATATTCAAAGCTATTATGGACACGAAACAACCAAAGACCAACGAGGAATGGAGTGAAGTAACATCTGTCATATCAGCTCGCCCGCCGCCTCCAAGATAACTCCATGCTTCAACGATCCCAGGTATCCACGCCAAACGATTGAGAGAAGAGAAGTGCGCATAAATACCGCTTTCAGAAAACGAAATTCCCAAGAGTATGTTCAAGTAATCAACTGCTTTCAGTCTTGTTGATCAGGCCATCCGAAGGCTTGACACGTTGGGCCCATTCACTACACTCACAATTAGCATTCCATTGTATATGGCAGAGGGGTTAATTCCACAGCGGAAACTCACGTCCAGCTTCCGTCATATATCTTGTGCTTCTCCGCGTCGCCATAACCAGCCTCCTCGAGAGCAGTGTCGATGATGGCAGCAGTGACACCAGACCCACAGCTACTAATCAACGGCTTCTCCGGGTCGACACCCTTCGATTCGAACACCTTGCGGAGCTCGTCCTTTGGCAAAAAGGTCTTCGTCGTTGGGTCAAGAACGTCGCCCATAGGAATGCTGATCGATCCAGGCATATGTCCAGAAGACAGTCCAGTCCTCGGCTCGGCGTCCTTTCCTGACCAGCGCCCAAACGGTCTGGCGTCCAGTATCTGGATGCCTTCGGCACCTTCCTTGTTATAATCTTGGACAACTTCCCTTACCCCCTCAAACTCAATGACCTTGGACGTGTTAAGCTTTGGGATCCGATAGGCGCAACATTCCACACTGTAGAACTCTCCGGACTCGGTCGGGTAGCCTTCCTCAACCCAGAGCTTGAAATTGTTTAAAACGTGGACCTGGCCATGCCCGAAAACCTTGAGGGTCCATGCCACCCGGGGCGCGCTGAATATGCCCAGTTCCTTCGTATCGTAAACCACCACCGTATCATCCGGGTTAATACCAAGCTCGCTCATCGCGGCGGCGAAATCGGATGCAGAGGGAAGCATATGTGGGTATGTGCTGTGACGGTCTACGACCTTGTCGAGGTCGAAAAAGCGTGCATTAGGAATGCGCTGCTCTCTGAAGGTGTCGATACCCTTGCGGCCATCGTTTGGGAGGAACCATGCCGCCGAGAGGGGTATCGTTCGGGGTAGGGTGGATATTTTTGTGGGTGAATTCTTCTTCAGAGCTTCATTGAGCTCCTTGGGTGTGACGAGGTAAGAAGAAAATGATTTTGTGGCTGCCATCTTGAGCAACGGTGATGTCGAATTCAACCTCGGAGCTCCGATCCGGGCGAGAATCTTAGTTTGTAACATCGCATACGGCGCCGTGATGAATATTTGTTGGTGATCAGAGCTGCATGTGAGACAAGACGGGGTTATAAAACCACCCGGGATCTTTGTACACGTTTGAACGATGGCCTATCGTCAGTATCCAGAAAGCTTTATTGTATGTTTGTTTGGAGAGGCTCACGGGCGTCTAATGAGGAAGTGCTCCCTGACGCAACCCTGCTATCCCTATCGCGATAAGTGCTGGATCGCTACTTCACCCGATTCTTATCGGAGTGACTGGCGACGAAATAAATAACATAAACAAACAGCTTGTGATTGACAAAGCTCCACGCATATATGGTATAGCAGGCCATCACAACAAAGAGACCCCAAAACAGACCCTAAAGTGTTGAATCTGTCTTGTCCACAGTCCCTGCCAACTCAAATATGAAGGTCACGATCAGAAAATGGAATGCGGTCGCGACTTGGAGATGGGATATCCCAGAAGACGACGTCTGCGGTATTTGCCAAGTCCACTTTGACGGCACTTGTCCAACCTGCAAATACCCAGGAGATGATTGCAGTTTATGTGAGCCTTCATAACATAACTGGATGCCCCAAATACCATGTCGGTTTGCTGATCTATACTGCCCAGTGTCCGGGAAATGCGGTCACAACTTCCACATGGTGAGAGACTACCACTCTCTAACATAAGACAACAGTTGCTAATCCATCACTAGCATTGCATCGTCGAATGGATCAAGCAAGACTCCTCGAAGGGCCAGTGTCCAATGTGCAGACAAAGTAGGTTTTCAGCCGTCCCACGTAGCTGCCAACACAGCCCTAACATACCTACTTTACAGAATTCGAATGGACTGAAACCATCGCAACCGACGACCAAGAAGAGGGAACAAACACTGCCGCAGCATAACTACTCCTATCCGACTATACGAAGCATGAAACGAGAACTGTAACGATGGCGATGGCGGGGCGGGTACTGGGGAGAAACATTGTTTTCAAGGCGTTAAAGGAGCATCCACACAGACCCAGCAAGGCGCTACAGTCTTCTATCCAACCTCAAGGCGCTTTATACCACGGCATCTGATACCCAAAGTCATTAATCCCCCCTCCCCCAGAGTTTGATGCCCAGCCCAGCACCGCGCCCAAAGAACGCGTGATCACGTGGAGATAAGAGGTATATATGAGGCCTCGCTCACCAGGTCCAGCCAGAGCTCTTTGACATCAGTTGTGCCTGGCCACCTCCTCCTCCCATCAAATCTCTGAATAACTAACCCCCCCCGGGCAAACACACAATGTCCCCATCCACATCACAATCTCTGCCTACGGGAAAGGATCCCCCAGACAGCACCACTCATCCCGCCGCCAGCCTCGTCACCTCCCCTCGTCTCCCGTACGCAAATCTGCAGCCGTCACAACAGGCTCAAGAGCCGCAGCAGGAAAGCATCATGGCACCACGGCCGGCATTCACACCCTTCTTCACCCTCGTCGATGACGCTACGAGCGGCAGCACGCACCACCCGGTAAACGTGCGGTACATCTTCTCAGACGACGATCAGGACCTCACAGACGAATACCTCGCTGCTATCTCCTCTGCGCCCTCTCCGCACTCGAGCTCGCATATCGCGCACTCCTCTGAGTCATCGAGCTTTACTTCCTTTTCGCGGCAGCAGCAGAGAATACCATCTGGTGGAGAGCCAAGGGAACCGGAACATATAACGCTACTCCTCGATCTTGATGCGAGCGGTACGGCTGTGACAGCCTTCCATTCCCTCTCCCCCTCGTGGCAACTCCTCTCCGCTTCCATCACCAAAGCTCCTACCTGGGAATCCGGCCCCGCCGCCGACGACGGGGAGGATGAGTTGGCAGCGCGGTTTATGTTGAGGCTTGAAGGGACGAAAGGGAGGGATGAGGGGATGAGGGAGAGGGTTAGGGGGGTGTGGAAGGATCCGGGGGAGGGGGTGAGGGCGGAGGATTTTCAGGTGTTGGTGGAGGAGTTTGAGAAGAAGATGAGGGTTTTGAGGACGGTGGTTGATACGGGGAGGGATACTCTTGGGTTGGAGGAGGAAGAGCAGGAGGATGGGGGAGGCGATGAGGGGGAGCATGAGCAACAGCATGAGGATGAGGGGGAAGGCGAGGACGAGAAGGATGGGCCGAGGGAGTGAGAGTGAGGAACGGACATGTGTTTTGGAGTCAAGGAGCGGGTTGTTAGCATCGCGGGCACATTATGGATGGGGGGGTATACCACGTCCTGCAGGACACAGAGACAGAAGGCAACTCTCCCATAGAAACTAGCCATGCAGAATCAGGCACCCGCAATAAAGGAGTCGTTATCACATTTATCACATAAACTAGACACAGTGCCAAATTAACCGTAATAATTTTGAAGACCTATATATAATACCCCCCTCCCCCAGGAACAACATCTCGCATCCATCCCCACCCCCCCACCTCCCGGAATTCCCCTCCACGGAGGCAAGAGCTGTCAGGATGTCCAATGCAAAACATTCCCCATTATCATTCAGAAGAGGACAAAGTAAAAGGGCCAGGTGTCTCGACAGGTATTTTAAAGGAAAAGCTGGGTTGGTATCCGTACACTACAACTAAGAGCACAACAAAAACAAAAGGAATCACCCTCCCCTCCCTTCCCCCACCCCACCAACCTCAGGACAGGAGCAGAAAAGGGAGCAGAGAGTAGTAGTCCAACAAAAATTAACGCCGTGTATGCGAAAAATAAGCGCGAGGGGGCCGGGAATCAAACGCGCTGTACAGTATCGTCCGTTCACACCGTGTGCTGGGGTGTTCAACCAATCCACGGCAGACCCCTCTTCTCAGCAGCATTGGCGACTTTGTCGATTGTTTCTTTCGAGAGGGATGCGATGACGGATTCAATGGATACACCTCCTGTGCCGGGACGGGGGGCAAGGTGGCCGTGGATGTTGTACATGATGTCGCGCTTGGCGGCGTTGTTGTTCGATTTGGGGGCCTGGTTGACGAGCTTGACGACGACGACGGCGACGACGATGATGATGATGATGATGACTGCAGATGTGTTAGCAAGTTGGTCTTCGCGGCTAATAGAGGGATAAACAAAATGGACAGGTAATACGTACGAACAATACCCAAGCAGTACCACTTCTTGCGGTTGCGCGAGCGGGCAGTCTTGATAGCCGTCCCGATGTGCTCAGTCCCCTTATCGAGGTTCTCCTGCACCTCCTCGCCCTTCTGCTCAATCATTGTGACCGAGTCCTCCTGCTGCACCACCAGCGCCTCCATATCCTGGAACAGCTGCGCCAGCTCAATCATCTGCGACTCGATCTTCTGGATCGCCGCGTGGCGGTTCTGCACGTTGCTGAGCGCCTGGCGCGACTGTCCGCGGCGATCGCTCTGGAGCAGGGCCTGGCTGAACACCTGCTGGTTAGACGTATCCTCGACCGCCTCGCGCACCTCAGCCTCCGACGCATCAGGTCTGACAATCTTATACTGCCTTGCCATCTGCGCCTGCAGCTTCTTGCGGAAGTCGCTCTCGACGTTCTGGTAATGGTTGATGGCGGCCTTGAGCTTGCGGTCCACCTTGCCGAGCTGCGGCGCGTTCTTGGGACTCCCGGACTCGGGCTGCTGCTTGATCGACTTGATGCGCGCCGCGAGGCTGCGGTACATGGTCATTGTCTCGGAGCTCATGGCGTCCAGCTGGCTGTTGGTCGCGCTCTGCTGGCTGGAGTCCGGGTCGTCGAGCGCGCGCTGCTGGAGCATGCGGATGGTTTCGAGGTTGCGCTCGATGGCGTCGATGCCTTTGTCGATCTCGCGGCACTCGTTGAGGATGGCGTTGGGGTCTTGTTGAAGGCCGAATTGCTGGCCGTTCTGGGCCAAGGGCTCCAGTTCGACGTTTTGGCCTGGGAAGCGGGTGTTAGGATGATTTCGAAGCTGGGATCAATGCGGAATTTGGCTCACCACCATAGCTGTCACGGCCTACAGCTCCTCCGTAGCGGTTGTTTCCTCTGTATCCTCCACCGTTGTAACCGCCGCCCGATGGTTGGGTATCCCGCTGGTCATATGGGTTTGACCCACCGCCATAGCTGTAGGAGAAAGGTCAGTACGATGCGACGATTTATTGGATTGGTGTGTACTGACTTGTTATTGTACTGTGCCATTGATGCGTTAGCTACAATTCTCGTAACATCAAAAGTAATATCGCAACAAGTAAGGGGTATACTTGATGGTCGAAGGAGGGGGGGAAGGTTAACTTGCGCTCATTTTTGGATCGAGGGACACCACAGCCCCTAAACTAGATAGACGCTTTGTTGACTTTGGCTCGGGTAGAAGCTGGCGCCTGATGTTGAAGCTTTCAATTGCACAGCCAAGCAATAATTAATACTGATGGCCTCCTGCTTGTCGTGTGTCGCTATCGCGTCTATTTTGATGGAACAAATGTGATGTGTGCAGCTGTGTGGAATAGCTGAGGCCAAGAAAGATCGAGGACAAAGGAAGGCTGGATGGGCCACAGAACGTTCTGCCACAGACGCGGTAAGCGAGTTGAGATATGGGGTCCAGGTACCTCCACTAGAAGAGGTACATACTCTGGAGTGTAGACAGGCATACAAGGGTAAGTAGAAGAGTAGAGAGAGTACAAGAGTTAGAGATGCTCGATGCTCGATGCACCTGTGGGTTGTTATTACACTGCCAGGAAGGAGCGACAACACCACATAAAATACCCTCATGAGTTTCCACGGCGCCCTCGGAAATATCATATCCTCTGCGCACATTCTACCTAATCCAACCATCGTGGTGCCAGAGTGGTTAATGGGTATGACTCGAATGCTTTAATGCGATAGATATCATATGGCTTCGGCCGCGTAGGTTCAAATCCTGCCCACGATGATTTTTAATATGTTTTTGTTGCAAGTTATATACAATCCCATCTGCGGCTGCAACATCTGCGGTAGCAATGCTGGCGAGGGCCGTGACCAAAGAGAGGAATAGTTGAAAGCTTTATTGCGAGCTTTATTGCGAGCTTTATTGCGAGAAAATGGGTTGCTTCTTGGTGGGAAAGTAAGTTGCCAGGATAGAAAGCCACGCTCTACACACCCCTCCCCTCCCTTCAAACATTAACCCACCCCAACCCCCCAACCCACCTCCTCTGTCCCGCACACATAAGACACCTCCTCTGCACCCCCAAATTCGACACCGCACACCCGTGACGCACCTGCCTCCTACACTGCGAGCACGCAAACCCGTGCGCCCCGCCGTCGCCGTACATATCAACATCGATATCCATCTCCATCGCATCGCCATCCCCATTAACAAGCACCAAATCGCAGTCCTCGCAGTTCGTCTCCTGGAAGCATGGCGCTGCTGATGAGGGGGTGGTCGAATGGGCGCTGGGGTCGCGACGTGCTGGGAGGGCCCAGAAGGAGTGGAGTGAGGATTGCTGCTGGGGCGGGGCGGACATGAGGGTTGTAGGTTCTTGCTGCGGGTATGTGGGTTCGGCTTGCTGCTGGTGTTGTTTTTGGGCTGAGAAGAGAAGGTTGAGTGTGTTTTCTGGGGGGAGTTAGCTTTGATTCAAAAGACGACGCGAGCCAAGCCGGCGTACCGTGGATCTGGTGCTCCGAGGGGCGGTTATCGCGAACGCGTTTTCTGGTCCGGCTGGAGAGGTGGAGGGGGGTGATTTCATGCCCGAATTGGGATGGGTAGGGGGTTGAGGCCATGGTGAGTGATTGTGTTGGGCTGGCGGACATGGAGAAGCTCTGGCTGGACATCTCGGAGTCGGAGCGCTTGCGTTTGAGGAGCATTTTGATTGAGTGAGGGTTGGTGATTGAGTAACTAGAAGATATGAGGTGATGTATTGATTTATCGGTATATTCTTTTGTAAATATCTGTTTTGTAATGATGGGATGGTGGAATTGATGTGTAAGGAGGTCTGAAAGAGGTGGCTGGAGGGAAATGTATTGGAACCGCGTAAAGTGCCATTTGCGAAGACGCGACTTGGGCTAACACTAGGGTTATTATCGGTTATCGCTGATATCAGGATAACAGGTCGACCATCCATCCGCCTTGTCAGCCTCGTGGTGCAACAGCCCGAGATCGTACGAATACGCAACTCCTCAGAGAGATATTGTTGAAGATCACCTCGGGCAATCATACTACATTCAGAATATAAGAGGTTATTGCGAAAATGTCGACCAGAGCTGCAAGCCATGCAGGCTCGTGGTATTCCTCAGCTCCGGCGACACTCTCGAGTGAGCTCGATGGCTGGCTGGCTCAGGTTCCCGACAGCATCGATGGCAACAAACTACCTGTTCCAGGTGCGAGGGTGATTATTGCCCCGTGAGTATTAACATATTCTCATATACTATGAGCGCATTCTAATTCAAGTCTAGTCATGCCGGCTACTCATATTCCGGCCCTGCTGCTGCTTGGGCGTATAAGTCCCTGGACCTCTCAAAGGTCAAACGCGTCTTTCTCCTGGGCCCGTCCCACACCCTGTACCTGTCCGGCTGTGCGATATCTTCTCAAGAATACTATGCTACGCCATTGGGCAACCTCAAACTAGACCAGGCAACCATCAAAGAACTTCAAGCAACTTCGAAGTTCGACCCGTGGAAAGCGAAGTCCGAGGAAGCTGAACACAGCCTTGAGATGCACCTCCCTTACATCTACAAGGTCCTTGCCAACACCTTCAAATCCCCCGACGACTTCCCTCAGCTCGTTCCAGTCCTCGTCGGCGCCACATCTGGACCGACCGAGCGAAGTTATGGCCAGATATTTGCGCCTTACCTCGCTGATCCAACATCGGTCTTCGTGGTGAGCTCAGACTTCTGCCACTGGGGCGAGAGATTCCAGTATACATACTACCTCCCCGCATCACCTTCTGCAAACTCGGACGGCTACAGCCTCCGTCGACGCGATAAAACGCCTACAAATCCCTGGATTCATGAGAGTATAGGCAAGATAGACAAACTGGCCATGGATGCCATTGAACAAGGGACGCACCAGGGCTTCCTGGACAACTTGGAGGATACAGGCAACACTGTATGCGGGCGTCATCCTATTGGACTTGTCATGGCAGCGTTAGAGGTTCTCAAACAAGAGGGGAAGATCTCCGCTGAGAATGGTGGGCGATTTAAGTTTGTTCGGTATGAGCGCAGCAGCGACGTGAAGGATATCAAGGACTCTTCGGTCAGCTACGCATCTGCGGTAGCCATCCTTTGATGGCCCAGAGATACTCACCCCTAGAGATAGAAGGAATTATTAATTTGCTCATTGAAGTACGCTGAGGCCGTGTCTTATAATTATGTAGAAGTTGAAAAAGTCTAAGCCTCCATAATGGATCTCTGATTCCACGGTGGGGGACAATCCTTGGTGAATCCCCGCTAGAAGCTCGTCCCGCACAGACCAAGCGCACGGACCATTTTGTTTATCACCTGAATTTATCTTCCATTGCCTCTCGTCGAACTTTTTTGCTGTCGAGGTAGCAAGTAATATCGGCGCCATGGACGTCCACCGCTGTCGCTTCGTGCCATATTCCCCGTCAACAATCAATGCCGTAGCATTCTCTCATTCGCATATCGGCAGAGCGAATAAATCTGACACCCTCCGCCTTGCGATAGGACGAGCTAACGGTGACATCGAGATCTGGAACCCGTTAAATGGCGCCTGGTTCCAAGAGACGATCCTGCGAGGCGGCCAAGACCGCAGCGTAGACGGGCTGGCCTGGGTCCAGGATCCAGATGAGGAAGACCACGATGGCAAAATTATACCGGGAAAACTTCGACTCTTCAGCATCGGCTACACTACAACGGTGACGGAATGGGACCTTGAGCGCCTGCAGCCGCTTCGCCAATCGAGCGGGAACCATGGCGAGATCTGGTGCCTGGCTGCGCAACAGCAATTGGCACCTGGTCAGCAACAGGAAAATGGGGCTTGGAATGGCCAGAACTTGATCACTGGGTGCACAGACGGTGCTCTCGTGCTTTACTCTACGGCCGATGACGATCTCCAGCTGCAGCGTGTTCTTGTTCGGCCATCGGCGAAGAAGGCGAAGATTATAAGCGTCAACTTCCAGGACCGCAACATTGTGGTTGCTGGATGCACAGACAGCACAATCAGAGTTTATGACAGTCGAAATGGGTCGTCGATTAGGAGCATATCACTTGGCAGCGGGCCATCGGGTGGACCGAAGGAGATCATAGTTTGGGCAGTGAAATGCCTGCCGAATGGGAATATCGTGTCTGGAGACTCTACCGGAGAACTGCGGATATGGGATGGAAAGACTTATACCTTGATTCAACGTATCAAGAGCCACCGACAGGATATTCTCAGTCTTGCAGCGAGTGCAGATGGATCGACGGTGTTTAGCGGAGGCATGGATAGACGGACCGTCGTTTACAAGCAGTCAGGAGGCCCGAAATCTCGTTGGGCAGAAGTCAGCCATAAACGTCTCCACAACCACGATGTCAAGACTATGACCTCCTTCGAGGGACGTGGGATGAGCTTCGTTGTGTCTGGTGGTATGTTTTACACCCCATTGGCCAATTCTACAAATACTAATAATCATTAGGACCCGATGCGACACCAATCGTCCTTCCCCTCCGGGAATTCGGTGCGGAGAACCAGCGCATGCTGCCATACCTCCCCCAAGAACCGATAGTGCAAAGCGTGCCAGCGAAGAGACTTCTGATGAGCTGGTGGGACCGGGAGGTTCACATCTGGCGCGTGAGCAAGCTTACGCAAGCCAACGACAATGCCGAATCCGACAGCGAATCCGAGGAGCGTCACCGCAACAGGAAGTTAGTGGCTAAGGTCATTATCAAAGGAGAAGCTAATATCAATTCTGCTTCTGTGGCGGCACATGGTGGTCTTCTCGCACTATCCACGAACAGTGAGGTCAAACTCTTCCAACTGAGATCACGAGGTGGGAATCAAGGAGACGCTTTGAGAGTGTCAAAGTTGGATCTTTCTGAAAAATTGTCCCGTGGTGGGGCACGACTTGTTCAGTTTTCTCCGGATGGCCAATGGCTTGTAATCGTGCGAAGAGACAACCGCATCGTTGCCACGCGTATCGTGGGTGACGTTGCAAGGTCGCCGTCAGCTGTCAGGGCCTTACCCTCTCCCGCAAAGCTTTCACGACTGGACAGGAAGGTAGACAAGGCTACTAGGTTTGGCGGTCTGGGAGACTACGAGAGGAATATCAACCGCATCGCCTTTTCGTCTGACGGCCGCATTCTGGCAGTTAGCGATCTAGCTGGATACATCGATACCTGGCTCTTGAAGGACGATGGCCCTGACTCGGATGATATAGCACAGAGTGACGCGTCTCCAGAATCATTGTCGGACGAATCGGACGGCGAAGATGCAACTAAGTCGATTACGTTGAGAGGACAATTCTGGACGCGTAACCCATCCACCTCTTCTCTTCCCAAGCTTCCTGCAGCTGCTGTTGTGCTATCGTTCCGACCATGTGCTGCATCGATAGCGCCCGAGACGGAAGACCGCATGTTAGTGGTAACGGCGACATCTGCCGTTTTTGAGTTTGAAGCCAAGAGTGGCAAACTGACCGCTTGGTCGAGAAGCAACCCCACCACAAAATTTCCCGAGGAATTCAAGGGTCTTCGGGACCAGGCCATGGGGTGCTTGTGGGATGTAGCAGACTCTAAAGAGAGACTATGGCTATATGGGAGCAAGTGGATGTTCATGTTCGACCTCTCACGAGACTTCCCACCCGAGACGGAAGCGAACGCACAACGCAAGAGGAAACACATGCACATCGCCGGCCAGGATAACCCGCGCAAGGGCACCTCCGGCGCAGGAAGTAAGATCCCCGACGAGCAGCTCACAAGCGGCATGTCACGAAAAATGCAGCGGGTAATCCACGAGGACGACAACAGCAAAGTGCGTGAGATCAACCTGCGGAACCACCGGGGCATCCTCGACGACGACGAGGATGACGACGAGGACCGCATGGACTATGGCAAGAGCAGCGACGAGGTGGGGGCCGCACAGGGCAAGTTACGTCGCGGTGGGGACGCGGAGGGGGGAGCACAGGCAGGCGAGCTTACTGAGTACGGCGACGAGGAGGGCAGTTCAGATCAACCGCCACACTGGTGGCATACGTACAAATACCGACCCATTATGGGGATAGTCAGCCTGGGTGGTGGTGGTGGCGAGGCTCCGGGCAGCAGCGGGTTGGAGATTGCGCTGGTGGAGCGGCCGGAGTGGGAGCTGGAGTTGCCACCAAGGTACTATGGGGACCAGGAGTGGGAGAAGCGTGGACTGTGAGGGAGTTCTGTAGAGTATGTGGAGTAGGAGTAGTAGGGATGGATGCACAGAGCCAGAGTGTTTCTAATATGACTACGGATACCCATTCTGGTATCCATACGTACTACGTATATAGTGAACTGTAGTACTATAGTACTATATTGTAGCACTGGGGATGATTTTGCCCCTCCCCTCCTCCCTTTTATCAAATTTTGTACTGGCTGCGTGTATCTGCGTGCCCATTTTAACGTTTTGCCACTCTCAACCAACCAGTCGCTGCCTTATGGTGGTTAGTCGTGGTTAGTCGTAGTTAGGCGTAGTTACTCCGTAGTCCTAAGTTAGTCAGTCCTACCTAGTCGTCGTTACTCGTAGTTATTCGTGCTTGTGGCCCTATAATCCAGGCATCTATTTACTAGTGTGGTGTGAAGCGTCGTCAGCTCTCCACGCCAGCACTTTCGCCCTCACCTACCAACGAAACCTCTGAAAAGGCCCATCTACACAATTAAAACTCTTTCTACTGCACATACTGCACATACTGCACATACAGACGACCTAGATATTGCATCGCCAATACTTCATAGAACTATGCGACAGAGTTATATTCTGTGAAGGCACGAAAGGTGATTTGAAGCCTGGCTGTGCTGGTGCTGCGGTCCACCTCCACCTCCCACCTCCACCTCCACCCTCCACGCGATATCACGACTCACACCCCGCGCAACCCCGAACGAACGACATCACATCAATCACCAACGACTACACAAACATCACCATCACCATAGGGAAACACCACCAGCCACGACACGACAGCAGCAGGCGACACCAAACCCGCTCGCTCGAGTCCTCGGCAACCCTCCACATCAGCCTGCACCTCATGGCGGACTCGAATGGGCCTCCGCGCCCGCCCCAGCAGTTCGACGAGGCATGGGCGAAGGACCTGCGCGTACAGTTCGAGCAGCTGCTGCGTACGAAGCGGTTAAACGAGCTCGATCGCTCGCGGTCGCGCAATGGTTCGCCCAGCCCGAGGGAGCGAGCGTCGTCATCGGATTTGCGCGGGGATGTAGGATCCAGCTCACGACCGACGAGACCGACGACGTCGAGTGGTTCGTCGGCAGGGCAGACGCCGCCGTCTTACTCGTCGCTGAGGAGGCTGTCGAAGCTGCCGTCCCCGCCTAACGATTCACAGTCGCAGAAATTCAGAAATCTATTACTTACACTATCGGCGATGCCGACGAACTACGAGAACCCGGGGTTGTTGGATGAGGCATTGCTTGCACTGCCGTTGGATAGGATATACGGCGAGGCACAGGAGGAGAGCGAGGTGCTGCAGGCTCAAGCGGAGAGTATGGGCGATGGAAGGAAGCCAGAGTGGGGGTATCAGGATTGCGTCATCCGCGCCTTATTAAGGTACGACACCCCCTTTCACGATGGTCAGTACACCGACTAACCCCCCCCCCCCAGATGGTTCAAACGCTCCTTCTTCACCTGGGTCAACAACCCCGCCTGCCCCGTCTGCATGTCCCCCACCGTCGCCCAAGGCATGGCGCGCCCCACCCCCGACGAAGCCGCCTGCGGCGCGCTCCGCGTCGAACTCTACCGCTGCTCCGCCGGCGACTGTGGCGCCTACGAGCGCTTCCCCCGCTACAGCGACGTGTGGCGGCTGATGCAGACGCGGCGCGGTCGCTGCGGCGAGTGGGCCAACTGCTTCAGCATGCTCTGTCGTGCGCTGGGGGGGCGCGTGCGCTGGGTCTGGAATGCCGAGGATCACGTGTGGACGGAGGTGTACTCGGAGATGCAGAAGAGATGGGTGCATGTCGATGCGTGTGAGGAGTCGTGGGATAATCCTAGGCTGTACACTGATGGGTGGGGGAAGAAGATTTCGTATTGTATCGGCTTCTCTGCTGATGGCGTGACGGATGTCACGCGTCGATATCTTCGGAAGGCAGATCATGCCGAACACCGCAGTCGCTGCCCTGAAGAAGTCCTCCTCTACATCCTCAACGAGATCCGCACCCTCCGCCGCGCCAACCTGCCGAAGGAAGAGCGCTTCCGCCTCGAGAAGGAGGATAGTCGCGAAGACCGCGAACTGCGCGGGTACGTCGTCTCTTCCATCGCGCAGTCCGTGCGCGTCAATGTTCCCGAAATGGTGGCGGAGTCGACGACGTCGAATCCATCTCCCCCCCCGCCGCCGAATCCGCCGTCGAGGAGCGCGAGCGATGACCAGAAGTTGCCTGCTGAGCAGCCGGCGGGGAGGCAGAGTGGGAATGAGGAGTGGGCGCGCGCGAGGGGGGAGGCGGGACCGAGGAATAATAATCTACCCCGTGATCCTACTTACTGAGGTAACCGGACTTTGGGTTGGGGTACACCGGTGGTGTAGCCTTATGCAGATATCCTTAGGTTGAGGGTGGGGTACGCAGCTAGGCCTGGAGGTAAACATGATGTGCCTGCCAGGTTGGCAATACCACCGCACAGTAGAGGCATGGTGTGCGTAATGAAGCCGTTCACACGACGGCGCTCCTCCTGTCGCCACGAACACACACAATGGGGAGGAACACATCACGACGCGCGAACTCATCTATCCACTGTATATAGCGCTAGCGACATTTCATCTCTATAGTCACATCATAGCACGCAGGTAGTCACGGGGGGGTGGGGAAGGAAGGCGTTATTTTGGGAAACATATTTTTTATTATCTTTTGGGACTTTGGGGGGATTTTGGGTGGGTGGGTCTTGATCACATTCGACGATATCCGGTTTTTTGTCATCTGGGCTTTTGGGAAACGAGAGGCATTTAGGGCAGGGAAGGGGTTGGGTTGGGGAGGGTTTGGGAATGGTGGGATTTGGGGGGTGGGATTTGGGGGGCGTATTTGGGTATGGAAATATTTGCTGGGATGGGGGGGTATTTGGATTGAAAGGGGGTTGGGGGAAAAGGAGGGGAATGAGGGGGAAAGGGGGGGATGGGGGTTGTGTATAGGAAAATATATATGAATGAGATTCTATGTGCTTTATATTATATGGGCTTGACTTTGATGCGGTTGTGAAATTAGGTCTTGGTTAGTCGGTCAACAGTTGATGTGGGATAACTAGTGCGGGATAAGGACGTTTACTGATAATTGATGATGGCATTCAAACAAGCAACGTGATAGGTATATACATAGCATGCCCGCCTCGACTGATGAAGAATAACCCGCCGAATTGTTATATCAATACCCCCAAACCCCATCCCATCCACCCACGCATCCACCAACCCAAATGCTCCCCCCCAAACACCATCTCCTCCCCTCCCAAAAATCAAAACACAGTCAACCCACACACCACCCCCCCCCTAAGCACCTCAAACACCAACCCCGGAAACCCGTACAACGTCGTATTCCCCAACCCCCCACCATTCCCCCCTCCCCCCACCCCCATCCCACCCACACCCCATCCCTCCCTCCCCCAGGCCCGGTGCCCTCCTCCCAATCCCCAAGCAAATCAACACTACTCCCCGGACTATCGCCCCAATCCCTATTAAGCACCATCCCCCTCTGTCTCTGTGCCGCCTCCTCCCCCGTCGCATATATACTCTTCCACTCCTCGTGAAGTCGGGAGGCGATCTCAGGGTAGGGGGATTCCGAGGTGGGGGGGGAGGGGAGGGGGAGGTAGGAGAGAGACCATCTGCAGCGGCGGTGGCGGTTGAAGGCGTAGGAGCCGGGGATGTTGGAGTGGAGGATTAGTTTTGTTGCGACGAGGGGGGCCGGGGATATGAGTGTTGGTCCTTCTGGGGATGCGTCGTCGGCGGCGGCGAGGGAGGAGGGGCAAGGTCGCGAGGGGGGAGTGGGGGGAGAAACGAGGATGTCGAAGCCGTGGTAGAAGTAGTTATAGAAACACTCCTTTGACATCTTCCCATCGACGGAACCGCTGTCCGATTCATCCCCCGAAACGGAGGTCCCGGTGCGGATCGACGATGCGTTGGTGTCTGTCGAGTCGTCGGTGCTGGGGGGATCGAGGTGAGGACGGGTTTGCTGACTTTCGCTGCCTGCGCGCGCTTTGTGGATTGCCATTCTTTGGTCGGATTTACGGTATATAGCATCCGGTGGTCCTAACTCGGCGACCAGTTCTTGGGGCGTTGTTTGGCCCAGGAAGAGCCAGAAGGGTGAGGAGCTCCACGCGCGGTCGAGGCGGAGTTTGCCTTCCCCGAAGATGTTTACGAGGCTTATTTCGTCGGGGTAGACGTCTTTCCCTTTATGGCTCGGGGAGTAGGATCGTGGATCTTCGAGGAGCTGGTCGTACAGCACCTTCTGCTCCTCGGCCCAGCTGTCGCCGATGAAGACAGCCATAGAGGTCGCGGGCTTGGTGGAGGGGAGCGCGAGCATGGTGGCGTAGTCTTTGTCTGGGTTCCAGGTTGAGGCGAGGACGGGAAAGGTGAATGCTATCCCGGGGTAGGAGAGGATATAGACGCCGTATTTGCCATCTCCCTTGGCGTCGGGGGGGACATAGTCGCCTGGGTACGAGGGCGCGAGGAGCTTGTTGTAGATGTGTTTGAATGTCGGGCCGGCGGAGGTGTCTTGGATGCTGGATGATGTGCTGGGAGATGCGGGGCTTGCGGGTTTGACGATATCGATGTTTTTGTAGGTTAACTTGCTCTTGGAGAAGTCGGTGATCTCGATGAGTCGGAGGCGTTGTTCGGGGCCGTCAAAGCGTAGGCGGAGCCCGTTTGTTGGGAGGCTCACGATAACGGGCTCGGTGACGGGGCTTTCGGGGGAGTAGATCAACTCGAGCTTTCCAAAGGTTTGGGGTTCGGCTTTGAGTCTTGTAACGATGTCGTGGAGGGATGCTCCTAGGACTGGGGGGGATAGGTTAGTTACTGTTCTTGTTTCCCGCCGGTGATCAGGGAAGCGGTACCTAGAAACCCCAGCGACCTTCCGGGTGTCACAGCAGCGCTGAACTGCGACATGGCCGCTGTGGGCAGTCGATAAGGAACAAGTTTGTAAGTGTATCTCAGGATGAAGAGAAGCTTTTGTCGTCATGTACGTCGTCGTGTATATCGTGTGTTCTACGGTCGTGAACAGTACAGGATCTCCTAAGGTTACAGGAAACAGTCGGCCGTCGACAATAACGGGCAGGGAAGGAGCGATAAGCCAATGATAACGACGCGCCGGCTAAACCCAAATCGGACAAAACGCTAAATTGTTTTTGGGGCCCTTCTGTTTATGGCGACGCTTTGTTTACATCGACCTTGTCTGCCCTCCCTGCCGAATTCAACCACACCGACCACCACATGTACTCTATACACCAACCCGCCAACCACTACATCACGAACGTCTATAAGGGAGAATTGTCAGGAGCGACTACATCTGAGATGCGCTAACACCTGACCTGTATATCTTTACACGTTATATTGTCCCATATTTTAGCAAACCAACAGCTTCATCGGCACCGATTACCTCGATTAACACACTTGCAATCGCACGACAAGGGTAAAGGGGACACTGCTTAAGCTAGGAAGCCTTTTACTATATCGACAGGGCTTCATCTATACACAACGTCCTATGGCAGGTATGCCGCGGCCGGCACCTGTCGCGCCTTCAAGGAAGAACAGTATGCGCCCACCACGCCCTCGCCCATCCACAGCTAGGGCAATATCAGTACGACCAGCCAGCCGAATGGACCGAAGCGGTGCAATCTCGCCAGCCGACTCAATAGCTTCTGCAGCTACAGCGGGAACAAAGAGAAAAGAGAGGGACTTCGAACGCGATAGCCCGGAGGAAACAAACATAAATGTCGTTGTGAGGTGTCGAGGGCGCAACGACCGCGAGGTTCGGGAAAACAGCGGAGTTGTTTTGACAACAGATGGCGTCCGGGGGAATAGCATCGACCTCTTGATGGGACCTAGCGCGTTGAGCAACAAGACGTACCACTTCGACAAGGTCTTTTCCCCGGCCGCGGACCAGGCAATGATATACGACGATGTCGTGACGCCGATATTGGATGAGATGATCGCGGGCTTCAACTGCACCATTTTCGCGTATGGCCAGACGGGCACAGGGAAGACGTATACGATGTCGGGAGATATGGATGATACGCTCGGCATGTTGTCGGACGCGGCTGGTATAATTCCTCGGGCTCTCTACGCGCTTTTCAACAAGCTCGAGATTGATGACGCGGAGAGCTCGGTCAAGTGCTCGTTCATTGAGCTTTACAACGAAGAGCTCCGCGACCTTATCTCTGCCGATGAAACCAGCAAACTCAAGATCTACGAGGATGCCGGCAAGAAGGGCAACGCGGCGACTTTCGTCCAGGGTATGGAGGAGGCACACATCAAATCCGCGGTGGAGGGAGTGAAATTGCTGCAAAATGGGAGTCACAAGCGTCAAGTCGCAGCCACCAAGTGCAACGACCTCAGTAGTCGAAGTCATACAGTGTTCACGGTCACCGCGTATATCAAGCGCACAGGCGAGAACGGCGAGGACTACATCAGCGCCGGGAAGCTCAACCTCGTGGATCTGGCAGGCAGCGAAAATATCCAACGAAGTGGCGCCGAGAACAAACGCGCAGCCGAAGCGGGCCTTATCAACAAGAGTCTGTTGACCCTTGGACGAGTTATAAACGCCTTGGTCGACAAGAGCTCCCATATCCCATACCGCGAATCGAAACTCACGAGACTGCTGCAAGATTCGCTTGGAGGACGGACCAAGACTTGCATTATCGCAACTGTCTCCCCTGCTAAAAGCAACCTCGAAGAGACGATATCCACTCTGGACTACGCCTTCCGCGCGAAGAACATCCGCAACAAACCACAAGTCAACCCGAAGATAGACAAGAAGATTCTGCTCAAGGAGTTCACCAGCGAGATCGAAAAGCTAAAGAGCGAGCTTATTGCCACACGGCAGCGGAATGGAGTTTACATGACGAACGAAAGCTTTGAAGAAATGACGGTGGAGAGAGAATCGAGGAGGATATTAAGTGAAGAACTCAGCGCGAAGATTGAGACAATGGAAATCAACCTCCGAAATAAGGTCCAGGATCTACATTCACTGACCGCCAACTTTATGAACCTGAGGAGGGAGAATGAAGGCACACGGGCAACGCTAGACGAGACGAAAGACGTACTTGAGCAAACCGAAACCGTCCTTACCCAAACCCGCCAGCACCTGTCCGAGGAAGAAATGCTAAGGAAAGCCCACGAGCGCACCGAGGAGGAATTGGCAGAAGTTGGCACGACGTTGATATCTACTCTGGAGAAGACCGTCACCGATGTTGGCGGCCTCCACTCGAAGATTCGCAGGAAATCCAACCTCCAATCGATAAATAGAAGCACCTGGGGCCTCTCGCAAACCCAAGTTTCCGATGTGACAAGCCTGGTCGAGTCTCGCGTTGAGGAATTTAGAGCGCAGCAGGAGGAGCTCATGGCAAGTGTTTCCGGCAGGATGCAGTCGTTTGTTCAGGAAGAGTTGGAAAAGCTTGGGACTACGCAAGCGTTCCTTGGAGAGAATGTGATTTTATTTGAAGCATCACGGGGAGAGGTTTCTCACCAGACAATCCAGGCAAAGGATACGATGGATGAGGTTCTTGAAGAAATCAAAGTCTTACGGGAAGTTGTTAAGTCCCGCGTCGGGGAAGGGTTGCAAGGCCTCTCTGGTGCTGCTGAACGCATTTCTGGTGAGGTGTTGAGTGAACTTGACACTTTCCATTCTCAGCTCCATACGTCTTATAGTTCACTTGGTCGCGACTTCAAAGGCATGTTTGAGGATCTTATCAAGCACGTTAACTCGCAGAAAGCCGAAGCCGATGACCTTCGAAATCAACTCAATGCAGCCAGCGAAGCCTTGGTGGAATCAAACTCTGCGGCAACATCCCAGCTGGAACGCGTGATTGTTGAGGAGCGTGAGCAAGCTGCTACGGATCGCGAGAACCTCCTTCAACAGATCACTACTCTTGTAATGTCTCAATGTGAGAGGCAGGATGCTAGAATTGAAGCCAAGGTCAATGCGGTAAAAGAAAGTATTAAGAGCTCTGAGAGTACATTTGAGGCATCTAGGTCTGTGTATAATCAGAATATGGATGCATGGAACGAGAAGGAGCAGAAGCTAGTGGAAGAAGTTCAGCTGTCTCGCGAAAGCTTGAAAACGAAACTGAAGGAAGATTGGATAGTAAGTATATTTCTGGATGAAATTGAAACCCTGCTAACATACATAGGCCGCCAACAAGCACAATGCATCCATCCAATCGACCACAAAATCTGTCCATGAAGAGACTATCCGTATTGTGGACGAGCAGATGAAGGATATTGCCATCCACATGGAAGCCCTGGACGACTTCGTCAGCCGCGCACGAACACAGAATGCCGAGCACCATGATAGCCACACGCAGTCTCTGAAGGACCTTTCATCGACTGTTAGCGACTCTTATAGCAATATTGGCACTCACTTTACGTCCACATATGACAGGGTGAAGGACCTGGGCGAGGAGATGTCGGCCAAGACCACCACATTACAGGATGCTTTATCACCACTCGATACGACATTACGCCAGCCTCTTGCGGAATTACGCTCAAACATTGTCAGCACTCTTCTCCAGGAATACGTCCCTACAGGTGATACTCCGCTCAAGCAGCAATATCGGTTCCCAACAACGCTGCCCCGCACGGATCCGCATGAAAAGCTCCTGGAAAATGTCCGACAACCCGCTGTCTCTACTACTCCGTTGGTGTCGCCCACCAAATACATTCCAGTGATCTTCAACGATGTGGCCACCCCAGCCAAAGAAGAAGAGGTATCTCCTCCTTTCAATCCGACATCAGACACGGCGCCAACACTCGGACTTAGGGAAATCGATCTCAATATTCACGCCGGATCGCTAAGCTCCGTACTCCTCGGTACCGACACAGCCTCCAGCAATGATGCCGACGCTCGGCCCGCATTTAAACGCAGCATGACTGCCAGTGGATTGAGGCTTCCGCAGAAACCGGCCAAGAGAGCAACGGTTGTACCACTCGAGGGGAGAGAGAATAATATAATTCCGGTTGCTGCGTTCTCACAGAGCACTGGGAGGAGGAGGAGCCCGAGGATTGGGGGGGGGTTATCATAGATATTTATTGTGGGAGTAGGTGGTTTGGCATTGATTGATGGCCTGGGATTGCTTTTGAGCACTGGCGGCTGGCTACTTTATTGGCGCAAGGGCTATTGGGGGGGGGGTTGCGTGGTGTTTGTCTTTCTGGTGTCTAGGTTTATGGTGATACCTGGGTCCTGTATCGTTCTGGGACCCTTCTTGTTTAAAGTAATACGTGAAAGGGGCTTGGGTCTCCCTCGTCTCTGTATGAAATTGGTAGAGAATAAAATTTCAATTCTCCATATAAATCGGTATGAATACTGTGCTTTTCCATGCGCATATGCTGAATAACTGTAAACTGTAAATTAATTTAAATTCTCAGACACAAGAAACAGAAATGATAGTCACTTACAGCAGTCCTCGCCATACACAGAACACACATACGACTATGGACTCAAGAGAATTGGGCATCCCGTCCGCTCTGCCATACACAAGCTTGAAATACAGTGACTTAATACTCTCAATTGTGTTAATAGGCATAGCGTAGAATATAAGCCCCTTGCCGCCTTAACTCTCGATGCTTCCTATATTTACGTTGCAGAAACAGCAAATTGCTCCCACAACGCCCGGTTTGGGTAACACCTCCAATAGTAGCTTCAATAGTACCAACCCAACAAACATATATCCCGATATTAATCTGCGTAGACGTCTGGGTCAAGACAGCATCCAGATGACTTCCATCATCAAGGGTCAAATCGAGAGAGTCAGCGCCTTCGGGACAGTAGTGAAGATAGTTGGAGGATATGGTGTGTCGATAGGTCGAATCTTAACACCAGTCGTACAGGTAGACGCAACGACTTTGCCATCCTTCAGAGCATAACCGCCGGCCTTGTTGGCCCCTGATGGGTCAATTATGTCGAAGAAAACGAGGTCATAACCTCCAACACTCGCGTGACCCTAGTACCAACTCTTTAAGACATTGTTAGCATCGCAATCGAGTCAAAACCACCAAAAGACCGTCGGCCAGGCCATACCTTGTCATGA